CTTTCGCTCCCTATAATTTTCTACGTCCATTTGAAGTCGGGGAATATTCATTCGTACTACTTTGAGAGGAATGTCCTGTTGGGCAAAACGAGCTATAAAATTAGGAGTTAAGTTGTAGGGGGCGAAATGTCGGAAAATACTTTTACATGAAATGAAAACAATAGAGAATATAAATATTTTTAAAAGAACACCTAATTTTACCACCTAGGTATATGCGGGATCGGGGGTGACCATTGGGAGGAGAGTCAACAGACTTGGTTCACCATATAGTTCTCTACACTGTAAAAAAAGAATTTGTTCATTGGTAATTTTTACGTATTTTTTCCATGTAGAATTTACTTGAAAACATTAGTTTTGCCACTTACGCACTAAATTTAAGTCTTGCTAACTCAAACTTTCAATTTAGTAGAACATACGTGGAATATTTAAGTAAAATCAAATACATAAGAACTTTAAGTAATTTCAGCTTGTATTTATTTAGTAATTTTAACTCAAAATCAGAAATTATACGTATTACTCAAACAATTTATGTTGATTATTCTTATCTTTTTAAAGTAAGGACCGATGCAGTGCGTAATAGAAATATTTACATAATTTATGAATATTCATTAAGACCAAATTAAACTCTTTTTTAAATAAAACAATTCTTTTTTGTGGTTGAATGAAAATTTAAGGACTTTAAAACATTTACTAATTCATTTAACATGGCTAAGCAAAGACAAGACAATTTTTAATTGTTACCCAGTTCAAAACAAATCAAAACTTGATATTTCAGGAAATTGTCAACCAATTTTCCTTTTAAGATGCTACGATCAAGTATATATAAAATTTGGAGCCTCTGAATATGTGTCGAATTGAAGCGTATGTAATAGTTTGTGATGGTGGTAGATATATATATATATATACGGTTAAATCTTAAATAGAAGTAGTGAATGATTAGTGGATGTTACTTGTTAGATTAGATGGGTACCAAATCGTGCAATATGTAATCCTATCATAGCTTTTTTTTTAATTATCTAAAATGATTACAATATTCAAATTATTTACGTAAATGTAACTCGATTTAACTGAGTAAAAATTTATTCAGCAAAATAAGTAAATTCTACTTAAGATGCCGTAGGTAATATTTACTTAATAAAAATAAGGCAATTCTTTTCCTCAATTTTATTGAGTTATTTCAACTATTATTTTTTTACAGTGTATTAATTATTATTTTTTTTAATTCACTACTGTTAATTTGTATTATTCTGCATGTGCCTGTATTATATTTCCCCTGTTTTTATATTTATATTTACCTATAATACTATCTTTTTTAATTTGATTTGTTTATTTTTCGTATGTTTTTTGATTCGTTATCTTTTGTTACGGTTTCTTTTTTGTATTATAATTTGTATGATTCGTTTAAGTCCACGGACTCTGTCTGAGAAACTACCAATTTTGTGCTGGAGTGCGTTACAGTGATTCAATAAATAAATGAATTAAAATGAAATTGCGTCATTTGAATATATGCAATGCATAGGCCTGACTTTAATTTCATTTCGTTCTCTAAAAACAATACACAAATTTAAGCCTTCCATGAAATTGGATATACAAAAAATATTGTTTGTTGTATGATATTTTTTTTAATGGCAGAAGTGAAAGTATGTGGGAAAGTGTGATCTCGACAAGCCTGAGATACTGTTTCCTCTTGCCCATTGCCTTTGATCTTCACACTGTCATTGTTGATGGAAACAAAAATCGAGCGTATTTTACAATTATCTGGAATGTGCTATATTCTGACTAAAATCAAGAAAATGGAATTCATTATTAATCTCTTTTTGTTAATACTTTCAAAAGAGCAGGTGCATTGTATAAAAAAGAACCATGTTTTATTGCGTTTTCGTTTAAATCCAAATAGTCTGCTTTACAAAAGAGTTTAACATCAACATTTTGTTTGTAAACCATTAAAATTAATTTAAAGTGCAATGTAACAAATCAATATTCTGTTTGTAAATATATCATATTTTAAATCAATTTGCAATGCAGTGTATACATTATAGCAAAACAGAAGGGAAATTCTATACAGCAGAAGCACTCTTTTTTCGTCTTGTAATAACATGACACATAATGCATAACGTAAACAATATACCATAATACATCCGAAGATTTAAATATAGCAATTTTCTAAATAAATTATAACATGAATGTACAGATAATTAAACAAAAACACACGTTAAAAAAATGATTTGAACTGACTCTGTGGTCTATCAATTAAACAAAATCAACATAATTATGACCTGTAAAAGTGATATTTGTACTATGTTTGAACTAGGATTCAACAGCCCAAGTTCACATAAAAATATACGAAAGATTTACATTATTGTCACGTCATTATACAATATATATCTCCGGATTATTTTAAGAAAGGGATCGGTACAGGCCTACACTGCAAACCGAAAGTAAAAAGATCGATGTTCGTAATTTGATACAGAAAAAGAAAAATCACTTATGCCATTATTCATGTCATTTGTATTCCCAGTTGTTATGTGGACATGCACTTAGCCGATGTGTGACCTTTGCCGAGACTTGGATTTCAAAATCACATCTTAAAGGTCATTATGACTTTAGATTGCTTAGCTAGGTTGCATTGCGAAAGATGCTGCGATAGATTCTATAACCCCTGTGAAAATGTCATGTCTTTCATGTTCATTGTGTGACTCTTTGCTAGTGTCCTACATTATTTAGACCATGACAGTGTTCGGAATATAAAGGTCGTTTGCATTCATCATCGACTACAGGGACACGAGGCGTGATACGAAAAGCCTTCGGTATTATCATCCTGGTGCTATTGGATATGGCTTGAAACCACCACCATACAGGTAGATGAAGAAGAAAGGGGAAAATATGAGCAAAGCTCGAAAATATTGCACAAAAATCCGGCAAGGCGGCCCACAAAATGCCATTAATCACGATACTTTGAAACCCGAGAGTTTGCCTGACGAGAACGTCAGCTTTAGCAAACACGGCCATAAAATACGCAACCCTTTTCCTCCCTGCCTTCACGTTTTCTCGACAAAAAGACCGCGCATTTCTCTTCTCCAAAAAATGAAATATGAGAGTTGTGCCAGGCGAGAACACGATCTCCCTCACCAATCGTATCTTTTCAAGAAAGTTGAAGGCCATGCAAATGGTCAAATAGAAATCAGAGAGTCGGGAGAGATGAGGAGAAGAAAAAAAAAACGAGGGAGCTCGGAAAAAGGCAGAGGTTGTTTAAATTAAAGAATTATTTGATCTTGCTCGAGATCTCTTGACATTTTGGTCGGCCATTTTGTTCAAATACTCCTCGGTGTTATGCAGAGGTCAAGCCACTTTCAGGAGCAGACAAATAACTTCAATCAGTCAATCAGCAGGGACGTATGACTGCCATGTATAGCATGTAACAAAATGCAGCTTGTGAGAATGAAAGCTAAATGTTCAAAAGTTCAAAGAAAGAGGAGAGCGATTGATAAGGAAGGGAGATGGAGAGAAAGAGAGAGAGAAAGAGACAGAGAGAGAGAGAGAGAGAGAGATGGCGAGATGACGAAAGAGACATGAAGAGTCTGAAACCTTTCATTTTCTCGGGAGAAGGTGGTGCGAAGTAAGAAAATGAGGAAGACAGGGTGAGAAAAGAGATTATTAACAAATAAAGGAAAGGAATGAGATTTAATAGGAAGCAAATTATCATCTATATGAATTGTTTAGTGTGTGCATCATCAATTAGGCCTAAGTAAATAACTGCATATAATCACCTTCGACACGAATTTATTATAAGCTGTTATAAGTTTTGATATTCATACATTTCCCAGTCAAATTGATAAAAACAACAACCATAATAAATATAATGCAGTAGTATTCATGCCACGACGACAAGTATAGGCCCCGGTATATGCCTATTTAATTCCGATTGAGATCGACATTCGATTGGCAATAATATTTTTAGTTGTTTAATATTTGGAAACAAATGATTTTTAAAATAATGTTGTTTAAAATTTGTTTTCAATTCGAATCCAGGCCTACCCCAGAACATTGATTGAATTTTCGCCCTCTCTTTTCTTATTATGTTTGACAAATGTCGTATCTGGGGTCGATTTTTGGTTCCTATACATTATTAATGAAAGTACTGTAAGGCGTTAAAAAAAAAAAGATGTTGTATTGTATTTTTTTAAACCGTTTGAAAAAAGAAATGTTTAATGAATACAAAATATATGTGTAAAAAGCTTTCAAAACTGAGAAATATCAACCCAAAGAGGGGGGGGGGGGGGGGGAGTTAAAAAAAAAAAGATTTCCGACCGAACGACCCATGCATGTTTTGGCACCCAAAGGGCAATACAACTTTTTTGTTTAGGCCTAATGGATTATAATTTTGTTTAAATTTGTAGTTCTTATATTTATTATCGTTCCAGCGTAAAACAACCATATAAGTATGAGGCTTTTATATTTTTCTTTTAAAACTTATTTCTTTAAAATAATTTTATTTTATGATAGCTCTATACTGCACTGATCGGTGACGAAGCCAGAATATTTTTAATTGGTGTGGACTGTGGAGCGGGAGTTTTTGTACCCGATTTGCAAACAAAAATACTTGTTTGGCCACAAAGAAAATTTCGATAGAAGTGGGCTTGATAAAAAAAAACATATCCCTATTTGTTTTTTGTTTGTTTGTTTTTATGAGTTTGTTTTTATGTTTGTTTTTATGTTTGTTTTTATGTTTGTTTTTTGTGTTTTTTAATAATTTTAGACAATGCATGGTTTAAAAAAAAAAAAATCCTCTGAATTAAAGTTGTCCTACTCAGTCAAAAAAAGTAAAAATATGCAAATTTAGACAGTTATGATATATTTTACGATATTCCGACAACTAGCTGGGGTCACACCCGATCCCTCCCATGGATTGTCTTTAAAATGAACGCTCTCTCTCTAGCTCTCTAATTTCGGCGAGGTTGCCCATACTTGTACTTCGCGCTTTATAATTTCGGCTTGTCATAACATCTGCTCCACGAAAGAAGAATTTCCTGGTCGAACAGTTTAGATGTTCAACTGTCTTTTTCACTGAGGTTGTGCTTACAAAAGTGTAAGTATTTATATCAGATGAACAAGAGCTACATATTCTGATAAATTTCTGATTGAATCATTATCCTAATGTGTGGTTTGAGCGTTTAAATATAAGACGAAAGTGACGGAAAGTTAATGTTCAGTCCCACATGTGTTACTTTGAGTTAGGTTGTACCGGTACCGGTATGGAATATAATGCTCGGGGGGGGGGGGGGGGGGGAGTAGCGGTTCGATGAGTCGCGAATCAAAAAGCGAAGGAGAGAACGTACTAGTCATTTCATCGATTGGTGTTTACAAATATTCTTTCATCGACGCATAATGAAGATTGTGAATATGAGAGAGAGAGAGAGAGAGAGAGGGAGAGGGAGCAGCTTTTAATACTTTTGAATTTTTAAAAAAATATTTATACTTTAATCAACGTAGATCTAGGCTATACGGTATGATATTTTGTATGTGACTTCATCAGCACCTTTCTGAGCCAGGCCATCTATTGTCTGAATTTACATAATCAATGAAGTCGGACTTGTTATAGGTTTATAACTATTTGCTGGGCATTTAATAGAAACGTCTGTTACGTGCAAGTGTTGGCAAGAGTGAGAGGAATACAAGCAATTGTCTTTAAATTTGTATCTATCAATTTTGCTTTCTTATTTTTTTTCATATCCATTGTTTATATTATTTATTTATTCATTTATTTATTCACCTACTATTTATTCAATCATTTTTTTACTTACTATTTATTCTGTTATTTATTTGTTTCATTTAGTAGCAGTAGTAGTGTTAGGTGTTGTCTTATTGTCTCATGTTATTACACAACCTCCTCCCTCCACAAATAGCAGCAACCATGGAAGAATCCTGGATCGATGAACAGGCTTAGACCTACAACATTGTGTATTAAAGTAAAGTAAGTAAGTAGTAGTAATATTATTTATCATTCATTTTTTATGTTTTTGAAATGCTACATTTCTAAAAGCATGATGTTCTGAAGGTCTTGTTTTTGAGTCCCAACAATGAGTCCAAAATGCCCATTTCTTGATTTTTGTGTAACCAAACCTTTAGAAGCAACTGAACCTGACATCAAACTGAACAATGGCATCAGGAGGTGGAAGCAAGGAGTTGAAAGCTGCCCTCAAGAAAGCTAAAGAAGCCATCAAGGGAAAGGATTTTCAGCAGGCATTAGAACATTCTAAGGTAAATAATTGGTAATTCTTTAGATTTTGATCTAACCCTTAGATTAAAGCCAAACCATATCTATTTGCATAAGAATCCATAAAATGATCAAACAAAATGTAGCCATATTCATTTAGGAGCTTAATATGCCTTAACTTTGCACAGCTACATGTATGTTGAAAGAAAAAAAATTGAGTTACTACCCCAAATTGATTAATGTTCATGGTTGATCTCTTTTATAATTTATAGTGACTGAAATTTGAATAATTTTGAATATGTAAGAATCCATATCATTTTGTTCTATTACATTCAGGATCAGACAAAATTATGACATTATTCATCATATGGAGGAACATGTATTAAAAATTGTGTGCTCAATTTATTAGACATCCCTTCAAAATGAAAACGAAATGATGTTTTTGATCTTTAAACCTTGACCGTAAAAGAAAACATTAGATTGTATAGCGAAAATGAAATGTCAAGAAACATTTACTTCTTCGACCGTGAAATTAATTTCTAAACCTGTGTTTCCAAAATAAGTGATTTACATACTTCATAGCATACAAAATTTAAATATTTATTTGTCATATTATGGTACTGTGAAACCTGTCTATGAAAACCACCTAAGGGAGACAAGAATAGTGGTCTCTATAGGCAGGTGGACATTATGTACAGGTTCCTTTAGTACATGTTTTAATGAGAAACCATTTCAATGGAAACAAAAAATGTGGTCTTTGTAGACAGGTGGTCTTTCTATACAGGTGGTCACTAAAGCAGGTTTGACTGTATTATGTTTCTTCCTCCATGACAGCATGCTTTGAGCCTGGATCCCAAGCATTACAATGCATTGATATTCCTTGGCAAGTCAGCCACCGAGCTCGGACAGGGAGAAGAGGCAGAGAAAGCATATAGAGAAGCAACAGACATAGACCCCAAGCAGACACTAGCATGGCAGGTAATGACAGTTATTGATTTTAGAAGAGCTAAAACCCCAGTGCAGCAGTGGTTGCAAGAGTGAAGGAAAATTTGCATGATGCACCAATACTTTAGCCTAAACTTGGCTGATTCGTGATGGTGAGGAAGATTACAAGGAGCAAGAGCAGAAGGAAACAGCCATGATGATTATGAAAAAAATTCTACTTTGCGTAAAGCTTGCCACAATATATCAATACCCTTTGCAATTGTCTTTATTGCTAAGTTCATGGAAGGACTAAATTTGATTCAGAGTAGAACCCCATTTTAGAATGAGTTGAAGAGGAAATGCCTAATGACATAAGCATGATAGCACCTGGAAATATAAAACCCGGAATACCCCTTGCTTCAAATTTATAGAATGAGGTCTTCAATCTTTTGTGACGTCCGTAATTTCCATTTTTCAACTCTTGCCAATTTACATCTACTTCCACTTCAAAATTAATTCCTCTCCTTTTCTGTGATGATTAAGTTTTATAAAATGATAAAGCGGATCTTAATCAAATGATTGGTTGAGAGCGTACATGACCAGGCATTTATTTTGCCTAACACATAATTTTACTAATGACCGGTCATTAGTAAAATCATATTATAAAACATCATTTGATTAAACAAATAAAACATCATCTTATAAAACAAATATTACACATCATTTTGTTTGGGAATTAGTAAAAATTGCCCGCACTCGGTACCTTTGAAACAGTCCAAACACCCTCGGCTATCGCCTCTGGCGTGCTAGACTGTTCCGAAGGTACATTGTGTGGGTAATTCTTACTAATGCCCTCACAGCTGTGCATTATTTGTATACTATTCATACTACTGTTGTATTAACCATTCAATATTCTTCTTTCTTCTTTTAAACCTTTTTGTGTGATATAGGGTCTGTCTGCCCTCTATGAGAAGATTGATATTCCCAAGAACTTAAAGCAGCTTGTGGGTGTCTACCAGCAGCTGATGAAGCTATCAGGAGATAAATCCAGAGAAACTCAGATTGCTGAAAAGCTTGCAGACTTGTATCAAAAACTGACCAAACCTGTGGAGGTAATGATAAATATTATACCATGTAGGTCTGTAAAATGAAAATTACTTTAATTTAATTATGTGCAGCGCGATAGCACAGTCGGTAGAGCAGTGGTCTCGTAATCCAGTGACCCGGGTTCAAAACCAAGTCGATGCACTAGTGCCCTTTGGTAAGGCATTAATCCTCATTACCAGGTCCCTCAGAGAGGACCTAAAGCTGTCGGCAGTCTGGTTGCTTACTTGCAAGCATTTATGCTTTCTTAGTAGTCAGGTAAAACAACCAACACCACAGCTGTTGTCAAGTAACTTGATGATATTGAAATGGCAAAAGGTGGATATATTCTTGTGAACAAAACGTGTTTGGGTAGTGCTCCAATGTATGCACCTTTATAGCTGGTCTCAATAAACAGTTAATACGTAGATGCAAACCTGAAATTAGTCATCAGCCCAACTCTTTTCTCCTGAAATTACAGAGAGATATGCAATGGATTTCTGTGAAGATTTGCTTTTCAAGCTCATAGGTTTTGTTGTCAATTGACACAATTTTATATTACCCAGTGACAAGCAAATTTGTAATCAATCTAATTAGCCTATCATTTTATTTGTTTTCTATCAGGCATGTGGAGTTCTTCATTCGCTACTCCTGAAGTCGGAAGACACTGCCTACAAGATTGAGAAGTGGTCCAGGATTATAGGACTCCTATCCCAACAGAAGTCACTTGATGAGAGCAGTGATAACCTTGTAAGCAATAAATGCAAAAACTTTATGCCCGAATTCACAAAGGAGGATTAAATTTAACCAATGGTTTAAACCGTCATTTACATAATTCACGGCTCAAAATTAGCGCAAATTAAGCATACCTTGCCTTGCGCACTTCTAATATTGGACCTCTGACTGTGTCGCGCTTATTTTGCGCTAATTTTAGACCATGGGTTATGTAATTGAGGGTTTAAACCATGGGTTATATTAAAACCTCCTTTCTGAATTTCGGCCATTGTCTTTCAATGAGAAGGATATGTGCGAAGATCATTGACGTACATATTTGCCTGATGTGTCATATGGGAACATATTACTCATGGCAACATTTTCAGGGGGGATGCTTTAAACTCTACTCTAAACACACAGTCGGATGATTGTGGTGTAGCTTTATAATGTACATCATCTATTGTGAGGTCATTTTCAAAAGCTCTTTATGAAGTCATTTTTGTTTCATCAGGTTTATGATACACTTCAATAACCTGTTATCTTAAGTACTGGTGTACTTGCTCGACAGCTGAAAGAGAATGAATACAGTCCTAACTTTGTGTAGATCAGGAATACTTTAGTGTAACATAGTCAATACTGCTTGAAATTGCTATTTCGTTTATGCTACTACTTTCATAATGATCTTTAGCATTGTGGATTTGCAAATATTCTTGTCATGGATTAATTGCAGAAAATACCATGGCAATTGTACCAGGGGAGTTTTTCACAAAGACTAAGATCGACTTTAAGTTGGACTTAACTATGGCAGGCTGATCATGCCACTGTTTGCTCTCTCCATGATCTTTAGATAATATTATTTCCTTCAATAATGAATTATCAAAAAATGTATATTCTGTAGATTTGTGACCACCATTTGTACGTCCCTTGTACGTCCCTTGAGAGACCAATGCAGGAAATGGTGAGAGCAAACAGTGGCATGAACAGCTTGCTATAGTTAAATTCAACTTTAAGTTGATCTTGGTCTTCGTGAAATACTCCCCAGCTGTGCAGATGTATTATTCTCCAAAAAATGAAGAAGAATTTTTTTTTATCAACTGCACTTCTTAAAAAATCCAACCTTATTGTCTATTTGTTTCTGCAGCTCAAGGAAGCATACACTGTGGTCTTGGAGGAGTCAAGCACGATAGAGGATGAGTCACTGAAAGAGTTCTACAAGGGGTACATTGGCTTACAACTCAAGGTAAGGTCGGGCTCTTCCTATTTGTACTGTAAAGGGCCTGTCTAAGAGATTCCTTGTAACCAAATTTGATGTTATGTCTATTTGAAATGTAGAGTGAACACACATTTGAACATTAAAAGTTTAGTGATTTGATAAGTTTTATCACTTAAACCGATATGATATAACCAAAAGAACAATAATAATAAAAGTAGAGAATATTTATTAAGCGCATAATGAATTGAGAATTTCTCTGTGTGCTTTACAATCATGAAAAATTTGAATATATATACACACTGTACAACATAATAAATAACAAATAAGATAAGCAAATAACAAAAAATATTTATGGGAAAGTAGACCAATTCACCTATAATTAGTATTAATAAACTATAAACTATTATGTAAAAACTATTTGACATAACATATTATAAATTCAACAAACAGACACTTTTATGTCAAAACCAACCTTCTTACCAGCAAAAGGCCAAAGCTCTAGGAAACCCTCGAAAACAAACCTAAACGACTGAATCTTGAGGTACTCCGCACTGATTGCTGACAGGACTTGATAGGGCATCCTTTACCTTCACCACATGAGATCTTTTGGACAGATAAGAAGTCAACCATTTCAAAACCACACCATCTAGACCAAAACAATGTTGCAAACGATCGAGCAGAATGTTGTGATCGATTGTGTCAAATGCCGAACCAAAGTCGAGCAAGACGAGAAGGACTTCCCTCCTTTGATCCAACGCCAATAGAATGTCGTTCTGGACACGGACGAGTGCAGTTTCAACACTGTGATACTGTCTTTATGCTGATTGTTGAGGGCTTCGAAGGTTGTTGTCATTGAGATTTCCTGGATTTGACCCACTGTCGATTTTTCGATCAGTTTTCCAAGAAAACTGAGGTTCGAAATAGGACGGTAGTTTGACAAATCTTGAGGAGAGGCATCGCTCTTCTATATCAATGGCGTAACAACAGCTCTCTTTATAATAACTTCATCCTCAGTCACACTTTCAAACTCTACCATTGACGAGAGGCACCTTTCAGGCAGACTGATAGAAAGTGACTCATTGCTATGTGGACAAAGTTCATCTCTCAACTTTTCAATTTTATGGTGAAAAAAGTTTGCAAAGTCATTTGCCAAAGTGTCATCATTTTCGTGGTTCAGCAAACAATGATCAGTAATCTGTGATGTCAGATAATTTGCAACCTTGAAAAGCCTTTGTTGATCACAGGATAAAATTTTGCTTGTGTAGTACTTAGATGATCATAGTATGATCGGCATTGCATTTTGTATATGTCCTTGTCGACGTGTAGTCTGGACTTCAACATGTGCCTTTCACAGCGGCACCGAAGTTGTTTTTAATGACGTAAAAATGGAGTATACCATGGCGCGTTGGGACGGATAACAAGTAACATCTTCACTATCAATAGACACTCTAAGATCATGTAGAAAGCTGTCTATGTCAATGTCCTTAAGAACTATGAATTTTCCCAATTCCCATTGGTCATGCAATTCATTGCCATACTCGGGCAAAGGATGATTAGACCCACTGGAGTTCCTACAGATGTTCCTAGCCCACATACAAGTAGTAAATATATATATCAATATCCCAGTTTGGGTGCATACTGTACCAGTTTTCAGGCTGCAGGTCGAGAAGCGCCCACTGTCGTCTATTGGTAGTCCTCTCAGCTCTTTAATAGTCATATATGGATTAAGTAATTTTGATCAACTTTTAGGAGAAAAAAACACTTTTCACCATCACCTATTAAATTCAATCTAATATAATGTTGTATATTCCATAGGGCAAGACAGTTGATATAGCTGAGCTTAAGGCAACATGTTCTAAGATGCATGAGATGTTTCCAACAGAAATATACCCCCTGGAGAAATTGACAGAGATCATCATGATTGAAACATTTGGTGAGTTTAATAAAATTTGCTACTGTCTACATTCATTTTAATGATTCTTTGTATTTGTGAGAGCCGGAGGCTATATTCTTAATAGTGGCTTCGGAACATCAAAGCAGGTGAAAAGAGAGTTTCCTTGAGATAAATTATTACAGGTTAGGGTCCTCATTCTTTTAAAGTAAGGAAAACGGTTGAAAAGATTCACAATGAGAAAAGCAGTAAAGAATGGTTTTATTATACATACAGCTCTTTTATGATTTACAAGATGAAAAGTGTGATTTTGTTGTTAAAGTTATTCTTCATTTTTTGTTTTGGCATAGCACATTTTGCCATTTTCATTGCTCCTTCACAGCTTTCCAGAGTATAATCGCCACCAGATTCTTTGTATATTTTATTCATTGAGTATAAGTTTTGCCTTTAAAAAAAAAATTCCCCAGCAATGAAGACATCAAATGACTGGTCAGTCTATGGTGAGCTACAGGAACTGGACAGTGATAATAAATGGGCTCTGATTGGGCAAGGTCAACTCAAACTGACCAGTCAGGATTTCAAGGCAACAAAGGAACTTCTAACCCAGGGTAAATAACAGTAATAGTGAAATAATCATTCTTGAATGCTATATGGTATTTATTATCTGCAGATAGGTTGTATAATAGGAATGGGCATGTTAATTATCTGGTGTGTAATGACAATAACTGAAATACATGATGTACTTGTAGAACCAATGATCAAATTGGTAAAAATAATTTTAAAAATTGAATGTCGATTTGAAATCACTTTTGATATTCAGCTTCTTAGAGAAAGATTTTGTGCAGGTCTGTGCAATATGTCCCATATAACTTAATATTTACCCATTCATTTCAGTCCAAAAGGATAAATATTGTAATATGACAATCGGCTAATCTTAGTATTACCAGAAAGAGCCATTGCAAATGGTTGTAGAAAGAGATTTGTGTTAACCTGGTAGATGGATAGAAGACTTTTATTGAAGTAGACACACTATACAAAAGGATATCATCAGATTTTTTTGGACATGAAATGAAATTTACAGCTTTGATTTATGATTATTTTTCTCTCATCGCAGCATCACAAAAGCTACCAAATTTTCCACTTTGTTGGTTATTCTTGGCTCAGTGTCAGCTCTATCTCCATGACTATCGAGCAGCAGAACAGTCAGCTGAACAAGGTATGAATATTCATGTATGTGTAATGAATACTCATGTGTATGTAAATATATGATTATAACAACTGAATTATTCGTACTCTGTGTAATTTTAATGTTTTTTGTGTTTTTGGAACTCAGGAACGAAAGGTGGACTGGTTGAAGTAGGGCCTTTGTTTAATACGTTTATATGTAAGCATTTGGTATGTTTCTTTCTCAAGAAACATAAATTGGGAGGATCAATTTTTCACATACTATATTAAAAAAATAAGATAACTTGTTAATAAAGGTATGAATAATTTAATTTTTAACTGAATGTTGAAAGCACTTTGTTGGTGTTGTTTTGTAGTGATCATGAAAAAGCGATATGCAACTTAAGTACATAACAGTCCAAACTATATTTAAAGGCCACTTAAGGAAAGAAAATAAGGTATCATTATAGGCAAGTGGTCTTTCTTTACAGGTTCTCTTTAATGCACTATCAGTTTTAAATGCCATTCAAAGGAACCAAAATTACAATTATAAAATTAAAATTAGTCTACATATATATATATATATATAGGTGTTCACTATTAAAAGCAGCATTGATTGCATTTACCCGAAGGTTGTTCAAGAGGATCGAGGTAGACGCGAAGATCTCCTGTATTGAGGGGGAAAAAAATGAAACATGCTGTTCTAGGTGTTCAGCAGTAGAATACTTATTAGAACTACAAGTATGAAATTGAAATGTACTGATATAATTATATCTGCTATACCTGTACTTCCTTCATAGGGAGAAGAACTTTGAAGTTCTACAAGCATCCAGCCCTCAATGAAGCAATAGGATTGCATGAAGCATTGCGAGTCCTCCAGGGCAGAGCTTGCATGGACTCTGGCCTCATGGCGAAGGGTCTCAGCGCCGTAGAAATCTTCAAAAAGGTAGGGTCTTTTTAAAATTATGCTTATACAGTGAAACCTGTCTATAAATACCACTCAAGGGAGACAAGAAAGTGGTCTTTATAGGCAGGTGGTCTTTATGTACAGGTTCCTTTAGTACATAATTCAATGAGAAGCCGTTTTCAAGGGAAACAAAAAATGTGGTCTTTGTAGATAGGTGGTCTTTCCATACAGGTGGTCACTAAAGCAGGTTTGACTCTACATGTAGCTGAAAATCATAGAAGCTGAGCATAATTGAGTTATGTTATGGTTCTGTATTGTTGACATGTACTGAACATATACAATTTCTTATTATGCATGTAAATCTCTTCAAGTATCTTCTGACCTCTCCAAATGGTTCAAATTGAAATTCAAAGTCTTTCACAAAATATAATATAAGTTCAAACTTTTTATCTGACCTACCATAACCCTTGTGAACGTAATAACCTTACGTCCTATGCATCTCTTTGATAAAGAATTTGTAATGACCGCCTGTGTACAATGCACTCCACACACCAATTCGTGAATCATTAATTAGCAGTGGTTTCAAATCATTTCAGAAGTAGGTATGACATTTAGGAACATGTGAATATGCGTATGCCAAGTATTATGTGTTTAAAAACAAAAAAATGACTTCATAGTCATGATATATCAGATGGTCCAAATAACGCAGCTCTTTTGGTATCATGATCATTTGCTTTATATTGGCCATCTTTGACCATCTTCAGTTTCAAGCTTTTATCAAAATATTGTGCTAAGAGGAAAGCTCTCTTGCCGATGTCCCTCAGGGAAGCCTTTGTTGACCACTCCTCTTCCAAGAATTATAATCAGTTAAGAAAACAGTCATTTTCCACTGGGACTACAGAGTTGTTAGTTGTTGCTGATTTAATAGACTTTGCTGACATGACACTCCATGTTTATTTTTAATTTATTAGCTGCTACTGGAGGCCGCTGATAAGGACACCATGTATAAGCTGTTAACTGAGGCTCATCTTCTGGCAGGGGACATCGCCAGTGCACAGCAGGTCTGTTCTCATCTAATGATGTAGTCAATACATTAAAATATTGCCAGAAAGTATGCACATTTGTCTTGTGCCTCAAGGGAGCCTCAAATTCCCTAATGTTATTCATACCTGTGGACATACAAAGATGTAGCAAGTGGTTTGTGAAGGTTACAAAGTTTTGATTGTGCTTCACATTGACAAGCAAGGTAATTCTATACATTTCAGTAATAATACCAGAACATTTTTTTTATAAAATTGAATATTTGATTATTTGTTGTTGTTGTTGATTTTTTTTTTTTTTAGAGCATACTTAGAATAATGTTTTAACTGCAAGAAAAGCATGCTATATGATATTATTTTCTTCAACATTTCTGTTTTTTCAGAGTTTTGAGATGATTTCTTACTGTCTTGATGAGAGTGATACTATAGCTTTGGACGGCTGGCTTAGGTTTCATCAAGGGGACCTCTCAGATGCCCAGAAGAAGTTAGAAACAAATTTATCCTACAACATTTTCTCAAAATCTCCTATCCTGCAACATTAGTAATAAATTATATATATAGATCAAAATGTAAAGTTATTATTATTTTCTTGAATAGAAACTTAATATGGATCTTATGTGTAATGAAATCCCTTATAAAGTCCCTTTCTTTTTCGATAGCATTGATCATTATTAAATAAACACACAAATTTGTATATATGTATATGTCAATCTATTTTGATTTTGATATTGTGATTTATGACTTGCAAATTTGAAAAAAATGCATAAATGTAGATAAACTACAATCATACATGTACATGTACAGACCTGTGCTTCTCTTGATTGCTTGACTACATTGTCTAGTCAATACATAGTTTTGGCAGCCCTCTTGGTTTTCATGGTTTTCTGACTGCCATTTTAAGTTAGCTGGATCTCTTAACCCCTAAAACTTAGGTACATGTACAGACACCTAAATTACATCTCTAGGAATGACTGGATGCTATTTTGAAATTAACCACTTTTCAGAGGTCCGGTTTTCTTAGACTTGTAGTATATCATTTCTCACATTAAACACTGCTTCCGTAGCTTGACTCGCCTAAGGCTAACATGCGACTATACCTTCTAATTTATTTGTTTATTATATGATTGATGATTTGATCGATCCAAACACGACACCAATGTCTTTTGGCAAGACATAAATCTACATTTACCACTCCATACCTAGGAGAGAAATGAGGACCTGATATGATGATGAAAGCCTTTGTATTAGTAATTGCCATATGCCCTCATGGTGACCATTTGGTGGTAATACTCCCCAGGGAGTGGAGATGGTATATGTATTTGTATCTGTCCGTGACGTTCAATTACCAGCATCTGGTTGCCGCGTACATAGACATTGTGCGTGAATGAATCCGAATGACACGGGTAATAATATCTGTAAAGCACTTAGAGACAGTATTTTGTATCAAGTGCTATATAAATCCAGATTGTTATTATCATTATTTATGTCTTTCTGTCATCTGTCATGTTTTGCAGATTACAAATTGCTCTAGCCAAGGAGGAGAAGGCAATCTATCACTACTGGCTTGGGAGAGTGTACTGGGCTATGGGAGGTCAAGCACAGCAAGACAAGTCTAAATCATCCTTGCTCAAGGTAACAAATATTTCAATTGATGGGACTGGTGATTTTACTTGAGGTGAATTGGGGTAATCTGAGTTTGTTGGTAATACTAGAAGCTTAATGCATATAGTACTGGGACCCATTGCACAAAACTTACCATTGATGGTAACTTTGCCATCAATGGTAACTACCATGGAAACTTTGATTTTGATTGGCTTTTGAGCTCTGTTCCCATGCTAGTTGCCACTGATGGCAAAGTTACCATCAATGGTAAGTTTTATGCAACGGGGCCCTGAAATTGTTATACACTGTATAAATATTCACTGGTTACTTTGTTATCATTAATAACAAGAAATTGGCTTTTTCCATTTCAACAATGGATAAAGAGCAAAGATTGGCAAGGGTTGATTATGTAAAAGGGATACATCATATAAATTAGTTATAACCATGAACATGTTACAAAGTGAAAGGAAAAGGGTATGAGTGTGCGTTGTGGATTTTGATTTTTGATTTCCTTATTTTTATTTCTGTTTGTTTACTTAGGCTGCCAAACTTGACATCAACTTCTCAGACTCCTTTCTGTATGTTGGTCATCATTACATGCAGATAGGAAAAGACACAGTGTAAGCATGTAATATTAAGCCACTCGATAACTTATTCAACTTCTACTATATCTCCTCCTTATCATTATTATTTCTTCTTCTTCCTCTACTTCTTTTTCTTCTTCTTCCTCTACTTCTTCTTCTTCTTCTTGTTCTTGTTCTTGTTCTTCTTCTTCTTCTTCTTCTTCTTCTTCTTCTTCTTCTTGTTCTTGTTCTTTTTGTTCTTCTTGTTCTTCTTCTTCTTCTTGTTCTTCTTCTTGTTCTTGTTCTTCTTGTTCTTGTTCTTGTTCTTCTTGTTCTTGTTCTTCTTCTTCTTCTTCTTCTTCTTCTTCTTCTTCTTCTTCTTCTTCTTCTTCTTCTTCTTTTATTTGGAGAGTGTTTATATGATGTTTTAATCATTCATTTTCTTTTACTCCTCTCATTCATGATTTTCCAGGTCATTCCTCCAACAACCTTTTCAATCTGTATAACAAAAAATTAAAAAAACATTTATATGGTTCTCTGTTGTGTTTGTTTGTGTATTTCCAGCAAAGCGAAACGTTGTTACAAGAAAGCCTATGATTTGAACCCAGATAACGAGGCTGCTGCTCAAGCCCTGGGAGATGCATACGACTTACTGGATGAAAAGGTAAGAAATTGCAAGAGGATTTAGACAAATTGAAATTAGGCATTTATTATCCATTCACAAATTCACATTTCACTTGTAAAAGTTTACAGATCAGTTTACAAAAAGAAATAATTATAATCATAGACAATTACAGTAAGGGTAAACAGCTTTCTTTGGGTAAGTTACAGGAAATCAGTTTTTTATGATGAGGATGCCGACAGAGCGAGAAGATAGAACATGACCTGGAGAGTGTTTCACAAAGACTAAGATCAACTTTAAGTTGGACTTAACTATGGCAGGCTGTTCATGCCACTATTTTCTTTCATCATTTACTGGCATTGGTTTCTCAAGGGAGGCACTAATCATGGTCACAAATCTACAGAATTTACATTTTTTGATAGTTCATTATTGTAGGGAAAATTATTATCTAAAGATGGTTATTGAGAGACCAATGGTGAGAACAACTAGTGGCATGAACGGCCTGCCCTAGTAAAGTCCAACTTAAAGTCGATCTTAGTCTTTGTAAAGCGCCCGCCAGGCAGCTTTAGGCTTTTAGGCCTTTTGATAATTCCATGATCACATTTTCTTCATATCTTTAAATTTGAAATATGATAGGAGGACGCTATTGCTGTCTACACAGCAGTGACCAAGCGGGCAGCTTTGGGCGGGGCAAAGTGGGCATGGCTAAGACTGGGGCTCGTTCAGCTCAGAGCAGGCAATGCAACAGAAGCTGTGGAATGGTAAGATCACTCAAGATATCCACTTATAGAGAAAGTTGAGTTCTGAGGAAGAAAAATAAGTTGTGAGCGTTATCATTGTATTATGCAAGTGTGGAAGAACATCAGATAAAAAATGTTCCCTGAAAGGCATGGCTCATCAAATGCCTAAATATTCTAAATATGGCATGTAACATCATCAAAATCAGGACAGATGTTTATGCCACATGTTCGTGTAGTCCCATATACATTTGTCTGTGTACAGTGCTTCTAACTTTACCAAGACTTGGCCAAATTTCTTATCATTTTGATGATTCCAGAACCTTGCAGTACACGCCAATACTTATATGCTAGGTGATCATCCTTTTCTGATTGATTCTACATTTGTTTCACAATGCAATCGCATGACTTAACCTTATCTTTAAGTAGGTAGTGATGAAGTTCTCCTTTGGTGTTTGTAAATATGTTTCATTACTGATTAGGAGTTCTGCTAAATATTTTATGAACCATTTGTACATTTTGCTATATACAGTCAAGCCTGTATATGGAACCGCCCAAGGGATACAAGAAAAGTGGTCTTTATAGACAGGTGGTCTTTATGTACAGGTCTCTTTGGTATATTTTCAATAAGAAACCATTTTCAAGGGAAACAAAAAAAATTGGTCTTTGTAGACAGGTGGTCTTTCTATTCTGTACAGGTGGTCACTAAAGCAGGTTTGACTGTAGCTATAAATAAAGTTAGTGTTGCCAGAAGTATCCTTGCATATAAATACATATGCAGTTAGGTTTTTATTTCTGTAATTTCAATGTAGTTCCTTCTTTTTGAACTAATTTGCCAATCATAATCCATTGATGTGCAAGTAGGATGTTTCATTAGAAACATGTGTAGTATTTCTGTAGAATCTTTTTTCTAACTATTAAATCAATCTGTATCATAATCTATCTATCAGTATTGCACTCTCGTTATTCATTTCATTTATGTTTATTCCCAGCTTTCAAGCTGTTCTCAGAGCTGATCCTGATGACATGTAAGTATAACATCATGAATTGAATTGACTTGAATTGATTCTATATTTTTAAAGTCTAAAATGTTTTCAAACAGTTCAAGTATGATTGCAAATGGGTGCTTGTTGTATTTGTATGTGCAAGATGCCGTAATAGTGTTCCCTATGCATCAAGATATGTTGTGCCTTGTTTGATCTTTCGAGTAGATTTCAAATGAAGCACAAGCCAATATTGTACTGTACGTGTCATTTGCCGTTCGTATTTTGCTTCAGCCATACATACATTTTTGTATAGCAAAAGCGACGCATTGTACAAAGTACTTGATTATTAATTTCATTTCATTGAAATATATTTATACAGGATAAAAACATGATCAGCAAAGCTGTTTTTCATCATAGTCCTGATTAAGGGCATGCAACAAATATTAAAAAAACAAAAAACGCTTCATATAGAACAAACAGATACAGAAATTCATAGGTGAACATTACAATGCGAAACAAAAATTACAAGTATATATCTATATAGTAATACGTATCCGGGATAGAACAAACAGATTTTGCACCATGTAAGCTTATTGAAAGAAATACATTAGAACTATACTTATAATGTACATGAGCTGATAATTTGAATAATTTTAATACTTGTGTATATTATGAATCGTACATGATGTGATTGCTGTAGTAGTTAAGCATCATTCACATTCTTATGCAACAGACACTGCCAGGAATGCCTCGCAGAAGCTTATTTGAGTAGAGGAAGCAATACAGCAGCACTCAAAACATTTAGTCGAATTGTAGAGGTAAGTTGATTATCTATTATTTTAAATAGGGGTGTTGCAGTAAAAAGTAGTTTGCCCACTGGATTTTGGATCATATAGTTTTCTTCTGTCTTTTATAACATCCTTTTAGGATATCTTTTACATTTTATACATAATGTGCAGTATATACATGCCTGCACCAGACTGAGATAGGGACTGGCATGTTGCATGGCAATCTAAACAACAACATTATGATTTAATAAAAATAAACACTTTAGAATAACAAATTTGATATTTTTATTTTGTGTAACATATTATTTTCCTTCCTTATTTTTTCCTAGATGGACCCAAACTCAACATATGCTTTATTCAAGTAAGTTTTGTTCTTTGTGAAATTCCTACCCCTAAAGCAGTTAAAGATATATGTATACATAAACCTAAGTCATCGGTAAGTTTGTAGAAGTTTCAATTTCCACTTGCAATGAACAAATCTTATGAATGCCTTTTTTGAACAGTTTTATGTTCACTGTCTTTTTCAGGGATACAAGACGCTGTAAAGTTAAACTGTATTTAAAAACTGCATTTTAAAAAGGTCTTTAACACAAGATATGGCTGTCTACATGGATCGCAACACAATATCATCTCATGCAACTTTTTTTCTTTTTCTTTTGATTGTGATCAGGATCGGTCACATCAAGCAGACTGTTGGTCTGTACTCTGAGGCAGTGGCGGACTATCAGATAATCCTCGGGAAAACACCGGACTACGTGCCAGCACTGAGTGGTAGGTTGATCAGATATTTGTAATTTTAATTGTAATTGATCTTTATTTCATTCATCATAAAAACATTATACAAAACATTTAAAATACAAAACATAGCGTACAAGTTTGAGAGAAATATTTACAATAGAATACAACATCAGCAAAAATGTCATATGAATGTGGAGACAGCTAGGAAATCCAAAGGCTTTATTGGTGCTGTATGCTTATTTGATCCTGTATGTTTGATAAACGAAGGGTAGTTTCAGTCAGAAGCTCTTCACATTGAATACAAAATTGTGAAAGTGGCTACTTCAAGTAGAAAAACAAAGTTTTTGGACTGAAAAAAGAAACAGAAAACATTTGAGTAACAGATGAAGGAGAGAGTAAGTAGTGATGGATAATATTGAGTTATGTTGTTCTGTTGGAATTTTGCATTGGCAATTTAACTCTTTCATGTCATGACGGAAAACTGTTCTCATAGTTTTGAGCAGTACAATATCATATAGCTGGAAAGTAGCTTAAAAGATGACAAATTTTCAGTTGTTTCTGATGGCATTAATGCACATAGATGAGGATCACAGAGTTCAAATGGTAGATTTTATGGATTTCCTGATTATTTGTTATCCTTTTTGAAGCCAAACTCAACTGCCAGAGTGCATGTACTTGAGAAATTTAGTTACAGTCCTCCCTCTAATCTGAAGCCTCTCGCCTTTTAAGGTATTACATCCTTCACACTTCACAATGTGTTTATTCACATGTACTCATGTAGTTTTTGTGAAATGAATAGACTTGATTTAATTTAATTTGATTAAATCATTTGTGGTTTACCCTCCTACCTTTTTGTGTGATATTTACTAGTACATTCAGAGTCCTTTAGAGTCAATGCCAATCCCATAATTGTTAAAATGTGCCATTGATTGAATGAATGAATAATAATCCATTTTGTATCATCTTATTCAGGCCAGGGTGAGACATATATCTTGATGGCCAAGGCAGCTTTGTTTGACTTCTTCAACGCAAGAGCTGTCTCCTACATCCAGAATGCCATCACTGTCTTGACAAGGTAGGTACATGTACAATGAACCTACAGCAAGTTATCTGCATGGTCGTTAATGGCTGTATAGGCGCATTCAGAGAAGAGGCAGTAAATAACTTGAGAGAAAAAAAAGCACTGTCACAGAATTAAGTGACAAATGTTTAGTGTTGTTCACATTTATGTATGTTGTAACACATAGACATAGATTGGTGAGTGTACAAAGGGGACATTTTTGGGGTAGCTACATATATGCTCTTTACCCCTGAAGATATTAAATCTTGTGATTCATTTATACACAAAGGTTTGCTGTTTCAAAATAATTCAGAGTAGTTACCACATTCAGGCAAAGTAGCCTTTATCGTAAAAAATATTAGCATTTTGAAATTGTTACTTGTGTGTTAAAAAGATCACATAATCATGGTGGCTCAGTGGTAGAGCAGAAATCTTGTAACCGGGAGGTCCCGGTTCAAAACCAAGTCGATGCGCTTGTGCCTTTTGGTAAGGCATTAATCCTCATTACCAAGTCCCTCGGAGAGAACTTAAAGCCCTCGGTCCCCTGGTTGCTTCCTTACAAGCATGTACATGCTTTTTTAGCAGTTAGGAAAAACAATCATCAACCTCATCAACGACATCCTCTCCATCCAACCTAGAGAGGGCTTTATGTAGGTATATTGCTAAATTAAGTGCTAATATTCCTATTTGCCAAGAAATAACGAAATGAAAAGAGGGAGCTACTTATTTCTACAGTTTCCAGTAGCTTCTATCAAAGCTTTCCAACACTGTTTCATCTGTGTTTAATGTTGTATAGATTATGATCTCGGAATACCATACAAGAATGGCTACAAACCTTGCGTAGTCATCTTTACTTTTACCTGTACATTTACTGAATGTCCCATGCATTCATTTCTCTGTACTATTTTCCTTCTCCAGAGCCGTCCTTCTCCGTCCTGACCTGTGTAGCTTGTGGAAGCTCCTTGGGGATGCCTGCACCCTGATAGCTCCTCTACATGACAATCTCATCAGGTAGGGAGAGAAATATGAGATGAAGATTAGCATCATTTTAATATTTCTGGTTTTGTATGTCTTTTCGTCTTGTACTCAGAGTAATTTGCAAGGATGACAGAATGAAATCAGATGTTTCTTGCGATTTAGTCTGATGAGTGCAAGACAAGATGCTATAGTATGTCTGTATTTGTTGCTATTCTTATCATTTAGAATAAACTCTATGAATGATTGAGCTTTCTATACAGTAGCTCCACTACCAGATTTACTGAAGCTTTTCATCTTAGTTGCACTCGTCAGAGCAATTCACAAGGATGACAGAATGAAATAAGACATTTCTTGCGATTTACTCTGATGAGTGCCAGACAAAAAACTGCAGTATGTCTGTATTTGTTGCTATTCTCTGACTTTGTGGAACCAAAGTCAGGTTCATGAAAGTAGAGGGCAAGAAGCATTGCAACAAGTTGAGTTCTGTACAAGATACCACTACACTAGTTGCCAGTTCACAATAAACCCCTCATTTAATACTTATATACCTCTAAGTTTTTCTCTTCCTACAATTTATTTCAGGATCTCAGTGAACGGTGCTCTGACTTGTGGTGATGAGAAGATATGTGAAACTTTGGGCAAAGGAGAACTGCTGGCACTGGGTGGAAGGTGAGTTTGTCTCAAATATAAAATATCAATGATACCTGAGTATACACGTAGTTCAAGTTCACTTTTATGGCTGGTTGCAATGAAACAATGAAAGCATTGAGTCCAAATAATTGCTCAATTGTGAGTTCAAAGTTGGTTAATATTCTGAAAATTATTATGAATGTAACTTTAAAAGCCTGCCTTCCTATTCTAAGCTGACATTGTCACAACTTTTATACAGATATCCTTGAATACCGGTAGACTATTCATAAGAGGGAATAGACTGAGTTTTCAATTGTTGTCATCTCTAAGTGGGCACACACTCCTCGGATAGGACGTTAAATGGGGGTCCTGTGTAGAGGAGAGTCACCAACTTTGCATGTTAAGAACCCACTGCATTATTCGTATAAGTGTAGGGGGAAACCCCGGTGTAGTGGTCTAAGTGCACAATCCGGTATACCAGTACACCCAGATGGACCTTGTGGGAGATTAACCCTGTGCTAAACAAGTTATCCAATAAAGTCTACTACTATTACTTCTTTTTAAATATTAGAGTACATTTAGCTATTCCATTGATTGTTCAACTATTTAAAAAATATTTTTCAATATGCATAAAATAATTGGATTATACCCAGTGTTTGTGTTAAATTTATATGAAGAAGATAATTCAACATTTTGACCTGTGTTTCCATCAAACAGGTGTTTTGGTCGGGCTGTGCAGAGACAGAAGGATCGTGCTAGCTTGTGGCATGACCTGGGCATGAACTACTTCCGGCAGCACCAGTACAGTCAAGATGCAAAGATGGTCCAAAAAGCCATGCAGGTACTGTATAGCAGAAGATTTGATAAACAATGTGTCAATCACACATTTCACTCTAAGTCTGTAGATAATTCGATCATGACATTTGCTGTAGCCACCAGGTTTTAAATGCTTGAAATTTAGGTTATTGGTCATATTCATGCACAAGAAGAAATGTTTGTGAAATACAATATAAACACCAGGGACCCGTTTCACAAAGCATTTTTTCAATGACAAAATGACACAAATCAGTGACAAATCTGCTGATAACTAATCAGAAGCAAGGATTTCACTAGCTTATAACAAAAACTGTCGTTTGTCACTGGTGACAAGTTTTGTGAAATGGGGGCCCTGATTGCTGGTTAATTTGGGTGGCATCTAGTGAGATCTTATTCTTGGGCTTGATTTCTTTTGTTCTGTTGTCACTAGACCAGTTCCCTTTAACAATGGGCACTGGAGTTAATACTGGCACAGAAGGTTTGGTCTTGATGTCATTGATTAAACCATTTTAATGCAACCAGTTCTGCAAGAGATATCAAGTCCTCAGTCTTGATGTAAAAGTCAAATTTCTTTTCTCTGATTATTTAAATTAGTCTAGCTTTCGAAGAGGGTCTAGATAATCATTAACCATGAATAATATCTTGATTTTTTTTTCTTTCTGATTTTGTTTATTCCTCCTAATTTGTGTAGTTTATCCAAAAAGCAATCAAGTTAGATGAGTCAAACCACTTGCACTGGACAGCCTTGGGTGTCGTCGCTGCATCTAAAGGTTAGTAGATACCAGAATCTTTCTAAAAGTGTACAGATCACCTGAAATTAATTTGTGTACAGATAGATGTTTAAAATCAAACTCAGAAAAACTTAACCTGACTGTCTATAGGCTAACGGTTAAGAAGTATGAAGAAAACAAAATCAAACAATAAAAAAAAACCCTTCGCATCAAAGCCAATTAACTTTGACTTGCATTGCGCAGAGGTGTTTTTCTAGTTGAGTGCGTATGGATGTGTTGACTAGTCTACTCACAAGTCCATTTTTTGTCAATAGAGAGTATATATAAACTCGGAATCCTGTATCTCTCTATAGAAAATTTGGAACTCATATCTTTAATAACGTGAAGCGGTGTGGAAGCCTTACCATACAGTGTGAATAATTGTTTGATGAATGTTACACTTTAAATTTGTTAAACTTCTTGCCATAAATATTTGTTTTGGATGATTTTAATCCCAAGTATATGTATTTCTTTTTTTCATCTTGAAAACAATGCAATAGATATTTCTAAAAGATAATGATCTCATGCCCAAAAAGGAAATCTTTAGAACAATTTTAAAAGAGAGAACTTGTAAGCAAATTTGATTTAGTGTATATGATACATGTGTATATACAGTGAAACCTGTCTATAAAGACCACCTAAGGGAGACAAGAAAAGTGGTTTTTATAGGCAGGTGGTCTTTATGTACAGGTTCCTTTTAATACTACATGATTCAATGAGAAACCATTTTTAAGGTAAACAAAAAATGTGGTCTTTGTAGACAGGTGGTCGTTAAAGCAGGTTTGACTGTATCTATTCATTTTCAGCTTTTGATGACCCAAGACTTGCCCAGCATGCCTTCATCAAGTCCATACAACTAGAAGCAAAGGTAGGATTTTTAACCTTATATTATTTGTGTACTGTACATTGTAAGTTTAAAGTAAGCATTCATTGAAAATTACAAGTATGGCCAATGATTCTTCACTAGAAACCAGGAATTATGAGACATTCTGACCTCCTGTACCTTTAACTAGCCTGTTATCTAAATTCAGTACATGAATTTGATCCTGAAACACTTATAAATCTCGAACCAATCTGCAGCTCATATGATAAGATGAAGAAAATTAAAAATTGTCTTTCTCAGGTTAACATTCATTGGATACCCAGACATGCAGATCTTTGCAAATAACCAAAGATCTTACAAATTTCGCAACATTTAACAGATTAAAATTGGTCTGTCATGGACTCCTGTGAAATAAAATAAATATGCGTGGTAATTACCTATGTATTTTGTCACTATCCAGATATCATTGAAATATTCCAGATTTGAATTTCATTCTTGTGTTTGTTCATCGCAGAATGTTGTAGCATGGACCAACCTGGGCACACTGTACCTCACCAACGGGAATCTAAAGCTGGCTAACCAAGCCTTCGCTGTCTCACAGTCTCTCGAACCCAATCATGTTCAGTGCTGGATCGGACAGGTACTTCTGTAATGTTCAAATCTGTACTAAAAACGCACCTCTTTGGCCTTAATTATTTAGCTTGAACTGTTTTCTGTCCTTACTTACGTTTTTTTGTTTTGACCATGTTAGCTATCTTGTTATTGTGTTAGTTTCTATGTTAAGTTAGTCATTTTAGTAGGTGTAAGATTTGTATATTTTTCTTTGTTTATTCCTTTTGTATGATTATATTTCTTGTAAGTCATGCTTTTACAGCGCATAGAGAAACTTTGTTTATTATGCACATTCACTGTTGCAGCAGCTAAGGAGTGGAATAAAGTTCCCTCCAGTATAAAAGCTGCTCTATCAGAGGATGTTTTTAAGAAACTCCTTAAAACCTCCTTATTTCCTACTTGATTCGCTATTATTTTTGTTTGTTCAATGTTATGTTAAGATTTGTGGTGATATTGTTATATTGCATATTATTGTAAGCGCTGTGATATAGTGTTCTATGAATAGCGTAGCTAAATGCCTAATAATAATAATAATAATAATTATGCGCTTTATAAATATTGTATTAGGCATTTTTGGTTTGACACTTTATCTGGAAGCCTTTTCCTTTTTTATGATTATGAAGACATTTAATAAAAACCTATTGGTAGCGTCCAAGTCCAAGTAAGAGCAGTTATCACCTATTGCCTGAAAGGCGATGCTCACTTCTTTGATGAAATCAAGTTTGACCTTGTAATCTTGTTCCATTTGTAGAGAGCACACATCACCTAGAAGATTTGGCATGAAAGCCCTCAATGAGAATCTAAAAATTGGACTTTCTGGAAATGTTTCACTTTATGTTATCTTGGTACTCAGTCAGCTTCAGACAGATTTGGGTTCTTATAATTCTAAATGTTGAATGGAATATTGAACCCTTTTACCAGTAAGAAAATTTGTAATCCTGACTCTCTCTCTCTCTCTTGTTCAGGGTCTGGTTGCTGAGACGTTAGGCAGGCAGGAAGCAATAGATCTCTACAGGCACACCACAGAGTTGACAACCCATGTGAGTGATACGAGACCGAGATATCCATTGAAAAGGATATTCTGTCATATTTTACTGAACATTTGACAGTTTGCTAGTTTAAAGATGTTTTGGAAAAGGAAAGTTGATCATTCCTGATTATAACTTTAGAAGATTTTATCAGCCGTTTAAAAAAAAATTTCATCGAATTTATCTCCTCTATAAAATGTGAATACATGTATATTAAGCTATGTTCTTAGCCTAAGAATGCAGCTTTATGTTCAAATGGTGGTATTAAACAGCATTGGCACTGTCCTTATAGTACCATTTACCCACCTTGCTACTCTTAACACTAACCTTCCGTAGGCTGTATGTAAGTTCACACTTTTCACTCACAATTTACTCGTCAGTGGCAGGGGCATTGTTAGATGTATTTTCAGTGGGAGGGGGACGTCAGATCAAGGAACTAATATTGACCTATGCAATACATCCGAATTTTAAAAATTTGCAAACATAAGAAAATGTTTGATTAGCGATGTCCCATTGCCCTGGGTTTATTTTAGACTGTACATGCTGTAACATGTACCTGGACATTATTTTTTTTTTTTTAATGGAATAGGTGGAAAGTGGCCTTGGTTATGCTGATTTGGTATGTAGTGCACTCCTAGACCCGTCACTAGACAAGGATTCTGAGCTGTATCGATACAACGTCATTCAGATGGGTGCTGTGCCTGCTGCTGCTGCAGCTGTAGGGAAAGTGGCAGGTGCGTGTACAATTAAATATATATAGAGAGAGAGAGATGAAGAGAGACAGTAAGATATATATAAAAAAAGAGGGAGAGGTAGTAAGATATATATATATATAGAGAGAGAGATGGGGAGAGACAGTGAGATATATATAGAGAGAGAGAGGGAGGGAGAGACAGGGAAATATATAAAGCAAGAGAGGTAGAGATAGTGAGAGATATAGAGAGAGAGAGGGAGAGAGAGAGAGTGAAATATAGAGAGAGAGACAGGGAGATATATATATAGAGAGAGAGAGAGAGAGAGAGAGAGAGGGAGAGATAGTTAGATACAGAGAAAGAGGGAGGGAGAGACAGATATATAGAGAGAGAGAGAGAGGGGGAGAGAGAAAGAGATAGAGAGAGAGACATACACTCACTTCAAACATCTGTAGGTTGATATATGTAAATCAATGTAAGAAGTCATTTAAATTAATGGAATACACCTTACTGTTATTGCTTTATATATTCAGTTTAGAATTATTTGCATTTAACTAGGTTTTAGAGGAAACGGACAAATATATTAAGTAAAGATTTTAATCAATATGCCTACTTCTTGAATCATTATCATGCATGTTCGTGCATATGATGTAATTATTCTAGTTCAACTTGATTTGCCTACTACAAACAAATATCACAGGTGACGTTCTGTCCATCTCTGTATAGGTATATGTATGTATTTCTATCTCATTATCTTATTCCTCTCTCTCTCTCTCTCTCTCTCTCTCTTCCTCCCCCTCTCTCTTCCTCCCCCTCTCTCTCTTTATCTTTCTCTTCCTCCCTCGATCTCTCTGTCATGATCACCTCCTCGCTCAATCACAGATCGTCTGCAGGTGAGCGGAGAGGCCCATACGCTGCATGGACTCTTGCAAGAAAGACAGGGTCTACACAGGGCTTCGGAAGAATCCTATAAGCAGTAAGTCTCCATAGGGAATTTTCTACATGTAAACCCAGTCTCATCTTGGATATGTAGTCAAAGGTTTAAAGGTCTTTACAGTAATGTTTTTTCCCATGGATAACCACTCAACTCAGATGTAACGACATATGGATTCAGGGCAAAGCAGCCTTTATCGTCAAAATATTAGCATTAAAAATTGTTACCAGTGTGTTAAAAAACATCACATAATCACAATAGCTCAGTGGTAGAGCAGTGGTCGCGTAATTGGGAGGTTTAGGGTTCTAAACCAAGTCAATTTGATGAGGCATTGATCCGCATTACCAAGTCCCCTGGAAAGGACTTAAACCCATCGGTCCGCTGATTTGCTACATGTAATACTTTTCAAGCATACAAGCAAGCAAGTGCTCTCTTTGCAGTCAGGTTTTCAAAAAAACACTAAAACAAACTGAATCATTTACATTTTCAGGGCTCTCCATGTGTTGAAGAACCAAGGAGATGAGAAACAGATCAACATTGCCTTGTCTAACCATGGTAGAGCATTGAGGTAAGTGGAAACGAGTCATTCCTTCACTCAAACCCCTAATACCTGTACACAACATCATCATACATTTATTTTTTTAATTCTACCATTGATGTATTCCATGTCCATTTACATGAACCTGTAAAGCCACCTTTTTCTTCTGTAGACATGTCTTTATTTGTGAATATGTCATAGCAAATCTAATAAATGAATGTAAAGTTTATTTATGAATATGTAAGAAAAAATTTCCCTTTGAAGATACCGTATATATAGATATTTCTGTATGATGGAGCTACAGCTATAAAGACAGATTGTCTTGTGAAGAAGTAATGTGCTGTCATCATTGGTTTATTAGCATTCTTTGAAACACAGAGGACTGCATTAAAATTGTCATCTCCCATCACACTCTCTGTATATATATAAGTTTCTCTTCTTTTCTTTGTGTGATTCTTTTCCTTCCATTATTTTATGTAGCAGACTGATTCTGATGGAACCAAAAGAAATCACTATGAAATTTTGATTTTTTTTTTTTTTTTTTTTTTTTTTTTTTTTTTTTTTTTTTTTTTTGTTGTTGTTGTTGATTTTTTTGTTGTTGATTAATTTTGTTCTTCCCTATTATTTCATGTTGCAGACTCATGCTGCAGACAAAAAGAAATCTCCATGAGATTTCAATTATCAAATTAATTTTTGTTTAATAAGAATAAAAGTGCTTGAATCCTTCTATCCTCCAGCTCCATTGGTAAGGCAGAGGAGGCTAGAGATACCCTTCGTTCTATCAGTCCTCTGGTAGAGATCCAAGACATCCTGCAGCTGGCTCTGGCCCTCTATCAGAACAAGGAGTGGCAAGAGGCCTATATGGGTAATCTTCAATATCCCTGTTTTATCATTTGCTTGCCCCTTTCATGCTTTTCTGTAGTTACATGTTAAAACTTTTGTCTGCCTTGAGCTTTCATTAATTTAAAGCTTTGACTCTTACATGTTTATAATCCAACATTTATTTTTATAATGGTTTACCGCATAGCATGAACATAAATTTCCTCCTTTGTTTTGTGATATGTGTATATATGTATGTGATAAGAAAATATGTGAAAAACATTAATTCAAAACCCTGGGAGGTTATTATATTATAGAATGCCATTCATGCATGTACTTCTATTTTGCCAAATTAAATAATCTCTTTATTATCTGTTTGAGCAAAAGAACAACAAAGAGAAAGAAAAATATGGCACACATTCTGAACTTCCCAATGATATTTTTTCTGTTTTAACATATAAAGCTAACCTTCTAAATGACTGCAAGATTGTTAGAGAATCCAATGTTCAAAACATTAAAAACATTACACCCATAGCAACCACAGCAAACATCACATCTAAAACTGTCACTGAAAAAAGAGCACAATAAACAATATTTTGGGATTATCCTGCCAAGCTACTAGCACGGCTTCAGTTATTTCACAGTATTTTCACAAAAATTTACATCAAGAAATGTGTAGATAACAATGTTTGAATGTACACTCAACATTTTAAACTTCTTTGAAATTAATCATATGAATCTAACGTCCTTCCCTAAGCCTAACTTAGCCCAGGGTTAACACAAAAGACAGAGATAAAACTATGGAAGTGCAAAACTCAGGAAAACACCCTATGGCTACTGGTATCTTAAATTTTGTAATGCTGGCAAATACATATATTTGGTGTAGTGTCACCTTAGTCATCTTATAGTTTACAAGGGATTTTGGTATTTGCTATTCTTCATATCGTTGGTCTTCTGTATATTTTCTCTTGATTCATTGTTATTTACCTTCTTGTTTTTCTTCATCTATTTCTCTTCTTGCCTCAATCAGCTTATGAGCAAGCCTTGCAGTTAGTTTCATCTGATTGTGAGAGATCTCAGATCCTGACAGCTCTCGCCATGGTATCCTGCCAGTCTGGAGACCTAGCCAACGCTAAGACCTTGCTCTTCCAAAGGTAATATTTTTTTTAAAAATTTATTGAAATGTATTTAATCAGGGCTGTGTCTCACGAAACCGTCTTAAGTACAAGTCCAATGACATCCCATTAAAATGAGTGTATTAAGTTTAACACGCATTTCAATGGGATGTTGCTGAACTTGTACTTATGACGGTTTCGTGAGACCCAGCCCAGGATAACAAGAATCAGATATACATTGTAGATTTAAAATCTGTTTTACATCATGGTCCTGAAAAATATTGAAATTCTTTTATCTGCTATATATTGAAATTCTTTTATAAGCCCAAGAATGCTAAACAGTATCTTCAAATATGTATGATTCACAGCTCAATGTAAACAGCATACATGTCATGGAAGTATGATGACCTCTGACCACCTGATGGAATACGTTTTTTTTTCTTCTTTTCCGAGTATACAACTGAGGTCTCAACCTCCAAGGGCTAGTATCTCTCTGTGCATTGGGGCTAAAGACTTTGGGTATTACCCTGACCAATGTAGCCCTAGCTAACATTGTGCCTTACTTACCTTTGTATTTGTTACACATTTTTCGGCCACATACAAGCAAGGGCTAGTTGCTCTGTATGTCCAGGGCCCATCTTACAAAGAGTTGCGATTGGTTCAAATCAATCGTAAGTCCTCCAATCAATTGCAAGTCTGCAGTCTCCTACCTCTGATGTACATAGTTGCGATTGATATCAATTCTTTGTAAGACGGGTCCCAGGAGTTACAGACACAGGATGTAATCTTAACCAACACAGCCCTCGCCAACCTGGTACCTCTGATGTAACTTTGTTTGTTCTGCACTTAGTTCCCAGCTGTCTTTACCATGCCATCAATTAACAGTGTCCCTTTGTGCTTGTGGGCTACAGACCCAGGATATAATTCTGTCCATTTATTACAGATTTAGCTGACTACACTGTTGCTCATAAAGTTGGTTAACATTTTGTCACAACTAAACGTACAATAAATAAGACTTTTTTCAAGATTCAAAGATTCAAATGAGGTTTTATTCACGACTTCTCAAAAAGTCCAAAGACTAAAAATGCAAGTTTACATCAAACATACAATCAAATAAAAAAAAAGCATTTATGTTTACATGTTTTTTTATCATATCTATGGTGTATACAACCATGATGTTTAATAGATCTATTCCTTCAGGTTATATTTCAGTGAAATTAACCTACGATTTCCCTTTGCAAAGGGTTGTACCAAGGCAAAAACGAAAGAGGGGTATGGAAACAGCAAAACTAAGGGTTTTGTTGCAATTTTCAAAATTGGTTGGCATAACAGATAACAAATGTTGAAATGTATTGTATAATAATAATAATAATAATAAATTACATTTATAAAGCGCTTAATATGTTTCTAAGCGCTTAACAAAGCAAGGTCCAACATAAAATAAACATACCGGTACAGCAATAAAAATACATAATTCTAATAATAACATTACAGATAATTAAAAACTTACTTAAACAAAACTGCCCTATAAATTACTATTAAACAAAAAATTCTTCCAACTTGCCTTAAAAGACTCTACAGATGGGAATTGACGAATAATAATTCGTAAACTGTTCCATAATTTAGGGGCTGCAATAGCAAAAGTATGATCTCTGTAACGGGTATTGGTTCGGGGACCAGGGGCGTATTGGAAATTAGCATGTGTAGTTGACCGTAATGAACGTGATGGAACAATAGGTTTGAGAAGGTCGTTTAAATATGAGGGAGCATAACCATGTTTAATTTTGAATACTAGCTAACAAAAGAATCTTAAATGAATGCGAGTTAAAAAAGGAAGCCAATGAAGAGATCTAAGAATAGGAGTTGCGTGTTCATATTTTCTGGTTTTGGTAATGAGACGGGCTGCCATGTTCTGAATAAGTTGGAGTGGAGAAATGGTGGAATTGGATAAGCCAAAGTACAATCCGTTACAATAATCTAAATGAGAAGTCACAAAAGCGTGGATCAATCATTCTGTAGACTGTCTGTCCAAATATTTTCGAAGTTTACTAATCCTGGAGATACCAAAGGCAGCCATCCGACAAGTATTCCTGATGTGTCGTTTCATATTCAGTACATTATCAACAGTGACGTCGAGGTTACGAACGACTTTTGAAGGTACGATTTCAACGCCAGCAGCGTCCAAGCACGGCAGACTGCTAAAAACTTCTAAACTGTGATGTGATGTGTAGTACCTCAGTCTTAGATTGATTTAACTTGAGTTTATTCGAAGAAGACCAATTGTATGCATGAAATGAGTTTTGTTTTTCTCTTTTAAATGTCAATCAGTCACTAATATTGGGTTTGACGACCCCTGACACGGATCAGTGCATTAAGATGTCGCGGCATGCTGTCAACGAGCTCGTTGATGCTGTCAATGGCCAGAGCGTCCCACTCGTCAATCAGACTATGAGCTAACTCCTGTAGATTTTGAGAAATATTTTCCCTGTCATTGATGGCTCGGCCTAGGGCGTCCCAGGCTTGTTCAATAGGGTTCATATCAGGGGAGTAGGCAGGCCATAGCAACTGCTGCACCCCCTTTGCGTCAAGGAATTCTCTCACTGCAGCTGCTCTATGTGGCCTAGCGTTGTCATTTTGCAGCAGGAAATTGTTTCCATACACCCTTCGTGCGTGTGGAAGGCAGTGGTTCTCCAGGATGTCCAGGTACACAACGGTGTTGACGTTTCCATCCGGAACTACCAGTGGCGTTTTTCCGACATAGTGGATTCCGGCCCATGCGATCATGGACCCACCACCACCTTGAGTCGTTTCCCAAACGCAGTCATCTCTCTAGGTAGTTACACCTGCTGCTTTCCATCTGTACACTCATGGACGTAGTGGCTCTCATCCATGAAGATATGTCGCCAGTGTCCTAGCTGTAGTCTTCTGTGATCCCTAGCCCGTTGAAGTTGGGCAACTATGTGTCTAACGGTCAGGTGTGGACCTTTGGTCATTTCGTCATGCCCGATAACCATGTTGAAGCAGTCTCCGATTTACAGTTGGGCGGGAGATGTAGATTCTAACTTGTTGGGATTTTCCTATTCTGACGGCACAGGTTAACCAACCGGCAATCGTCTCATGTGCTGATCAATCAGGGTCATCCTGAAGACTGCCTTGGCCTCATATTACCCTCCCTCCGATGAAGTTTGTGGATTTTAGATGCTGTGCTCTGCGATATATCTCAAGGACACCTACAATATTGACTTGTTTGTGCCCTTCCTGTTGGAGCATAAGCACTCTTCGGCGTATAGCCAATGGCGTTGGACAAGGCATACATGTAGCTTAGAGAACCTCTGTACCAAAATTGGTTCAAAATGATACGGCCATCTTTGAAAAAGTAAACTTGTTACACATAAGCCTACGAGAGAGAAATGGACAAAATATTAAAGCGCGATGCCTCTTATAGCTTCAAACAAAAGGCTTCCATCAAAAGGCTCACTAAATGCATTATTATGCAACTATTCATTACACCTGGTAGTGGAGACACATTGTACAATTAAAAAAATTGGCATATAATGATCACTGACGCGAAAAATAGAAAAATGTACGGGTTTGATTATTTTTTTTAAATCCAACTTTATGAGTAACAGTGTACAGTATATGCTTATAACATAACTTTGTTGTTCTGTACCTAGTTCCCAGCTGTCAGCCCCGTCTCACCAGGGGCTAGTAGCCCTCTGCGCTTTAGGACTGCAGACCCAGGATATGGTCTTGACCCAAGCAGCCCTGTCTGAGCTTGCCAAGCAGCCTAATCAGCAGGACCTGGTCCAGGAGACAGCAGTCCTGGCCTCTGCTACGCACTATTTGCAGGTACTTTTGAAATCAAAAGTTGTGTCTCATTCGGCGTTAAAAAAAGATGTTGTATTGCCCTTTACGACAGACCCCAAAATCTTACAATCTACGGTCGGCATTTTAATAAAGTTAATGAATTAAATGTTCCATGAACAAAATGTCTTTTGTTTGTTTAAATAAGATATAAATGCATGAAATCATCAAATTATTCCCAAATTCTCACTCGTCTTCTGCCCTAGTTTCAAAATCCTGCTAGCGTAAACAATTAAGTAGACCCCGCCTCGTGTATGTGTATATGTGACCCGGCACCACAAAACCATCAAAATGTCGCAAAAAATTATTTTCCTGATTTCATCTGATTATGAAAGAAGAAGTTCCCCTCATTAAAATGGTATATTACTTGTCCAAATTGAAGCTTCCTAACCATTTCAATTTAGTGAATGAAAAGAGCTGGTGAGGGAGGTTACTGGTATTAAATTGTGAGAAAGAGAGCTTTAAAGTTTGGGGCTATTCAAGCATGCGGAGCAAGCAAACCAAGAAATCAATAGAAGGGTGAATCAAAAGGCCATAGCAACCACTATGAAGAGATTTTCAGATTAGGCTGAAATTTGGCCTGATGGTCAAACATAGTCTGTTCATTATGTTTCTGAGGTTTCAATGTGTGGACTTAAGTCTTTCAAAAGTTATTATGTTGTAAATGTATAGAGTTGTAATTGGACAGATTAAGTGAACTGCAACATAGTGCCGAGACACCTGCACTAGACAATGCCTATTCATGGTGGACCCGGAGTCTTTTTGTTCCCCCTTACATAACACTGCTTGTCACTTATTTGTTTTGTATACATCTGGGCAATTATTTGTAACCACATTATCAGGAATTCTCTCGTCGCTGTCTTGCCCGAAGTGTTCAGTAAGCAAAGCTGTAAGGTTGGCCTGATCCCCCGCAGCTAGCCCCCGCATCATCGCTTCGTTGACCGCCCGAGCTACCTGGGCATCTGCGTTGGTGCACCCCGGTACCATCCCACGGCTCTGCTCACGTACAAAACCTGGCATTGTAACGACGTTGTAGACTTTTTCGCAACTTGTCACTCTCAAATGTATAAACTATAATAATATTCTTACTCTTGATCAACAAATTCTGGATATGTGATGTACAATCAAGCTACTCGAAGTCGTTAACGGAGAATATAAGACGAACGCAAATCTGGAACTCGGATGTGAAAGCGGATACAAACAAAATGGCGCGCCGCACTGATTGCTATAACGGACCAATCACAGCCCGCGTAGCACGACCCGTTAGCAACGACCGACCATTTCCGGACTACGATAATTTCGCTCGGGAAAAGTGATCAAATTTTGGAAGAGACCGAAGGCTGTGCGAAAAAAACTGGTCTAGAAAAACTGTTTAAAACACATCTTCTACTATGTTTTAGACTTCCAAATTTTGATACTAGGTACAGAAAAGACCACTCATTCAGAAAATGCAAAAAAACAAAAATCTATTTTTTTCACCTAAATTGACATTTTAGCTGATTACGGAGAATCGCTGGTTGCGACTTTTTGTTGGTTTTGTGGTGCCGGGTCACATATACCATGCACTGCACCAGCTAGAAACCAATGAGATTTAGGCAACGTTCCTGGTTTTGAGTTTTTTAGGCCATGGTTGATACACTAGAATTTGCATTGGCAGGAGTATTTGAAGCCCCCATATGGTAGAAGCTACAGCAGTGGACGACATACATAATTTAAATCAATTACAACAGGAAGGTTTAAGTCATGTTTTCTTTTTGTTTGACACATATTTCAGGGTGATATACCAGGAGTTTCTCAACACCTCATGAACTCAGTTGAGGAGTAAGTATTTCATAACAATAAATGAAAAATTGTGCCTGTTTCGAGTCAGAAGGGCATTAACCCATACATTAAGTCATACAAAGTGAACGCCCTTCTGGCCTTGAACAAATGATTTACTTCAATTTCCTTATTTTGTGATTAAACATGGAGAGAATCAAAACCTGTTGTAGTGAATTTACAGAAGAATGTTTTTTGAAAATTCATTTTTAATCTCTGGTTCACATTTGTTCAACTTTTTTTCTTCTTCTTCACATATTACATGTTTGCTACTATCATCAAATAGGATCATTTGGTTGATCAACAGCTAATGTTGAGATCGTCATACCATTATTGATCTTAATCTATTCTAACAGTGCATGTTGCAAGTCAATAATTCTACATGTTTACGTACAAAATTATTGTTTGAACAGGTAGTAAACATTCTGAGAAATTCGGGTTTACAATTCCAAATTTTGTTTTCTTCAAACAATATGCACAAAGCTTCAAAAACATTCACCTTACTGGCATTTTTTCTGTATATATTGTTTCCAGTAGATCGTTTTTACTGCATTCATTGGATTTCATAGTATAAGTTCCATCAAAATCATGATCATCTTACATGTTGTTTTTTTTTTTTGTAAAATAGGTATCCTGATGATAGCCATTTATGGAACCTGGCAGCAGAACTGATGCTACTGCTCGATGCAACAAATACAGAGGTATTGTATCTCCAAAATAAGGCATGTACTAATGAGAAAAGGAGAGAAAAGATAATCATAACATTTATTGTTCTGCTGTTACAAGGATGCTTAGTCAACCCTATATTCTGTTATGAGTGCTTTTTTCCAGGGGTGGGGGGGGGGGGTTAAAAAAAAAATTCCATTTATGGTCTGTTTGGAGCCAGAAGGGTATTAACTCTGTAAAATAATATGAGTTACTGCTTTCTTGCTCCAAACAGATGATGAATCATCATCATCATCATCTTATTCCAGGTCTGTTACAGACACTCTATTTATGTCTATTATCTGCTATTCTTAAAAAGCTGGTAATGCCAATGATGATAATATTGACATGATTGGACAGCCTATTTCAATATTTCTTCCCTTGTTTTTTTTCCTTCAGTTTGCATCAACCTGTTCTGAAAAAGCAAGACGTCTAATACCTACCCACAAGGTGAGATGATATACACACAAACAAATATACAAATCTACTTGAATGGAGGGAAGATAATGATAGTAGTTTATTCATTTTATCTTTCATGGAAGCCCATACTTGATTTGATTTGATTTGATGTTTATTCATTCCATATACATTAAGGTATATACATTTACAAATGTTCACAAATTTCATGAATGCCTCAGCTTTGCAAAAGTATCATGCCGCTATACTATACAAATGATTGAATTGCTTATGACAAAAAACTGAATGTTCACAATTCACAATTCACAAGATTTTTATTTCACACAAATTCCAGGTTTTACATCATCTTGGAAGAGAGTATTTGGAAAATAGGACAAAATCAATGTCCATTGGTTCATGCTTGCTTTGCATCAAGTCTTCTCAGTGCTATCGGGTACCGGGATCAGTTACTCCTGCATTAAATATTTTAGCAAAATAATATGTTAAAGATCATGTTCGCTATAGTGATACTTTTGCGTAACTACAGTGTATATGATGGTTTTCTATCCTGTAGAACGTTCTTCAAGTCAATGCAGCTGCAAGACTATGCTCTGGTTGCCATGGCAACTCCTCCAGAGACCGTCTGTATCCCAGCTTGATTGCAGCACAGAAAGCTGTCCATGCCATGCCAGGTAGATACACTTTCGCTTTACATCAACTTACTTATAAGGAACACACAAAGGAAATAGCCTTTTGATACATGTTGAAGAAATACATGTCATATTTAGCCATATTTGTGTCTAGTTATGACATTATTTTGCAGCTGTATTTGTCTGCAATTATTTAATTATATATCTCTTTTTTAATTCCACCAAATTATCAATGGTCGTTTCTCTCAGATTTGAAAATTGTGATAGCATTGATCATCGGGACATTGCGGAGATAAAACATTTGATCTATGATTGTGTTAAACATGTAGCATTCCTCAATAGAACATCCATTTGAGTGTTGAGTGAAGGTAATTGAATTTATGGTATAGATCATTCTCCAATATACTGAATGTACGCTCTATGTATGACCAATGATCACAACTATTCAAAACCTCCCCCATTAGCCACAATTGTCAATGTAAATCATCTGTTCCATTGCTTACGATTCAAACCTTGATTGAATTTGAGTCTCTTTCTTGTTTGGTTTTGCATAGGTGATATGAATAATTGGGCCCTTCTTGGAGCCTGTTGTTCAGCTCAGTCGTCATGGCAACATGTCCACCAAGAGAAGTGCAATCTGATAGATGTTAATCTTCGAGTGGCCAAATTTCTCCTGAAAACAAGTGAGTAAAAGAAGGCAGAAAAAAAGAAGAAAAATCCTCTAATGTAGTAATTGAGGCCTAGACTACTTGGTAAGCCTCTGGGCCAGTCTCAAGACCTAGTCTAGACTAGCCATCTGCCTTCCCTTCCTTCATTGATGTGAACTTATGACAAATGATATATATGTATGTGCAAAGCCTGGACCAACTTTTGTTATCTCAGCCCTTCCACACAAACATGATTTGGACATGATATATATGTATGTGAAAAGCCTAGTCCAGACTTAGAGCAGTGGTCTCGTAATCCGGTGACCCGGGTTTGAAACCAAGGTGATGCGCTAGTGCCCTTAGGTAAGGCATTAATCCTCATTACCAGGTCCATCGGAGAGGACTTAAAGCCATCGGCCGTCTGGTTGCTTACTTACAAGCATTTATGCTTTCTTAGCAGTCAGGTAAAATAACCACCACCAACCACCACCAACTTAATATAACTTGGACCAACTTTTGTTATAGTGTGTATAATATTGTTCATGGATTATTAGTACCCATTTAGCCTGTAATCATAGTCCTGGGTAGCAATGTATTCGCCTAAACCTGCACTTCATATCTGAACTTCATCAAATTTCTTACGAGACGAATACCCTAAGTAAATTTTTAGTGTCAAAATCTTTAGCTTCATGTCAAGATGGAGGTTTGCAAAGGAAACCACAAATCAGAAATGGCAGGGAAAATACCAATACTTCTCCTTACTTTCATGATTGATTTATGTTTGATGTTATGAACTTTCCAGTAAATGATGTATGATCATTGTGTTGATGATCTTAAAAGATTTATATTAAAGTCAAGTGGCTAAGTGATTGATTGCCTGTTTTATTGGAATGATTTTTTTGTTGTTGATTTTTTAGGCAAAGCAGATTCTAAGCTGGCCGCCTGGGTTTCTCTTCACAACGTCTTCTGCTTGCTACAGAGTCAGCAGTGGAATGAAGCAAAGGAACTCTCAGAACGGGTATGATACTGTGTCTTTTATAATCGCAGTAGTTTATATATCGAAAGGGATATCCAAGGCTACCCAAAATTATGATTTAAACATATGTTACAAGTAGACAAAAATAATAAAGAATAACAAATAAATGGTGACCTTGTTTTGGCTATCTTGCCATTTTTTTTAATTTTTTTTTTTGGGGGGGGCTGTTCTTTGTTGGAAAGAATGTATGCAATAAACAATACTGGCAGGAGGATATTTATTGCTTAATATATTACTCATTGCGGATGTAGTATCGATAATAATATTGCTAGTGATCACTAGCAATATTATTTTCGATAGGATATTTATTACTTTAAATAATCGACATTTTTCTGTGCAACATGCTGTCTACAACTTAGAAACACATTTCCTAGATTCAGAAAGTAAACAAATACCAATAAGCTGTTTCACTAAATTACAAAGCAACTAATTGACAAATCTTCCTTTCTTTTTTTTTTTGCAATTATGCATTCTTGGGAGTTTGCTTACCTTTTGTATTTCAGTTTCCAGTTGAGAATCTAAAACAAAATTGCTTGCATGTGAAATTAAACTTTGAGTTATGTTTGCATGAGATTTTGCAAAAATTATATGAAGCAATGACCTATTTTCCTTAGTTGCTGCATTGGCAATAAGACTTGTAGATTGCCTATTACTTTTTCTTCTCTCTTGTTTGGGAGGGGGTTTCAATGGCACCAAGGCAACTGCTTGTTTTTTATCTTATTTTGTCATCAATCTAATTATTTTTTTCCAAAGTATTTCACCAGGTACATTTGCTAAAAGAACATGTATAACCTTTCTCGTTTTTTCCATGTTTTTCATCTTAAATTAGCTGCTGGAGTGGTGCAATTATGGGGAGGAGATCAATGCTAATCTCACGTTACTGCGTACCCTGAGTGCCTGGATGGCGACTAGGAAGGAGGGTGGCCTGGAATCACTCAGATCAACAGTCACAGCATCACAGTCATCACTGGCATGGCAGGTAAAGAGAGTAACCTCAATAAGCCACTTCTCTGTATTCTTGATATGGAAGGAATACTCCCCAGGGAGTAGAAATGGTGCACATTTTGCGTGAATGAATCCAATGACTGGGGTAATAATATCTGTAAAGTGCTTGGAGACGTATCGAGCACTATATATAGCTAGATCATTATTACTTGTAATATGCTTTGCCTTTTTTTGTTGGTCCAATAGATCCTTTTCACATCAAATTAAATTATTTGATAATATTCAATAAGAAATAATAGATTTTTTCAAGTTTGTTTTTCTTATAAATGAGAGAAGACATAACTTTCTCAACAGGTGGCTATAGAATACCAGCAATAGAAAATCTGATCTAGTGTAGGGATGTGCATCACCCTGATGTTTTAGAGTTTATAATGCACAGGTACAGTTCATTTCATTTAGAGAGGCAAAACAAAATGTGTCCCCTCAAAATTTCTCTATCTTTTATAAGTATACCTTACATTTTGGTAGAAAATTCAGAAAATAAGTTAGAAGAAATATATATATACTCTCTATAATAGGAAGATGAAATACTCTGAAGGCCTACCTGATCAAAGGTGAAATGTCATTGGTTATCAATAAGAATTGAATAAAATTAATGGCATTTTGGTATAACATTTGTCCGTTTGTTTGTTTTGTTGAATGAAGACATTAGGTAAGATCTACTGTGAATCTAAGATGGTGGCTGCGGCAGAAGCATGCTATAAACAGTGCCTGACTCTCACTAGTGGTAGAGGACAGATCGCCATATTACACCAGTTAGCTTACCAGGCTATCTTGGGTTTGAAGGTGAGATAGACATATTCGAGCCTATCTTCTCCTCTCCCGTAGTTTTTTTTTTTCTTTGAAACCTTTTTTTATTCTGTATCATGTTTCCCCTGTAGAAAAGAGGATATGTCTTTCCTCTGATTCCCTCCTTCTTTGCATGTGTTCATTTATGTCTAATGATAATAATGATAATAATAATAACAATAATAATAATAATGATATTGATAATGGTAATGATCATGATCATAATCATAATCATAATCATTAGGGACTTGAACTGTGAACCATGTGATTTAGATCACAGCACCCCTAACACCTCTGACATCTTTGTAGATTGTCTTTCATTTCATAGAGGTGAACTGTTTTAATACAATTTGATTTTGGGTACAACACACATTTTTCATAGACTCCAGCTGAAGATACAGGTATCACTGGCACTTTCACCGACACACTATTGTAGCAGTGAACAAATCTAGTGTTCTGTTTTCAAAGATATACTTAATTTAATTTGTAGTTTTTGCATTTATGTACGTTTTAGCATTTGTTATTGTTTCAAACCACTAAAGGCCAATAAAGTGAAAAAAAGAATCAATTTATTAAGAGATGTTCTTATTGCCACAACAATTTTGATTGATATTGATTTATTGCGTATCTCATTACAGGCAGGGGATGACACTGGGTCATGGGGCGACCTTGCAAAGCAAACAGTTGATGAACTCAACAAACAGGCTCCAAAGGAAACCACCAGCTGCTTGCTGAAGGGATTGCTTTGTAAACATCTAGGAAATCAGAGGTCAGCATGTTTAGTTTGTTCATTTTCATCACCACCATCATCATCAAAATCATCCTCATTGTGATCAACATACCCTGGTACTCTTCTCTTCCTCTTCCCTCCTTCTCATCATCATCACCACCATCCTCAACTTATGCATGATTATCATCATCATCATTGTAATCATAATCATCATCATCCTCATTGTCATCAACATACTCTTCTTCATCATCCTCCTTCTCATCATCATCACCACTATCCTCAACTTATGCATGATTATTATCATCATCATTGTAATCATAATCATCCTCGTTGTCATCAACATACTCTTCTTCATCATCCTCAACTTATGCATTATTTTCATCATCACCACCATCCTCAACTTATGCATTATTATCATCATCATCATTGTAATCATAATCATCATCATCCTCATTGTCATCAACATACTCTTCTTCATCATCCTCCTTCTCATCATCATCACCACTATCCTCAACTTATGCATGATTATTATCATCATCATTGTAATCATAATCATCCTCATTGTCATCAACATACTCTTCTTCATCATCCTCCTTCTCATCATCATCACCACCATCCTCAACTTATGCATTATTATTATTATCATCATCATTGTAATCATAATCATCATCATCCTCATTGTCATCAACATACTCTTCTTCATCATCCTCCTTCTCATCATCATCACCACTATCCTCAACTTATGCATGATTATTATCATCATCATTGTAATCATAATCATCCTCATTGTCATCAACATACTCTTCTTCATCATCCTCCTTCTCATCATCATCACCACCATCCTCAACTTATGCATTATTATCATCATCATCATTGTAATCATAATCATCATCATCCTCATTGTCATCAACATACTCTTCTTCATCATCCTCCTTCTCATCATCATCACCACTATCCTCAACTTATGCATGATTATTATCATCATCATTGTAATCATAATCATCATCATCCTCATTGTCATCAACATACTCTTCTTCATCATCCTCCTTCTCATCTTCATCACCACCATCCTCAACTTATGCATGATTATTATCATCATCATTGTAATCATAATCATCCTCATTGTCATCAACATACTCTTCTTCATCATCCTCCTTCTCATCATCATCACCACCATCCTCAACTTATGCATTATTATTATTATCATCATCATTGTAATCATAATCATCATCATCCTCATTGTCATCAACATACTCTTCTTCATCATCCTCCTTCTCATCATCATCACCACCATCCTCAACTTATGCATGATTATCATCATCATCATTGTAATCATAATCATCATCCTCATCCTCGTCATCATCAACATACTCTTCTTCATCATCCTCCTTCTCATCATCATCACCACCATCCTCAACTTATGCATGATTATCATCATCATCATTGTAATCATAATCATCATCATCCTCATTGTCATCAACATACTCTTCTTCATCATCCTCCTTCTCATCATCATCACCACCATCCTCAACTTATGCATTATTATCATCATCATCATTGTAATCATAATCATCATCATCCTCATTGTCATCAACATACTCTTCTTCATCATCCTCCTTCTCATCATCATCACCACCATCCTCAACTTATGCATGATTATCATCATCATCATTGTAATCATAATCATCATCCTCATCCTCGTCATCATCAACATACTCTTCTTCATCATCCTCCTTCTCATCATCATCACCACCATCCTCAACTTATGCATTATTATTATCATCATCATTGTAATCATAATCATCATCATCATCATCATCATACCGGTGTTGGCTCAGTCAGTAGAGCATCTGCCTCACAACCGGGAGGTCGTGGGTTCGAACCCCGGCTGCGTCATACCAAAAGACGTTAAAAGACGGGAGTTGCTGCTACCTTGTTTGGCATTCAACAATAAGGGATAGAGCAACGTCGATCTGGCGCTGCTCAGTGTTTGCTGGGCTCACGATCAATTGGGCAAAAAGAATTTCCATTTTCGGTTTAACTTAATCAAATTTGGAGTGGACTTTAAAAGATTATTATTATTATTATTTATTATTATCATCCTCATCCTCATCCTCATCCTTCTCCTCATCATCATCATCTACCTCCATATCATCAACAGCATTTGCACACACAATGACTGCCTTTCAAACACACATGAAAATACAATGTAGCAGACAAGTATAATCCATCTATCAACAAAATTTCAGAATTTGTCTATTCCTTTCTAAAAAAGCATCTTAGATAGACTCATTTGACAGTCTCTTTGTTGATGACCCATGTGCAGGCAATCAAGACGGGAGCTGCAGCGTGGCATGGAGAGCAATGAGGAGCCTGCAGCAGAAGACTACACACGGTCTGTCATAAGAGTTCACTTGGTGGAAGCATTGATGAAGAAGGATAAGGAAGCTGCACAGGTAATTAACCTCATAATTATTACAAGCTAATAGATCTTTTTAAAATTTGCCATTTTGTTGCAAATATACTCAAATAATGATATCTCTCAAGTAACATGCATTAAGTTTGTGCTCTTGTTGGAAAGTGATGTTTAGATGATGTACTGTATAAGGAATCATTTTCGTGAACATCACAACATTTTGTGGGGTTACAAATTTTATTATTCTTTTGATATACCTACATCAATTTTTTTTGCTGCCATAAAAAATTATAAAATCGGAAGATCCAGAAATTTTGGACTGTCCGGGAAAAATTGGGACAGTTGGCATGTGTGCCATACTAGGTTTGAAAATGCCATCTTAAAGATTCCAATGTGAAACAAACGGTGTGGAATCAATCAGAAAAGGTTGATCATCAAGCATAATTCTAAGTGTGTACTGCAAGGTTCTGGAATCATCAAAATTATAAGAAATTTGTCCCAGTCTTGTATATATAAGTAAATGGGACTACACAAACATATGGCATTAAAATCTGTCCCGATTTTTATGCTGTTACATGCCATATTGAGAATATTAAGGCATTTGAAGAGCCATGCTTTTCAGGGAACATTTTTATATCTGATGTTTTTCCATGCTTACATAATATCAATGATAACACTCACAAATTATTTTTCACCTCTTCCCAGAACTCAACCTTCTCTTTAAGTCTATCAATCGTGAATGTATGAGAAAAATTGATGTACTGAACTGAACTATATCCTCTATGTTCTAACCCCATTTTCATTCACAGGTCCTTGTGGAAGAAGCCTTAGAGAAGAAAGATCCTTTCAGTGCAAGATTGGAGGAATTGTTTTCAGCATAATAGATTTCTGTACGTCAGTCATATTAGGCCTGTCTTCGTCAGTCATCAGCTTGAGTTTGCCAATTAACCCGCTATTTTCAGACTCCGGATATTATCCTGAAGCTTGAAATTGCGTTTTCACCAGACCGATACGCTCATAACAAACTAGCTTGGACGGGCGCAAATTAGCCTGCTATTTCCCAAATAGCGGGATATTTGGAAACGAGACCAAAATTTCTTGGGATATTTTCTTAACTAAATATCCTGCTAATTGCAACTGCAGGCTGATGAAGACGCAAATTAACTGGCTAATTTGTGATCGGGATAGTTGAAAAAGCAGGCTATTTTGCAAACTCGAGCTGATGAGGACAGGCCTATTGTTATTTTAAAAGATCTCCCAAGACCACTACCATCCTACAAGTAATAAAGTCATCCCTTCTTCTTCTTGTCTATATTTATGTTTTTTTTTTCTTATGAATGTTTAGGAACAGGATATATGGTAAACAGTTAATGTGAACCATCAACTATAATATAGTTTATAACATCATTTTCTTTGGCTGGAATGTTTATGTTAGTGGTCAGTTTGAGACAAAGAATCATCGGAGCATTTGCTTATCATGCCATTGTTAGTAACGGTTACCTAAAGCATTGTGTAAGCAATTTATCATCTCATCATTGGCCAAAATTCCAAGCAATGGTTTACTTGACTCTCAATCATTTTGAGGTACATGTCGAAAGTGAAAAATGCAATAAATGAATTGAATACCAATGGAAAGCTTATAAGCCATAGATTACAATAATATTGATTATATGCTATTTGAGTGTCTGTGAGAGAATAAACAGCTCTCTAAAAACAACTTGAAATCTAAAGCTTTGGAAATTGGAAGTTGCCAATCTAAAAACTAGCTATTGACTTGATGACATCATCTTATGTAGAGTAAGCAGATTCAAAATGACTTTGCATTAATTATCAGTAAGCATGACTCATCGCCTCAGCTACATAGGCTCATTTGAGTTACTATAAAGAAAAATGCAAACCAGATCATTAGGGGGAATGCTTGCCTAGAAAATTTCAACACAAAATAGGGTGCAAAATAGGGGTGCTGCGACAATTAAGTTTGCAGAAACAATTAAGCAGAAAATAAAGAGGCCTTATTACTGTTGCTAACAAGTTGGAGGTAGATTTTCCCGAAAGAAGTTGAGCCTGATTCTAAAACTTGACTGAAATAAAAATTTAAAAAATCAGCTCTTTAGGAAAATTATTGTCAACATTATATAGGTCCTATCCACACATTTCTTCTAATGGTTTTGAATTAACCATTGTATATTAATTCACACATTTCAAATAAAAACAGTGATAACATTGATACTTTGAACCTGTTTAATCTTTAGCTCAATGCCCTTTTAGAATGAACGTTTCAAGTCCTCTCGCCTCCTGCCAATTCGAATGGCAAAAATTGAAGAGAATAAAAGAGAGAGAGATACAGAGAGAAAAAGGTGATAGAGAGAGAGAGAGATAGAGAAAGAGAGAGAGGGGGGGGGGGTAACATATTCTGAATATGATATTCATGTTTTTAATCGTCTTGACATTGTAGTTTTTCCTTTAAATCACTTTAATAATAATTTCCTCACTCCTCCTCTCTCTCTCTCTCTCTCTTTCTCTCTCTCTCTCTCTCTTCCTTTCTCTCCCTCTCTTTCTCTCTCTCTCTTTCTCTCTTCCCTCCCTCACTCTCTAGGTTCATCTCTCTTTCTCTCAGCCCCTCTTCCAGCTTAATCTGTCCATCTGATTCATGTTTATATTATATATATATAATTACTAAAACAATTGAAATAAAAAAATCCTTGAAAATTTACTTCTTCATTGTGGTTTGGTTCAATTTAATTTCGTCAGATCCCTCCCTCCCTTTTTCTGAAGAGATAAAATTGAAACCGGTCAAAGTGAACTCTAAAGGATTTTTATTTCAAGTGTTTTAATCATTTGTATATTGCTGTGACGAAGAATTAGTCAATTGATGTATGTGTTTTATATATATAGAATTTATATCACCTTCTCTTCATACCCCTTTCTCTTTCTTTTCCCCTCCCATTTACACCCGGCATACGTCCTAACCAATCCTTTGTCGACGGCAAACTTTATCGCAATGTCACCGATAATGTTAATGATTACATCTCAGTTTTAGAAAGGAAAGAATGGAAACAGTTTGACACACGTTTTTGTTTTTTATTCATTTGCATATTTATTGCGAAGGTGATCACCAATTCTGAAAGACATATATAGGGCAGTGAAACATTTTGTAACAGAGCAAGATACGTATGCATTTGAAAATGTCATGCAATGAAATCAATTTCGACGACTAAAATACAATAGAATTCAATAACACTGAAATTAATTTGTTCTTGTTCAATAATTTCATGGATTATTTTATCTCTCACATACTCTAAAGACAAACATTACATAGTAATGATGATATATTTCCACAAATTTTGCATATGTCAATGAAAAGCAGGGAATAAAGAAATTGATTTGCAAGCTGTCGTCTAGTTGTAACTTTGAGTGGTCGCTATGGCAAATATTCATACATCATTCATGCAGTAAATTCAAATAAAGACTTAATTCCAGATTCAGCTGCAAGAGCAGAGGTCCATATAACATATTTACATGTAAATATAAACAATGAACAAGAATAAGAGGGGGACATATTATTAAAAACTGACATATTTACATGTACATATATAAACAAGGAAGAAAAAAGGAGGGGAGCACATATAGATATAAGACAAACAAAACTAAACTACTTTAATCAACCTCTGCCGACTGTGATAACAAGCTACTGAATCAGAACTTCCAAAAGTCTGAGATGAACCTTGTACTGCTTTGCAATTGTTAACCAACATTTTAACAATTAAATTTTCTGAAGTGTCAATTCTCTGAATAAACTTGAAAATTAGATTTCTTACAACAGCTTGACATGCAGGTATATTCACATCTGCAAACATTTTACTTACACTAGAGTGCCTAGGTTTTCGTAAGAGCATCCTCGTAGCATCATTGTAGGCTACCGTGAGCTTCTTTATACTACTCTTTTTATACCTACTCCAAAGATGTGCAGTATATAACGGATTACATTTATTTAAAAAAAAGCTCGAAATAATTCAACCTTTACTTTACGAGAGCAAATATGAAACTTTCTGCACAATGTGTTACCCTGTGCATAAAGTTTACGACACTGTTTATAAATATCTCTATCATCACACAGGTCCTCAGTAAAATAATGATCTAGGTACTTAGCCTCTTTAAAAACATCAAGTTTAGCACCACACAAATAAAATTCTGGAAATACCAACTTATAATATTCATTACCAACACAAGCATAAAGTGACTCTTTTTCGCATCATTGCCATGCCAAACTGAAAACAAACATTTAGCAAGCTTTGTAAACCTGCAGTTGATGGACTACAAATAACAAGATCATCAGCATACATTAAATGATTAACTTTGGAACTACAAATAAAACAGCCAGTACCACAGTTATTCAATGTTACAGATAAATCATCCATATACAAATCAAATAAGTATGGAGACAATATACCTCCTTGCTGAACACCATTACCAACATGAAAGGTGCCAGAAAGGCAGATACCCCCATCTCACCATCATAGTCTGGTGACCGAATACCCCTGTTACTCATTTTCTTATATAATAGTACTTTATTAGCTCTATCTAATGCTTTGGAGGCATCAACAACAACAACAAAAATATATAGAGAGCAATTATCTCTTTTAGAGCAAAAATACACATCAGTTCTATGCTAATTCACTTTAAAGCCAATCTGATTATCATTCATAGAAATATAAAGTTCTAACCTAGACAATGATAATTTCTCCTTTAGAAAGAACACTGGCCAATGCAATTGGTCTATAATTATCTTTACTAGCAATGCGACCAGCTTTGTCCCTCAATTTTGAACTTGCCTACTTCAAATGATATCAATTTTCTACAAACTGCCATTTTCATGTTTCGCCTTCAGAAAAAATGAACAGCTTCCTGTTTCATTTTCTATTCTATTCCAATTGAATGGAGATATCCACTCCTACCCTACAAGACAATCTACTAATTTCTATTTGTGCAATTCAAAATTGTTATAGCCTTTAATCCATTCGCCACACTGGCCCATATGTATGGAATTCTCTTCCCATGCATTGATACCGTACTGCGCTGTCACTGTACTCTTTCAACAAAATCGGTCAAAGCTTTTCGTTTTTTCACAGTACATGTATGTTGCATATCAGATATTGTAATTCTATGTCACCGTAATGAATATGTATTGTCAAGTTGAACCAGTTATTTTTTGTCATGTCATTGTTTTATGGCTGGTAATAACTGAGGCAGTAAATTGACCTAAAATCTTTTTATTACAAAATCCTCGTATGTAGTAAAAACTGATTTACTCAGTAGTTAAACGACATGTGCCTTTTTTTAATTATATCTCAGCATTTAAGTATAGAAATTGTTCCTCTATCTATCCCTCTCTATCTCTCTCTCTCTCTCTCTCTCTCTCTCTTTCTCTCCGTCTCCTGAAGCAAGTCATTTTTTTAATCAGTTTTTGTCATTTTTTCCGTTGAATTCCTTTTTTATATTTTTTTATTATCATATTTTGCTGTCACTATAATCGTAATTTAAAGAGCTGTATGCATACCCTGTATAATACTTTATAAGAAAATGAACCATAGTGACACAAATTTTAGATTAACATTTCAATTCAATGGGAACGATTTTCTCGCGGCGGTTGTACGCCTTCCGCAAGAGGAATTTGACAAGATCAACGACCAGGACACCGACTTCGCAAATGGTGATCACAGAGAAACCGATGTAAAGACCAAGAAGACCCCCGATGCCGCCAAGCAAACTTTCGATCTGGAGATGAGTAGGAGAAAAAATAGAAATAGCAGGAAAAATGGAAGTCCTGAATGTCACTTTATTCTTATTATTCCTCCTCTGCTTCGTATGTGTCCAGCGCTCACTTCATGGGCATTCCAATAATAAACACCTATTTTCATTTACAGGAAATGTTCATATTCTTTTTAATTTTCAATTAATGTAATGAACACAATATAACATAAAGACAAATTAATAGCAAGGTATTATCGGGAATAAGGCGTATACCTTTAATAATTCCCATCTCACTAGCAAATGATTCCGCTTTTATCCCAATAATTACATTCAATGTTTAATAAAAAAAAAATTGATAGATCATGGCTTGATATTTTCTATCTTGTTTATATTATCTTCAGCGTCATCTCCCTAGTCGCCAAAATTAAAAAGTTAACCCTGACGATAAGGTATTTTTTTATTTACATAGGGATGCTGGTGATAGAGATGATCAAATATAACACAAGCAAATGTATAAAATATGGAAGTCGAAGTGAACATACCGTGTACTTTGGTTTCTGGATCATCTGCTCAAAGTTGAGTTCTTCAAAGTAGATCCGGACTCGAGCTAGATTTCGACTGTTGAACAAAACAAATCAGAGAACAGATTGGGCTCTACCGCAGCACTTCATATATTAATAATAAAAAAAATAATAATATGACAACTTAAACTTAAACTTAAATCTCACAATAGCGATGCTCATGACGCAGTAAAAAAAATAAAAAATTATTTATTTTAAAAAAAAACCTTCAAAAACATTCGCGGCCCGAGAGCCGAATTGCAGTTTCTTTTACATAGTATACATCAGTGACAAAGTAGAATTACACGTAAAACATTATGCATGGTAGCATTATGGTAGTAAAAAATGGAATTCTTTTGTACATATGATATATAATTGTGCTTCACGACCATGGCAAATTATATACAGAAATCTGAATTGTATTACCATATTTGCAATAAAATTATATATTGAACTTACACAACTTATGAATAGCCTACATTTTTTATATTCAAAAGAATTAAAAAAATAGAGTAGAAATAGTCACATATACATGAATATTAGTACAAACATTAAACATTAAATCATTCGATACACTACACGTAATACTTAGCAGTATACAACAATTATTAACAGTATGCGACATTGAACAAGTATGTCTTGAGTGCGTCTTATATTCATTGACAGATGACAGATTACGTATAGATTGTGGCAGTTTGTTCCAAAGTAATGGACCGGCATGTGGAAAAGTCCTACCCCCACCCCCTCCCCCCCCCCCCCCCCCCCAGAATTTCGAGTTTGTGGTACAACCAGTAAAGATGAATTCTTGAAGGATTGTTTAGGTTAATTAAACTACGATTATACTGAGGGGCAGACCCAGTAAAGAATGGAAAATGGCAGGAGTACTATACGATATTGAACAGGAAGCCAATGGAAAGACTGTAATATTAGCGTTATATGGTTTCTCTTATAGGGGACAAAGTATAACAAGACGAGCTGCAGAGTTTCGTAATCGCTGCAGACGGGAGACTTAGGCTTGGGCTAGTTGATAAAATAATGAGTTACAGAAGAAAAATCTGCTTCACCCCAATCCATAATTCAGCATACAATATTAAATGTCTACCTCCCTGTCACTCGTCAAGTGCCATGTTAACACGTACGGGTACATTCGCAAGCGAGCAAAACAATAACAATTACATTTTAATAGATGGTACGAATATGCTTTTACAATTATAACACACTAGATAAGTAATACAATTGTTTATGAAAGCACCTCGCTGCCGAATACTTGAATACAAATTTCATATATTCGGTCACCTCGTTACAGAAAAAGAAGGAAATTCAAATGTGTCTTGTGGCCCACAATTTCCTGTTTCTAAGTGTTGCGAGCAAGCGAAGGAGCATAGTAAAAATGTAATCTCGATTACATTATGCGGGCATCTTGCAGCATGTATGTGGCACCTGACGATGTTTGGCAACTCGTTGCCTAGATATCGGCATTCAGGCGCTTCAATGGTTGAAATCATCTTGTTTATAAATGCTGCGAGCGAGCGAGCGAGGAAGAAAGACGTTTGATTATCTTTGAGATTCCCCTCATGGAAATGTATAGCGGTTTTTAATATACTATTTTCACGAAAAAGAAATTGACCTCATTTCAAGAACAAAAATTGTTGATATAACTAAACTTCTCTCGCGGCACCACTAGAGATTTCTTGCGGCAACCCGGTTTAAAAACGGTCGAGTAGATATGTCACCATACTGTAGATGAAAAGGTGCATGTTCTGACTCCCGGCAACTGCACTAACGTCCTTTGATGTAACCAATTCCTTTGTAGGCACATAAAGATGTTTAACCATGTTTTGATATGCATTTACTATGGAATAATACTATTAACAATAGTAGGCTACTAAGATTTTGAGCTGTCCCTCCTCTTTGATCAGGGGGGGGGGGGGGCGTTTCACAGAACATGTCATCAGTGACAGTTAGTTTTTGTTATAAGCTACTGAAATCCTTGATTCTGATTGGTTATCAGCAGATTCGTCACTGATTTTTGTCATTTGTCATTGAAAAAAGGCTTTGTGAAACGGATTCCAGATTTTCATCTCAAATACAGTATGAATATTTGGATTTTCTCGTTTAGACTCCTTACCTTGTTTGTCCATGGTCATCAAGAATACGCCTAGCGTTGCCATTGGTCAATCTAGTTTTCAGGTGACCCTGGCGTGTGATCACGTGAGAAATAAATAAACAAATACAAAAAAGATTAACTTTGTGCTCTGTAATCTTTTGATACATTTTAGAATGATTTATTGATATGAACTTTATTTCATTACCCATTGATTATCATCTACAATAATGGACAATGTTATTTGATAAATTCACATTTGTTTGGTTATCATGCCAAATCAGCTTTGGTTTACACCATTTTCATTGAAACAATTAAATACATGCTATTATGCTCGATTTGGTTTTGTTTATAGTTACAAAATTATTATCCCCTCGCCGACGAAGTCAGAGGGGATATAGAAACGCCGCCGTCCGTCCTTCCGTCCGTGTGTGCGTCCGTCAGTCCGTAACAAATTTGGTTTCCGATCGATAACTTCAGTAATGTTTGACGGATTTTAATGAAGTTTGATATGAAGGTACATGATATCAAAATACAGGCTAAGTTCGATTTTGGAGTACGTAGGTCAAAGGTCATAGCTCATTATGCGAAAAAATACACTTCTGGTTTCCGATCGATAAATTCAGTAATGTTTGACAGATTTTAATGAAATTCGATATGAAGGTACATGATTCAAAATACAGGCTAAGTTCGATTTTGGAGTACGTAGGTCAAAGGTCATAGCTCATTAAATATGCGAAAAATACACATCTGGTTTCGGATCGATAACTTTAGTAATGTTTGACAGATTTTGATGAAATTTGATATGGAGGTTCATGGTATCAAAACACAACCTAAGTTCGATTTCGGAGTATGTAGGTCAAAGGTCATAGCTCATTAAATAGGCGAATCTGGTTTTCATTTGATAACTTGAGTAATGTTTGACAAATTTTAATGAAATTTGATACGAAGGTACATGGTATCAAAACACAGCCTAAGTTCAATTTCCGAGTACGAAGGTCAAAGGTTATAGCTCATTAAATATGCTAATCTGGTTTCCATTCGATAACTTGAGTAATGTTTGTCAAATTTTAATGAAATTTGATATGAAGGTACATGGTATCAAAATACATGTACAGCCTAAGTTCGATTTCTGAGTATGTAGGTCAAAGGTGAAAGGTCATAGCTCATTAAATATGCAAAAACATCAAATATTTTCGTATGAATGTTCTCAAAGAGCATACCTGACCCAAGTTTGGTAGCACTTGAAACATTTTCCTGACAGCTGCCATGATTTTGTTAGGAAATAAGTATTGTGCAAGTATGTTTTGTAAGCAACTCGTGCATACTGAGATGGAAATGAAGTGTTAAGGCAGCGTTTACCTGAAAAATGAAGGAACTAAGAGATCGATTTAATGACAAAAAACGAAGATGAATGGATGTTTGAATTGTAATCCGTTAGATTGATGGTGGACAAAAATGTAATTGAAAATAGGATTGGTTGCAAACTTATTTGTCACAATAGGATTAACGGTTGCGAAGTTATTTGTGACAAGAAAGTCTTGCAGGTAAACATTTAATATTTGTGACGGACGCCGGACGGACGGACAGACAGACGCCATTTGGAACCCTTAGTTTCGTCTTAGCCTTTGGTGGGAGAGACAAAACCCGGAAAGAAAAATAAGGAACCAACATGTAAATTGACAATGTTACCAAAATAAAGCACATAATAATAATCAGATGCATGAGATGCTATAAAATCATCACATCAAAGAGTCCTTTTCAACAGTGTTTTCCTTGTTTCCTTTCGTTTCCATGATATTATGAATAAAAAATATGAAGTGATAATAATATAATATTGGATGGCTTCGAGTGTGATACAAGAATATATTGCTCGAGCTATAACAATATTGGACGAGTCAAAGACGAGTCTAAATATTGCCCTAGCGAGATGACAAAATTTGACATTATCGGTAAATATCGCTATGTTTTCGTGTGATATCGATAGCGATAAGAGAAGTTCCCGGATGACTGAGCAATACAAAAACAATAATGATCAGTCATCCGGGTACTGTGCTAAAGATATTAAACACACTGATTTAGTGTACCACTTGGAAGCTATGAATAGATAGTAATGATAAGTAATACCTCGTATCGTTCTGATGGCCAATGTGATGACGTCGCAACTGTCGCAAAGAGCGTCTCCCTTGAAATAAAGTAAATGAGGATAAAGATCAGCCAATGATTCATCAATGATTCGAATCACAGCAATGAATATCAAAATTAATTGAGTTGGCTTAATAAAAGGTTGGATAATTGACATTTGTATACTCTATTTACTATATACTCAACATCGATTTGTAAGATACCAATGGGTAATATCTTGTTTGGTAAGATTGGTTTGGAAATTACCGAACTACAAATACATCCAATAATATAACAATCTGAGAGTTGGGTAAAATGTGACTGATGATAGTTCGTCAATCTAGTTTGCCCAACCACATAGCATTCATATTACCCAACATTAGTTGGGTAAAGTTTAACCAACAGTTTACAGGTCAGTATGCTGCCCAGGGTTGGTTAAAAATTTGTTATTTTTTTGCCCAATTCTTTCTGGAACTTGTTTTTTGTTTTGTTTTACTTATTTGGACAGACATACCGATCTCCCAAGTACTGTACTGTCAAAGTAAGAAGAAAAAAATACGCACACACTTGCTTTACAGTGGTATATAAGCGAAACTTTCGTTAGAAATAAAAGATATGAAAACAGAGCCAAAGCTCTACTTACTCGCAAGCGATAGGGCAGTTACATGATGACTGGTCTTCATGAAAGTGTTCTATAGCCTGACGACAAACCTCTGGAGAGGAAAAAAAATAATGTCCGTGTTGGGAAAAATCAAGACTGTGCACTAAGGCTACCAAAGTGGGGGAAATGGCTATACTATTGTATACTATACTATACTATTCTTGGACATGCATTTCTTCCTAGATTGAGAAAATATGTGACCAATTAAAGATAAGTGACCGTTTAAGAGAGGTGGTCACTAAAGCAGTGGCGGATCCAGGACCCCTCCCCCTGGTTTAAAAAACGTGTAAAAACACGTTAGTTTTTACATTTTTGGGGAGATGCCCCCCCCCCCTGGCGGTTAAAGGAGGGGGTGCAAATTTTAAAATTTTCGAGCCCCCCCCCCCCCCCCCCCCCCACTGAGCGCATTATCGGCCGGCGCGATTTTCAAATTTACGGGAGCAAAAAGAAAAAAAATTAGGCCCCCACCCCTAAGAAATCCTGGATCCGCGCCTGCACTAAAGTGTGACTGTAATGATTATAGACAAGAGAGAGGTTGTCGGATCCACGAGAACATGAGGCCCCCCCCCCCCCCATCCCACCCGACCAATCAAATCTGTTACATCGTTAGAAGACACGGAGAGAGAGAGAGAGAGAGAACAGCACGTACCCAACCGAGATTTATCGTTATCTTTATTTTATCAGTATCTTTAGGGGGAGGGGCCTATCGGAGAATTTCAGCCTTGTGCCCCCCCCCCCCCCCTCGAAAAATACTGGGTTCATATCATCAACTGCAGAGAAAGAGAGAGAGAGAGAGAGAGAGAGAAAAGGAGAGAAAAGGAAGCAATCGAGTACAATCGCCCAGAAAAGGAATAAATCTAAAAGTCATTATTTGTTCCCTACTATTTCATAAGTATTTAAAGGGAGAGTCCATTCTGATATTAAGTTGTTTTTATTAAATGAGAAAAACACATTATAGAATGTTTGATCAATATCCGATTAAAATTGGACAGTTTTTAATTATTTAAGTTGTCATCAGTGAAATACAAATTGACAACAATGCTACGTGTCTTGCGAAAAGTGCAAATGGGAGGGGAGCTCGCAAGATACGTCACAGAGTTTCCAAATTGTGTTTGATTGATCTTACCTTCAAAAATCATAATTTTATTATTTTAATCAGTTTTCGCTCTTTCACTAACATATTCCTCTTATTTTTCTGCTTCGATTAAAACCAAAATAATATCAGGATGGAAATGCCCTTTAAAGCGGGAATGGGGCGTGATGAGAAATTTAAAGGAACGATAGTTACGTACGTTGAGATTTGTTTCGTGCGCCGCACATCGTCTCGTTCATTATGATGTCCGTAACGCACCCGCACTTGTCAAAAAGCTGTTGCTGAACGCAGGACTTGACGCACGCACGGGTGGTGTAAGCATATTCTTCCGACATGAAGATAGTCCGAGTTCCTTCCGTACAGTTGCCATGGGGATGGGGAAGCCGGTTGAAGTAAGACTAGTATAATAATGAAGAAGAAAAAACATTGACATCAGGGGTGGTACTAGGCTTTACATTAGAGAGCACATATCTATACACAAATATATATATATATATATATATATCTCTCTCGTATAAGAAAGCAAAATCAAATACTTAGTATCCACATTTTCGAGGAAAAATGGAATTATAAAATTATATAGGAAGTCATTATTGTAGGCAATAAGCTCCTGAATACTACAGACCCAGTCGATTAATATTTTATTGAAGCACATCCTATACGTAAGGTAATGTAATAAATCCACTACGTATTTATGAGAACACAAAACGACTCACTCATATACCTCGGTCAAATTGATTTGCACTTCTGTCGCCTATAGTTTGTTTAAAGGGGAAGCCCAGCCCGATTTCAAGTTGGTGTTTAAGGCTAAGTCCACTCTAAAAGTAATTTGCTTTAATAGATGCAGACAACAAAACTCATATAGCAAAAAAAATCATGTAATCATGTAACTAATAAGGAAGTTATGATTTGTTATGTATAAAAGTATGAAAAACTATGGATCTTAGAAAATCACTACACAAATTGCCAATTCGGTTATCAGTACATGCATATCACAACATGGTTTAACAACAAGTCTTTCGTCTTCTTTGTGCCTGGTTGATCGTCAACTAAACGGAGTTAAGTCTTTAATCAACTCTGTTTGTTGCTATGGCAGGCAGCGAGTGAAATCGAGTTCGTTTTATCAAATTATGGAAATGCAAACATAACTTTAATCAAACAGAACTCTGTTATTCCTGGCTCATTTTTTCCTGATTGAGATGTCATATGAAAGGGCGGAAAATGAACTTTCTAGAAATGTGATTTCTCTTTGAAATCCAGATACCGCCCGCTAATAAATTTTTGGTACCCTCTCTTCAGATTGTTTATATTAACTCATGCGTGAAATATGCTTCATATGAGTTGCATCAAATGAAAGAGGAGGATCTAAGCTTTACAAATATGTGTCATTTATTAATTGTAATTGTGATAAAGTTATGATAAAACATCGATAATTCTCGGTTTCGTGTTTTTTTTGGGGGGACGCACTGTATAGTATATCAGTTATTAGTGCATCAGGCTGGGCAGCCTGGGTATGGAAAGAGCCAACTAAATGACTAGAGCACGCAGGCCATGCTCCCTGGACCCACCCTGGTGCAACCAAAACTGATCACAATCTACGGTACAATAAATGCAGGAACATAATTATAAATATCAACGTACAACATGAATGCTAAAAGGAAAGCGGGTCACAGCTGTAAAGTAAATTGAACCAAATGGCCAAACAATTTAACATTGGGGAGAAAAAACAGAAAAAACAGAAAATTGCTCTGAAATAAATATGATGAGGTCCGTAAACTATGGTGAAGTTCAAAATTAAAACCAGAGAATAAAAAACTGAGAAACAAAATAACTTAATCCGTATTTGCTTTATATTTTATTCCGGATTTAGAGAAGGTCAAAAACAAATCATATAGAGCGATGTGAAAATTAAACACAGAGCCTTTAAATTTAAAATGCACTTAATAGTGGGCAGGTATGAATAGTTTGTGAGTGTTTTTAATTAAAGTCGAATATAAATGGATTAATTTGATAAATCAAATAAATAACTGAACAGTATCATGGACGATACTGGACATGTTGAATTGCATTATATTGAAAGGTGTATTTTAATTAAGCATTAACGGATATATATATATATATATATATATATATATATGTACATACATGTATATGATTTTAAATAACCGCTGCATTAACGTGATGGATACGTTCAATAATGTAGCTGCATGAAAAACTGTGACGGAATGGACTAATTGAAGGAATTACATCGCACATGAAAGTAGTCAATTACAAATCCTACAAGTTAAAATGACTCCCAGTGTCGATGTTTTGTGGGAATTTTCCACAATTTTATATTGTATTCTTCTTGGCATATCTGTATGATGAAATATTTTGCTATTGTATGTATTTTCTGAATTTAATTTAAATGGTTGCAAACAATCTATTCTACTTTCCCTCTCCTCTTGTCATTGTCTCCCTTTCCGTCTCCCCTCCTCCCACTACCCTTTCTCTCAGGGGCGGCCAAGCGACTTCCAAAGTGGGGGGGGGGCACCAAGAAAAAGGGGCATTTTATGGAGAGAAAAAAGGGCACCTACAAAGGGAAATCTTAAAGCGAAAATATACCATTGTTTTTAGACATTGGTATATACCCCTACATTGTGATTACATTATCAGGGATTATTTCAATATTTGTTTCACAATATACACCGTACAAGATATGATTTAAGCATCATATTTTGCAGCTGGGTGTGATGGTCTAAAAAAAATTGCGAGCGAGCGAAGTGAGCGAGGAAAAAGATTAAGATTTGTGAGATCGCAGTTCGAAAAATTACATCTTATAAAGAGGAAAAAACCCAATCCTGATGGGGTTATAAGTACATTCTCTTAACGGAAGACTGAAGAGACCTTTGATAAGAAACATAAATATATCATCTTTAAATGCGTGCAAGCGTAGCGAGCGAGCTTTAGGGGAAATTGCTCTTAGTCGCGTGAAATTAGAGGCGCGTTTAATGATGAGAGGAAAAGGGGACACATATCAGATAAGAAAAGGAGCATGTGTCAAAGTACGAAGAGTAATTATCAGAGGTGAAAAGAAGCACTTATCGCACCTGAAATTGGGCAACGACCAGATATGGAAAGGGCACTTATGTGAATGAAAAAGGGGCATTATAAAGGAAAATGTGCATTTGTTGAAAGAAAATGGGCACCGATCAGATTTTAAAGGGGCATTTATGAGAAGGGGAAGGGGCTCTTTTATTAACGGAGCACTTTTCATAGGAAGCGGGGCACTTATTAGAAAGGTAAAGGGACACATGTGAAAATACAAAGTGCGCTTATCCGAGTTAGAATGGGGGTAGTCATTAAAAGGGGAAGATGTACTTCTTACAAAGGAAAAGGGGCACTTGTCACAGTAAAAGAGGCACCTCTCAGATTTAAATGGGGCACTTATCAAAAGTGAAAGAGGGCACTTCTTGTACCTGAAAAGAGGCGCATACTATATAGATTAAGAAGGGCACTAATGAGAATGGAAAATGGACACTTTTAGCAAAGGAAAATGGGAACTTGTCGAAGGAAAAGGGGCACGTGTGAAAATAAAAGGGCACTTATCAGAGGTGAAAAGGGGAAGGGGCACTGTTATAAATCAAAAGGGGCACTTGTCAAAGTAAAAGGGGCACTATTCCTATGGAAAAAGGGGCACTTCGTACAAAGTTAAAGGGGCACTTTTCCTATGTAAAAGGGGGCAATTTCGGGTGCTTGAAAAGTGGGGGCACTGTGCCCCCTCTGCCCCCCCCCCCCCTCCCGGAGGGCCGCCTCTGTTATAATAATAATAATAATAATAATAATAATAATAATAATAATAATAATAATAATAATAATAATAATAATATGTCTTTTTTTACCCAGGGTAGCCTCATCAGTATTCATACTGTTCTCCCTGAGGGCCCTGCAATCATATTATCTCTTCCTTCCTTTAATATTTCTCTCTCTTCTCTATACACACCTGTCAGCCCTAATCGTATTATAGCCAAATACAATAGTAAATGTTTATTCTATGCGCTACCAAAGCTGTTTTCATGTTGTTTAAAATGAATTGTATTCATTTTTAATAACCTCTGCATTTATGTGATGAATAAGTTTAATAATTTAGCAGCATGAAATACTGCGAGGGCGAGGTCTAATTGAAGGGATTACATAGCACACGAATGTAGTCAATCGCCGATCCTATCAAGTTAAAATGACTAATAGTGTGTCGATTTATCTTAATTGGGAATTTCACACAATTTGATATTGCATTATCGTTATAATGACATATTGTGGTAGTATGTATCGTCTGAATTTAATTTCAATTATTGCAAAAATGAGAAGCAATCGATTTTAATCTTCCTCTCCTCTTGTCCCTATCTCCCTTTCCGTCTCCCCCTCATCCCTCTTCACTCTCTCTTCCTTCCCCATTTCTCTCTCTCTCTCTTCTCTATACACACCTGTCTCATGCCGATATCTGTTGCCTGTCCTGTCGATGCAACTACCCCATCGTCCTCTGGGAAGGGGAACACGTTAGGAGGATGAATGGCGACTCGAACCCCCGCCTCTTGGGCGAAGAGCCCCACGTATTCCGGCTGTTCAGTGAACAGTGTCAAGTGAAGACCTGTATGGCCAATGAAAAACATCATCAGAGGTTTTATATAATCATATTTTCTGGTAGTGTGATTTCCTTTCGTGTCACCATGTTGTTATTTTTTTCTTTCCGTGTATTGATAATAATAAATAGTAGTTGACATCTGACAATCGCTTTTCTTTTTAATATTCGTATGTCTTATTATACACATATCAATAACTATTTACATGTTGTATGAACTGGTTTATATTAATTTACATGCAACCTTTCTGTCTCTGAAAAATTTCATGTGGAATAATAGCTATTACAAAGACTTCCACAAGTGATGATCGACCTACATGTACACAAATAAACTTAACTTGGGACAATGATATCAGAGGGTTGTTCAAGGATAAAAAATGTTTAAAAGTATGTTGATAATTGACACCGGCGTTCTTATGAATTTGTTTACAGGTAATTATCAAAATTGGATGCTTACAGACATACTAATGGGAAATGACACTCAACCTCCCATCCAATTATAACAAGCCTTCATATGAGGTTCATCAGTGCTTTTCCAATGAGGGGCAAGCACCCATGCCTCCTGTAAGCATAATTAATAAACCTTAAGTGGCGTTCAGAACTGCGTCGATGAACCGTGATGGTTTTTGTTATTGTGATTTCTGAAAGAACCTGTATTCTCATATAACCATAATTGATTAATCTTCAGTATCGTTCAAATAGGCCGCGAAGAACCGTGACGGTTTTTGTTATTGTGATATTTGAAAGAGCCTTTGTACTGTTACACCAAATTATGATTGGACATGTTCTTTACAATTTGCAAGCTATGAATTAAGTAGGAAATATAGGAGTGACTTAAAATTCAATGATAATTTTTGCCTTTCATTAAAAAAGCTTGATTAACATGCAAAGGAATCTAAAAACGTATATATGAACTCCTCTGTTTGCTTGATGATTTGATAGCGAAGATATTTTAGCTCCTATGTTTAATAGGAATAAACAATGTTTTAGACAGATGTAATGAGACTCATTGTTGTAAGTTAACTATACACTGCAAAAACAAGGGTGTTAAATTCAACACCATCGGTGTTAATTTTAACACTTTCCCGGTATCTATATCAGAAAACACCAGCTGGTGTTATTTAACACCAGAGTTTGGAATTAAACAATTCAATTCCACTCTTGGTGTTAATATTCGACAACTCCTACTGGTGTAGATTAACACCAATATCTGGAATCATAACAAATTCAATTCCCCTTTTGGTGCTTGTATTCTTGTTGATCCATTAGAGATTTATCTATGGGTTTCTAATGGTCCCACATTCCATATTCCCTATTATCGACCATTATCGACCAGGGTAGAAGAACCAGTGTCAATATGATAATTCATAATCGATGTTGGCAACTGTCCACCAATAGGTATATTCTAATCTCCTTGCATTAACTTCATCACACTTTGAAGTAAATTCAAGATAAACATTTAAGTGATACAGGCTGGTACACGAATATATAATAAACATGCATGACGTTTCTTGGTTAGTAATCATATAATCAATATATCTATTGCTAAAACGTTAATGTAATTGTAACAAGATCGGACAAATAATCTATCGGTCAATAATTGCCAAAGGAAAATACAAATCACGAAATTGATGTGCATTGTCATAATTTGCTTAACAAATCATGATAAATGTATTTTTCTGTGACCACGTGTAAAGTAATCATTAAGCGCGCGTACACTTTTTGAAAACTTATTCGTCCAATCAACCGCCTTAAACGAAATCACGTGATGATACTTTCAACACCGAGCATAAAACAACACCACGTTACTTAACACCCAGTAATTATTAATGCATGCTTAAATCTGACCGTTGTTAAAAATAACACCACTGGTGTCAAAATAACACCAATGGTGTCAAAAAATTCAACACCATACTGGTGTAAGAATTCTACACCCTGGTTTTTACAGTGTACCAACATATGAAGAGTTTAATTCCAAAAGGAGCTAAATCCACTTTTGATGAAAATTGAGTCATTGATATCAAAACATTCTGTACTTCAGTACCCGTCTTTCAACAAAAGTATCTACCTAAATTTTGGGAGCAATAATATTTTTAAAAAATGCACCTTCTAATATCACTTTTCAGAAGACGCCTGTACAAAATCTGGTAAACAAATTATTTTTTCTCTCAAGTTACAAAAATGAATTTAGCTCTTTTTGGAATTAAACTCTTCATATGTCAAAATCACTAAACAAAAAGATGCAAGTCAACTTGTCTATATTTCATTGCATTATGTACTAGCTGATGAGTATCATTGTGGAGTTTAAATGAACTTGAATTATAGAACCCACAGACATCTTAAGTATCGGTATGTAGTATTTATTTTTTCTTATTTATGAAACAATCAGAACGATTCAAAATTCACTAGAGGGATTACTTATGACAATTTTGTACAATAATCTGTTCCCCATCTACTACAGGTATATACATTTGAATGATGTAAAGATATTTGTTTAATTTTTGTTTAAACATTTCCTACCAAAATACTATTTTTTGCTCTGTGTAATATTTCTATTGAAAACAGGCATTTAACTTGCATTCGTGATGTCATTGGTCTCACAATTAAAAGCAAATATTGTTAATATGCTGTAGAGATGGCATTGATAATGAATCCAATTATATCTGATCCTCCGCTTTTATTTGATGCAACTCATATGATGCATATTTCACGCATGAGTGATTAAAAGCAATTTGAAGAAAGGAAACCAAAGTCATTTGGCGGGCTATATCTGAATTTCGAAGAAAAATTCACATTTCTAGAAAATTCAGTTTCTGCCCTTTCTGGCTTTCATATGACACCTCAATCAGGAAAAATGAGCAAGGAATAAAAAAGTTCTGTTTGTTTAAAGTGATGCTTGCATTTCCATAATTTGATTTTAAAAGTTCGTTTTCACTGGCTGCCTACCGTAGCAACAAGCAGAATTAACAAAAGACTTAACTCCGTTTCATTGACAATCAGCAATGCATGAAGTCTTTCGTCTATGTCTGATGTTTATATCTATCGATTCAAAAGTATATGTTTAACCCGCTTGTTCGCTTCATTCGCTCGCAACTTTTAGAAATAGGATAATCTTGGGTAACGAGATGCCTGAATATCGTCATATTCGTGTATCGAGGTGACCGACTATAATTTTTTTTTGTATTCATGTATATTCTGCGGCGAGGAGCCCTCATACATTATTTTAAATCTTATCTAGTACGTTGATTTCAGCCTAAAAAGTATACCCTATTTAAAATATCACACTTGACGAGTACCAGAGGAATACAAAAGAATTCTAAAAACGGTGCCGTGATTAAGAAAAGGTTAAAAACCGCTGTTCTACCCTATTCTAAATCTACAAATCTTTTGTTAACACCGTAAACTATCAGGGAATAAGGCCAAATTATATTAAAAAAAACATGTTTAGCGTTCTCCTTTTTTGAAAAATAAAAAGGAGGAGGCCATTTTTTCTTTTTTCCCCCAAAAATGGCCGCCCCAAATGGCCTATCGGTACATTTTTCCTGACAGTCGGGCTATTTTTCAAGATGGCCGCCGGTATTTTTTATTTTTTAATCATAAATAGGTCATTCTAGCAGTATGTTTTTCAGGTTTTATTTCATTGAAGAAGAAGAAAAAAAAAAAAAATATATATATATATATGTTTTTTTTTTTAATGGCCTAATGACAATGTCCTTGACCAAAAAAAAATCATTCATTCTCGTGGCTGTTCAGATGCTATCAATAGAGAATATGACTTTCATCATCGATACGCGAGTCAATTCTTTTCCTCCCGGCCGACTTTATAATTAGATCTTTGTTTAGTAACTTGGTAACAGTGGAAGTTGATAATATTGAAATGATAAAAGAATTGGTAAAACCCGGAAAGTTCTACATAATTAATGATTGTAATATTTCGATGACTGCCCCCTTACAATTCAATTTTGTATATACTTTATAATAAAGAGAATTGGTAAAACACAAACAGTTATACATAAATAATTGATGTAATATTCTTAATGACTACCCCCCTTACAAATCAATTTTGTATACACTTATTCCGGTAATAATCTCGATATTGAAGCAGCAATTTTTCTCATCCTAATTATGTTTATCTGTCGTTTTCCTCTTTTACTATTCCACGTTGTTTTGTTTTGTTTCCAAATGTACACGTACATGAATTTCATCATGATTTTGTATCCATACATATGTTCCTTTTCGACTTCCTTTCTTAGATTAAATGAACTGAAAATTAAAAAAATGATAATTGCTTAAATAGACATGATAGGGATGAGGATGATATCGATGATGATGAAAAGGATGAGGAAAAGTTCATGATGGTATCGGAGAAGAAAAAGAAGAAGAAGCAAGAAAATATTAGGCTAAGGATGATTATGATGATGATGTATTTGTCATTCTAATTAAAGTTCTTACCGTACTGTGCCCCTGTTTTTCCAGTCGAACGTGCTTCAGTGCTGTTTCCAACTTCTCGGTTAAATGTGAAGCAGTTGCCGTAGTATTTGTTCTGAAATTGGTGAAAATCCCTGCAAATTAGGAATAAAACAAATTAATATACTTCGCGTTAGTACGTAAATGATAACAATTAATTATGTTTTCCACACATTTTGGTACTTATGTTATACATTTATAGTATGATAAATATCTGGATATTTTTCTCTTACCGTGTTTAATAATGGATGATACCAAAGTTGCAAACACATTTCGAATATTTTCTATTAACTACTTAGGTCCAATCTATTTTTTTGTTTTGTTAAAGATACTATGTCCCTTTTGCAGCCAACATCAAATTCTGTAGAACTTTGCAGGAATTATGAATATGTCATGTATGTCCTATCTGTGAAATTTAAACGTTAGCAGTGTTCTAATATTCAAATTATGCAAGGAAATCCGTTTACTTGCTAGACTTCACTGTTACCGTCACTATTGAGTGACTGACTGGCTTTTTTCTTCTTTGGCAATAACATACATAAAACGAGCTGTAAAGGGTACATGAGCATTTGTCTACATCAATAACCCACTTCTTGTAATGGCCAAAACTAAATCTTTCAAATGCCGTTGGAATTTAACCTTTTCATTTTTTGGCCTGCAAATTGGACCTTTAAAGGAATTATATTTTAGTACTTCTTTCTTTGGTGATTTTTTTTTTAAACCACACCCACTGCATATGGCCAAAAGTTAGTGCATCAAACAAGTAATGGCTCTTTTAGGCCAATCGCATGGGCTATTTCTAGATATTAGCAATTGGAGAAGAAAAAAAAAAGATAATACTTACTAAGGGTGAGATTCAAAATTTATTGATCAATATCGACCCGAGTAATTGTTAAATTCTTGTCCCTTCGGTGGTAATATGTTATTTTTTTGGTTGATTTTTTTAAAGATTTTTTTTTTTTTTTTTTTTTTTTTTTTTGGGGGGGGGGGGTATATTGTCAGTCTGGTGTCGGTATGTATGGTTTGACGGGAGTATCAATAAAAGGCTATGTTCGCAACGTAAACAAAATGCAAAACAGGTGGAGAGATAGGCCTAATAGATGGAAGTTCGAGGGGGAGAGGGGAAAGGCACACTTTTTAATATCACCGATGGGCATATTTAAAGGTAAAGACCGGTAGTGGTAAAATTGCGGTTCAGGGGTTTTGGGTGCAAAATATCCATTCAATATTGTATAAATATTGCCTTCAGAGGTTTAGACGGCAATACTTCAACCTAAATTTGCAAACAACAGAAATATATGCCCAATTGTTGAATGTTGAAGTGCATTCACGATATCTATCCAGGCCGGATCGATATGATAATTTAACAAATATATCAGACAATTAGTAGGCGGTTTCCCCGCAATCATCAAGTATTAGTCAAAACATAATCTTTTTACATGATTGGTAATAAGAGCTTCCGTTTCATGTTTTGAGAGGGGGCGTTTCCGAAACTGGTGGATACCCTTAACACCGATAAAGGACAGTTAATTGACCAAATAAAGAATGAGAAAGAGAGAACTTTTGAAATGGAAATACACTTTTGATACAGAGCAAAACATCGCCTGAAGAGAAAAATACATTCATGCATGTCACGTTTGCACATCAACACGTACAAAGTGATACCAGATCGTAATCTGAGAAGAAAAAATAGATTTTTATTTGGAAAAAGTGACGGGAAGAAGTTGATAGTGACAGAAGTGAGGGTATAGTGAATAATTCTTACGTGTAATTGCACTGGTGTCTATCGAAAGTACACTGAAGTATGAAGTCTTCCGCCTGGTGTCCCATCACCTTCAGTTCTTCCCTTGTCGGGTTGACAACTTCGAGAAGATCACTGAAGTCATCTGATGTGGACTGTTTGTAGAACCCTTCCCAGTCGTCATCATCACTCACATCTGTCCAGTCGTATTCCTGGTAGTCGAAACCGTCGGTGTTCCAACCCGGATCCCACCACTTGTACTGCTCGCTATAGTGTTCCCGAGCGTCAGAGCTCGAGTCATAGCTACTACTAGATCCGGTATCAGGAGCAGAAGCCGATGCTAATTCTTGCTCCTCTTGCTCCTCTTCCTCCTCTTCCTCCTGAGACCACTGCGATGACCAATCGAACCACCAGGAGTAGTCAGCGTCACCTCCGTTCACACCCAGATCGGCTTGAATCAGGCTTTGGAAGCGAGTGTGGACCATGGCAGAGCGTTTCATCTTGTTCATGTTGCACACGGTGACTGCAGGAAACTGAAGCTCTGTCCGAGCGACCACGTCGATCTGCGTCGTGTAAGGGTATTTACTAAAGTCGAGGAGCAGTAGGCTTCCTTGCCACAGGAACGCTCCCAAAGCGACAAGAGTTACGAAACTCCAAAAAAGCCTCGACATCACCGATGTAGAGGTGATGATTCGCGGAATGCCATGGGCAGATGTCACACCACTGTAGTCGATCAGGACTGCATTGACGGAGTTGAGATGAGGAAGATGCTTGTCGGTCCTTATCAGGAACAAGGAATCCCTTTTTACCCTTGAGTGACAATAAGACATAAGCCGAAAGAATGTTTTAGTAATTTACCTATAAACTCTTTACATATTTAATTTCGTTTATCATGCTTGAATTGCGTTACTGCTGATTTCTATACATTATTTGTTCATATATTGTTTTGATGATAGAAATATTAGGCTAAGATTGACAACGCCAGATCTCCTTTGTGTGTTATGACTTAATAATTGGGAATCAATCCTGTTGGGCTCGGTAGAAGCAGAGAAAATCTAAATAGTATTCAGTAAAACTTATACGAAAATAACAAGAAGAATAAAATGCTATCGAGATAACTTATGATATGGGATTTCACGCATTAGCAATGTGGTCATATTTTTCGAAATTCTGTTCCACCATCTGAATTGACAAAACGAATAAGTAATTTGGATATTAAACGAAATTATATAATAGTTTAAGCCTAGTAAATATCAGAATCAAAATAATGACCTGGGAAACTACGTGTTTTTCATGCAGTTCACTTGATTTGAATTTGATTTAATTTCTCGTAAACAAATTAACGAAATACGATTAAAGCACACAATATGAAATGTATCTTCCTTGTATTTATTGCAAACATGAGTAATAATTTTGTCGACTTCATACTTACATTTCCATAATGAATGTGTCTTCCAGGTTCTTCACAAGAACGTAGTTTCCACCTTTGACTGCTATATGGAGAGTATTCCGATTCGTATGAAATGTTGATATCCAGTCGTGTATCGATTCCCAGATTGATCAGAAGTCAGATAATTTTAGTTCGTTCGGAGCAATCTAATGCACTTTGGTGGAAATCATCGTCAAATGACCTATGTCAATTTTTAGATTTCAATTAGGTGCGCCCGCCCTCGCTAGCACTTTCTTGCATCAGCTTTACGACCTTCACACTACTGATGTTGCACAGATAACAAAAGGATTGCGCGAAGCACCGTTCCACCGTAGTGTGCGCAGTGACAGTGGCAGATCCAGGGTGGGGCCCCCTCCCCTGGCAAAAACAGGTATAAACAAGTTAACTTTACCTTCTTTTTTTTAAAGACGGGCCCCTCCCCTGGAAAAAAAAATGGTCACTACCCCCTCTCCCACACATAGCTGCATTACTACCCTGGCTGTGTATTAAAAGCTGTGCTATTGATACTCAACATTTCAAACACCACTGTACAAAACTCAACTAATTTCTCTCAAAATCGGTAATTTAGTGCAAATTGAGGACACCTAAATAGCAATAAAATTTTCTTCAAATTACCGATGTTAGAAAAAATAATTTAAACATTCAAATCGTGATTCTACGGTCAAACTTGCCGATAAACCACATCGTCTTTATTGCGTGCATTTGTGTGTTATGTGTGTATGGACTATTCGTAAGTGCAATTCTGGATTCTAACACGTAGCGCAGTGCTAAAGGTCAATACGCATTAGCATTGACTCTCTTTGCTTTGAGGGAGTGCCCTCCCCCTCCCCCGTTGAGTAAAAAGAAAAAGAAAAATAGTGCCCCTTACCCCCCCCCCCCTTATTATTCGCCGGCTGGATTCGCCGCTAAACACCGGTTGGATCCGCCCCTGCATAGTCAGAGGCGGATCTACGGGGGGGTAGGGGTTTAACCCCCCCCCCCCCTCCACCTCGGGCTTCCAGGTGAAAATGTAATGTGCATAGAAAAACGCCGTTATCATGCATTGCTTTTTATGGTCTTCATTGTGCTAGTAGATGCCAGGAAAACATCACTTACGGGGGTTTCATATTAATAGCAACAAATAAAATTGGCTCGCCGCTACGAATAACGACTCTGATTTAGTATTAATATGATTAGCGACCCTCTTCTCCGATTATGAATAGCGGTCCTTACGAAGAATGACCCTTGTGGTAAAATGTGATTGTGATTAATGTCTCGCCACAGAACTTTAGTGCCGGGCTAAGATTCGAATCCTCAAACCTTGAATTGAGAGTCAACTAATTGAGTGGACATCTATTCCACAGCACCTCCACTGAACCACTTTACCATGACACCTCGAGAGTGCTTTCGAGAGTCGGATGGCGTGTCAGTATGAATTGATGCAAATATGTACACGTTGGAGTAGAACTCCTACTTTGACAATAGTATTGGCGAGGTGGTGACAAGTGATTTGAAAGCTTTATTACGTGCTATGTAAATGGAAGGGATGATATTCTGTAAATAACGTTGACAAAATTAATGTTAGGGCTACAGTGGTAAAGATGTGGTGGAACATTACAATTCAAATCAATTTAAAAGGAAATAAAAGTAATCACCCCCGGAAAGATTGACATATTTGCCCGGCATATTTGCTAACGTGCCACTAAGTGCTGATTGCAAAAGTAGACATATATTAAAGGTACTATGTCCCATTTGCAGGCCAACAAAATGAAAAGGTTAAATTCCAACGGCATTTGAAAGATAATACTAATGTAGAACTTCTCTAAAAAAGGTGGGGTTGAAAATGTCTTCAAGTTGGAAAATAACGACTATTAGTTGTCAAATTGACTTAGGAGCTATAGAGCCAATGAGTAATAGTCTTGTTTTTCAGACCATTGTACCGAATGGTCATACGTTTTATGCTGCGGAAAGATTCAATCAGTTTAATTTTGGTCATCACAAGAAGTGGGTTATTGATGTAGACAGCTCATTTTATGTATGTTGTTACCAAAGAAGAAAAAGAGTCAGTTAGTCACTCATTAGTGTTTGACAGTGAAGTCTAGCAAGTAAACGGGTTTCCTTGCATAATTTGAATGTATGGACACTGCTAAGGTTCAAATTTCACAGATAGAACATGCATGACATATTCATAATTCCGGCAAAGTTCTACAGAATTTGAGGTTGGCTGCAAAAGGGACATGGTACCTTTAAAGGAAAATGCAAACTTAACAGCTAGACAGGAAATCTTAAAGAAAGCAGGAAAATCAGAAAAGCAGACTTGTGACAGTCACAATGAAAATTAGTAACTCAAGTTCGAAAGTTGTAATTCGATATAGGTATGGCAAGGGGCGGCAATCCAGGGGGTACTGGGGGCACATCCCTCTCCCCTCACTTTTTTTAGAGGGGGATCGTCCCCCCCCCCCGGAAAATTTGAAAAAGTGCCCCCCCCCCCCCAAAAAAAAAAAAAAAAAAAAAAAAAAATGTGTAGCAAATACTGAATAAAGACTGCAACACACCGTTAGCCTAGGCTCTGGAGGGCCCAAGAGTGCAGTGTTTAACATCCTTGATAACAACGGAATATAGATTTTCCGCCCTCGTATTTCGTCTACCCGGTCATGAAAAGAAATCGCCGCCCCTGTGTATGGCTACTTCAAATTGGTAGAATCACTAATGTCACTGTCACGTAGTGCCGGACAACTTTCCCATTTGCATTTTCAAAAATGCATTTTCCCAAAATATATATGACTGAGGGGTCATTTGTTAATGGAGGACTTATAGTAGTATGATATTCATAATATCCATATCCCCCTCCCTCCCCTATATCCGTACTTGGTATTATATAGATTATCTAAATTGCACTTTAATCATAATAATCACTCATTTATGTACCTTCCTAGCAACAGCGTTGCTTGGGTGAGTAAACAATCATACCATTCGAACGTGTACCCTGTAGTCATGTTTTCCATCACACGGCCTTCACACATTCACAAAATTAAGAATACGATTTTTGGATGGACGCAGGGTAAAAATAAAAAACTGAGTGTCTACTTAATTGATTAATTCCCAGGGGTATACAAACTTGTTACAAAAGGCCAAAGCAATTATTTATGTGTAAAGGACCGGTTTATCTCACCTCTCGCTTCTCCCGGATTCGCTAATCCCCCCCCCCATATCTTCCTCTCTCTCTCTCTCTCTCTCTCTCTCTCTCTCTCTCTCTCTCTCTTTCTCTCTCTCTCTTTCTATATATATCTGTCCACCTCCGATAATTGCTCCTTTCCCAATTTGAGAGATGCTCCTTTTACTTTGACAAGTACCTCTTTCCCCTCCTGTTAAGTGTTCATTTCATCTCTGATAAATGCCCCTATAAAAATCTGATCGGTGCCCTTTTTCTTTCAACAAAAGCCCATTTTCATTTATTATAAATGCCCCTTTTCACATCAGGTCAGTACCCCTTTTCGCTCTGATAAATGCCCCTATCAAAATCTGATGGATGCCCATCTTCTATTCTCATGCCCTTTTTCATCCCTGGTGAGTACCCTTTTTCAGGTGTAAGAAGTGCCCCATTTTCATCTCTGATAATTACCCTTTGTACTTTCAAGCTGGAGGGGGTGACGAAATGCGAGGGATGAGGGAGCATGGTGAACGAGAGGGGTGAAGGTGACAGAAGTGACTACCCCCTCACAGATAAGTAAGCACTAAAAAAATTTTTTTAAAAATTTAAAAAAAAATTGCCCCCCAAAAAATTTAGAAATTGCAGCGGCCGATATTTCCCTCCCAGCCCCTCCCCCCCTCCCTCCGTTTTCTTTTTTTTAACAAAAAATTTAAATTAATGTGTTTTTACCTGGTTTTTGCCAGGGGAGGGGGCCCCTCCCCTGGCAAAAACCAGGTAAAAACACATTAATTTAAATTTTTTGTTTGCCAATGAACTTCACAACAAATTTTAATAAGTGGTTTATTGCATTACCAATATTAAAGCTGTAATATATACAGGGGAGTGTTTCACAAAGACTAAGATCGACTTTAAGTTGGACTTAACCATGGCAGGTCATTCATGCCACTGGTTGCTCTCACTATTAGTCTCTAAATTATGATCTTTAGATAAACAGAAATTCAATAATGACCTAACAAAAAAGTAAATTCTGTAGATTTGTGACCATAATTTGTTCGTCCCTTGAGAGACCAATGCCAGTAAATGGTGAGAGCAAACTATGGCATGAACGGCCTGCCATAGTTAAGTCCAACTTAAAGTCGATCTTAATCATTGTGAAACACCCCCTGGATTGCTATTAAAAATCAAAACGCATTGAAATCACTCTGCTATATATACAAAGAGGCTATATTTTTTTATTAAATGTTATGAAAACTTTAGCCTACATGAAATTGTGTTTCAATCCTTTTCTGAACTATTTGTGTATGTGGAAGGAGAAAAATAGAGTGAGTGAAAATGAAATTAATTAATTAATAAGTACTGAGTGGACATGCCAAGAAAGAAACCAGACAGAAAAGTGTTTTGATAATTAATTAAGTACTAAAATCATAGTCTGGCATCCTGGTAGAGGAGAGTGAGAGTTGTAGACTGGTGAAACCGTGAAAGTTTGAATGAAATTTGACAAAAGATGAGAAAGTTATCAATTTTGTAGGTACGAGACCTTCAAATTGATTGAATAGGTAATTAGGTAATGTCTCTGTGATGTAGTGACAAACAATTCTCCCATGTTTTCCAACACACAAAATGATTGAATTTCAATTTTGTTAAAGATGTATGACTCAGGAGTGTCTTCTTTTTTTTTTTACTTTCGAGCACCTATAATAACATGATATCCATAATATATTTTGATTAGTGCACCAAGGGAGAAGGCACTTAGGAAAACATAAATTAATGATATTTTTGTACTTAATTGGGCGAGTAATCAGTCGACAATCCACTGACCAAATTGCCAATTTGCACTTCGCATAGATTTCTATCTAAGTATCTTCTCCCAGTTCGGAGGTTGATTGCACAACATCTCTCCATTTCACTCTATCTTCTGCCATTCTGGTGCACTCTTGCAGTTTTAGTCCACTCCAGTTCTTGACATTCTCTTCCCAGTTGATTGTGGGTCTCCCTCTGGGTCTGGTTCCTTCCACTCTTCCTTCCAATAAATCCTTTAAGAGGCTTTGGTGCCTTTTAAAATGCCCAAAGTGTTCAATTTTTCTCTCCTTAACTTATCCTACTAGTGCAATTTGTTTACGCCCAGCCATGTACAATGTTTCTTAATAATAATAATACAAATGTTACTTATGAAGCGCTTACCATCGTTTCCAGGACATTTTCATCATTCTTCTGTAAATCCACATTTCAAAAGATGTTATTCTATTTTCCACGGCCTTGCTTATTGTCCATGTTTCTGCTCCATACAATGCATAGATTTAGATATCTCATATTTCAACACTTTTAATTAACTTTTTTTTATTATTGGTCCGATTTATTTCAAAATTTCACCATTCTGTTTCTCTGATGTTTCTGCATTCATTACAAACAAACAAAAAAAAATAAATGAAAAATATATGAAGCAAATAATGAGAAAGTCATGCTGAGGAAATCATAGAAACATGTTTTCAGTTCATTTTAGAACTTTTGATAACTTTTGCTGGTTGAAAAATCATTTGCAACATGATTTTTTTTTTAAAGAAATTTACTTGGCTCCTCTCAAAATCCATTTTCTCTACTAAAACGTTTGACTACCAATAATTACATGTTAAAAGCAGACAAGAACAAGGCAACATCACACATGGAATATTTTTTATGAATATGATAATATGAATTTTTAATTTCATAATTCTACATGTTTTTAGGATTATGTGCATGTTTTCAAAGATAATATTTGCTGAAGAAAATTAAGTTTCATACAAATTCAAACATTAGCTAAAGTCAGTAGCCTTTAATGAAGACATCATCTTTGCTTTTGATTTATGTGCAATTGTGAGATTTACTGGTATGACACCCCCCCCCCCCCCCTCTCCTTTCCCCTTTTTTCTCTCAGTATCCCACTTTTTCCTTTTTCTCTTTCTCTTTCTCATTCATCACTCTTTCATACATTTATCAATCACACAAACATTATATCATACTTAGTTACATAGATAGCGATTTCTTCAAAAATTCTCATCATGTTCCACATCAATACATTTTCAAAAGAAATCCAAAGCATTTTCATCAAAGTTTCAATCTTGGATCCCTTTCATTTTGTCAAAATGTCATTGATTGTATAAATATTCCTTTTTCCATTTAGCCACTAAATTTGGTCTCCTTCATATTGGCGAAATCTACTCTCTATGATATTAGAGTGTCCGAAATGCGCAAATGCAGTTTACAGTTTGAGTTGTGTTCCGGTCATAACTTTTTTTTTCTTTTTCTTGGACTTGAATCCATGGACTTCTGCTACCACTTCCTCTTGAAGCTTGCTGAAGAAGGCCTTGGAAGATTTGAAGTTTCCTTTGGAATTCTCCATGTCCTAGTTAAAAAGAAAGAAAAAAATGAATTTATGGATTTAGCACGATAGATTGATTAATAATAGCTCATTGTGAGCAGGTTTTGGCAAACTCCTTCTCGGTCGCCCTTTATTTTGTGCGTTCTGATTCACAGAATGACATTTTGGATTGATCTGCATGAAGTAAACCTCTACTTTAGTTAAGCAAGTGATATGTTCATGATTGTAATAAGTACAGTGCCATGAGCTTCAGAGCCTGGCGGATACCGGCACTATATAAATATCCATATTATTATTATTATTAATCTGAAAGGTGTATCAGCCTTTTGGTTTGACGAAGAGATGCAATTGCTAAATTCAGCACCTATTATAAAATCATGGCATAAACAAATTAAAGTTTCTGCTCATGAATCATCTAACACACATTGCTTTCATTGCAAAAATAATATAGATAGATATATATATAAATAAATAATGGCAGATTCATATAGTAGAATCACAGTGAAATAACCATATCCTTTATATCATCAAGTCCAGCAATCCAAAACTTTATACCTACACTCCCCTACAAGACAAAATATCTTCATTCCATAATAATCATTTTTACAAATTATTCTTTTAGCAGTGACTGTACATTCATATTTATTTCACGACAAGTTCATGTAGAGTTCTAATTGGTAGCCAATAGTATAAAACTATTTTAGCACAATTTTCATTACATTACAAAGAAAAAGACCATACCTTGACAATGGTAGTGGTGCTAGATGGAGCCTTGCTGTTCTTTTCCAGCCTTGCCAGCGCCGCCTTCTTGCTGTACTTGTTACCCAGGCCTGGATTTAACTTGTCGACCAACTTCTCCTTTCTCTCCTTGTCCTTGGCCTTGGCGCGCTGCTTCGTCTTCTTCTTACGCAGGTCCCTGTTACGGTCCTCCGAGGTCCTCTCCGTCTCACCCTTCAACTCACCCTTCTCCTTCTCCTGTAAAGACAGAAATAGAAAGATTGCTAACAATTAATTTCATTTCATTTATTTCAATTCATATATTTATTTCACTCTCTTTTAAAAAACATAAAAATTATATACATGTTTGTTCATTATCAACATAAGATAAAAGGAAGCGGGGAATCATGAAAGCCAAAATTGGCTTGATAAGAATGATCCCCAAATAAATACTTAGCATAAACAAGATACAAACTTATTTTATATAAAAAACATAGTACATAAGGTAAAGAGAGTTGCAGGAACGTAAGAAGAGAGAGAAGATAAGAAAAAAGGAAGTTACGACTTGAATTTTACAATCTACATAATAAATGAAAATTTCATTTTGTTCCGCTTAAATAACCCTTATAATTCCTTGAAATGCTAGAGTGCCGTAATGGCAGCCTTGCTAAAGCTAGGGTAATAATGTCCAAAGCTCTTTGGAAGCACATAGATGTCATAATGTGATATAAACTATACAAGAACTGAATGTTATTATCATTATTATTTTTAGTTGTCTCTCATTGGTTTTATTTGAGAAAGCTGCAATTACCTTATTATACCAGAATTGCTAACTTTAAACTCCTCTTGATTAATGGACAGATCTACATCACTAAGGCCATATGATGCTACATGATCAGGGGCTCACATATACAGTATACTCCACCAACATCAACCAACCACCAAACAAATCCTCAAGCCTGTAAACATAAATCCCCATTTTAATCAAAACCAAAACACATCCACGTACCCCAAAACAACTTGACAATCAAAACACTTATAAGAGTTAATACAGTGAAACCTCGTTATAACGAGGTCCTTGGGACCATGGAAGTTACCTAGTTATATCGGGGTAAAAAAAAATATATATAAAGAGCTGGGACCAGCAAAATCCCCTTGTTCTAAAAAGATACCTAGGGGGGTGTTTCATAAAGCTTTTCGTAAAATTAGGCATGACTTTACGAACGACTTGCATATGAAGTGCCAGATAGGATGCCCGAAAGTTTTTCCTGATGTTTTAACAAAGTGCAACTATGTTTCCAATCACCTCAATAAAATTATGGAAAAAATATACCTTGCATTAAAAATGTTTGTTATAATAAAATTGTTCATCTACATCCGCACAGTTCAACTTTAGTTGAAGCAATTAAAACTGATTGAGCATCCCATTTGGCTTTTCATATTTAAGTCATTCGTAAAGTCATGCCTAACTTCACGAACGGCTTTATGAAACAGCCCCCAGAGCTCTTTATAATGAGGTTGCACTGTATCGAGAACGTAACTGACCTTGATCTCCTCCGGAGCCAGGAGGGATGAATCGGCGACGCTGATGGGCGCAACCTCCTCCATTGAGATGGCCGGCGTGTTGGAGACGATCCTGACCTCAGGACCGATCGGCTTGGGGGTGAAGTGGAAGTTGGAGAGGGCATCTAGTTTGATGAAGAGTGTGTCCATGGAATCCTTGATCTCTTTGTGCAGTGGATCCTCCTTCTCTTCGTCGGCTTCTTGCTGGATATTCAAAAGATGAGACATAATGAACATTAGAGTTGATGGGTTTTAGGCTTCTTGTTTGATCTACACTGCACCACAGAAAACTGGATTTCTAGATGAATAAAGCTGCGGAATTCCTTCAAATTTGAGGTAGGCTATGGTAGGATAGTAGGGGGGGGGTCGCTTTTTCACTTAAATATGTATATAGCAGTAACAGTAACACTATTTTTTTTCTTTAGTAGTATCAAGGTTAAATACAAAAAGAGACATTACCATATAAAAAGCATAATCACACAATGTTTGTGTTGCTCCTTCGTTCAAACTCAGTCAGCTGTAGTGTCTCTTGAAACCATGCCATACTATATCTTTCCCTCAAGTTGATTTCTGTCTCTTACCCTTGTACATAATAACCTCTAAAGTCAGACACAACAGTTGGACTGAGCCAGTTTGTCTTTCAAAGTACCTACCTGAGTCTGTTTGATGTATTCCTGCTCGTAGATCTCCCCTAGACTCATCTTGCTCTTCTCCTGGTCTAAGGTCACCCTCTTCTTGAACTCTTTGGCCTCTTCCTTAGGCTTGGCCTTGCGCTGGACATCATCCCAGGCCTGGTCTAGGATCCGTTGCTTGATCAGGGACTCCAAGTCCTTGGTGGTCTCCTCGGTGATGACAGGAGCTGTGGTGGGGGAGTGATTGTGAACAGGGGTTTGAGATGCTTTGAGATGCTTGAGGGTTCAACATGAACAGTGGTTCAGAAGCATATGGACATCAAAATTTTACTTGAGAATCCCAAATATTAACATATTTTACAGGTTCCTAATTCAGACAGACCACTAGGTTCTACTGGTGATCCTCAGGAAAAGATTGGAGTGGACCCCTAAAAAAATTTGAATCATCGATAAACGAGCAGGAGCAGTCCTCCAGGAGAAACCACGTACAGGTCTTTGGAGTGCCCGAAATATGAGCAACTGGTCCGGGTATGAGCCGACAAAGGGTTCTACTCCCCATATGACTAGAGTATTCCACATCAAACCTCAAAACTGAGCCTCGAAAAACACTCTCCAAGACACAAAACCACATGGGAAGGATGACAACATGAGCTGGGAATGAAAGCCTGACTGCAATGACTACAGCATTCTTCAATGTCTTGATTCATCTCTGAATCCTGTCGTAGATTTCCTGTGTCGGAGAAGTCATTGAAAAGCACAAAGGACAGCCTGGAGAATAAGAAAGGGACAATGCAGCTGCCCTCCGGATAATTTTTATAAACCTTTTTTTATATGCCATGTACTTTCTCCCACTTTCCTTCTCACCTAATTCTCTTGTTTTCCTCTAATGCATCTCCTTCTCTCCTTTTCTTTCTGTTACTTTCCTTTCTTCTTTCCTTTTCTCTTCCTAGTCTCTCTGTCTCTTCGTACTTGTTTGAAGGAAAGTGAGGCCCTGGAGGTGGTGGGGGGGGGGGGGGTCGATTTTTTACTTACTTACCCCGGGGCTACATTCACCTTTAATCCCATCATTCTATATTCTTCTCTTTCTCTTCCTTTTTGTCTTCTTCCCTTCATCCTTATGTTTTAGTAATTTGTATTATATGTATGTATTATTCATTTATTCATACTTTTTATTCTTTTTATGCATTTTATATCTTTGTATGATTGTATTTATATTATAAATTTTGTATAAGTTGTGAAATGTTATGTATGTATCACCTGAAAGGAAATTTTTTTCATTCTTTGGAAGAAGACAATAAATTATATTCTATATGCTTTTAGCTGAACATGAGAAAGTTGTTTGTGAATTGGAGCAGCAGAAAAGAGGCAATAAAGCCGTAAAGCTCAACCAGAGGTCTCTAATCGGCGCAAAGGAGAAGCTTATTGCGGACCTGAAATTTAACGTTCCAGATATGGAACAAGATATGACTAACGATCACCTATTTGCAGTGTGTTTGAGCAATGTGATCAGTGTTGAGGACCTCAATGTCTCAATGTCGCAGAACTACTCAATATAGAAGCTCAATTCAATATAATACTCTTCCTCCCACCACTTAGTTATTTCAAGCTGTTCACACATTCAAAAGTATTTAAACAATATTACTCCAGACTTCTTGTACCTGTTTAGGTATCTTTTTATTATTTAAGTTTTTTTAAATATTAATTTTCTTGTCTAGCTTTCTCTTTTGTATGTCGTAAATATTTCTCTCCTTTTTCTTGTTTTACTCCAATTTGCTCTTATCATTATTGTAAGTTCTTATTTTGTTCTGTACTATCAATTTTCATGTTTTCTATGTCTATAGGGACCTCTCTGTATAACAGCATTGATATGCTAACAACGCTGAGTAGGGCCATCCCTCCGCCTTCCATTTCATAAGTGTGTCTTTATGATTGTAAATGTATATTTTTTTATGTTTTTTAAATGACGGAAAATAAATACAATACAACAAATACAATACAATCCTATATTGTGGAGAGGTCTAGTGTAGATTCGCTTGCACAGCCCAGTCGACTGCCTGGTTACTATCATAAAGAAACTTTCTCACTGCCTAATGACGTAATCACGTAATGTGAATTTAATTTTTGTTAGGATTCATAATACTAAACTTACCTACATTTTCAAATAAACAGTAAGCTTAATATTCAAATTTTCACTTGAAATGGTAACATAGATGCAGTTTATGTTTATGTTTATACTGCGTTCAATGTATATATTGTTCCGTTTCCAATGTAACAATAATTTTCAGAATGTTATTATGTTTGTGACGATGTACGTTTGATATTATTGTATTTCTTCTTGTATTATGTATATGTTAATGTATAATGACTGTAAAACCAGTGAAAAAAAGAATTTCCTGAAAGGGACAATAAATTTCAATTCAATTATTGAGGATCATGAATCACCTTGCAGTGGTTAGAGGAAAACCAATTCAACCTCTCATGCCCGATCCGCTGGAATTTCCTACCAACATGGGGCATCTGTTCATAACTGCTTCAGTGCACTTCAGGATCTACATATTGATTGACCAGCAATTAGACAATGTCTCCGAAGTAAATAACTATCTCCGGGATTTTCCATTGTGAGCATCACAATATGACGACTGTGATCCATGTTTGTTTACTAGTGCTACTCTACTCCCACTTGATATTATCATTATCACGTTGTATATATCAATTTCAATTGTATTTAAAATGTAAATGCTTAAAATCTAAATGTTACAAGAAAAGGGAATGAAATGCTTTGTCCATTCTCTCTTTTTTATCTTCTTTTTTCCGCCACTCATCCATGTACGTAATTTTGATTTATTTTATATATATGATGTGCAATATATTGAAGTTTCCATTATTATTATTGTTAAAGAACAAAATTTTGATTGTTTTCCCTATTGATGTATTTGTAATTTTCATTTTTATATTTTTGAACTTTGTAATCTTTGTTTGTATCAGTCTCCCGACTGTTTTAACATGCAATTTTCACTAAATAAACCGAAATGAATGAATAAACTTGATCCTGTCCTGCCATCGGATACATATAGAAGTCTATTGTCTTTTACTTTGTTCTATGTTTGTAAAATGCACTTATCCTGATCGACTGCTATCAGTCCATTGCCTTGATGTGAGAGTAATCCCTACATTGGAGAGCGCATGGACCGGTGGTGGCAAGATCGCTGCTCAAGTCAAAGCGACAGGTGGAAAGTCAATTGTCATCCCTTCAGAAGCAGATCTTGCCCGGCTCAAACGGTTCTTAAAAGGTTCTTGTTCTTGCATATTCTGCTATGGATGTAACTTGTACCACTTAAATATTGTGTCATTTTCTGAACCGCTATCATCAGGTAATGTCGAAGTGGACGTACCACTTTTTACTTTTGAAAATAAATATCACATCATTTGCTTTTGCTTTCATTTCTCTGAAATTGATGTTTATAATGATTGATTATTATTAATCTTGTCCATATTTTGATGTTTCTTTAGTTCATGAATTAGTAGTTATGTGTAAATTTGTTGTAAAGCGCATTGTTATTTTCTCTGAAGATGAAATGCGCCATAGAAGCCTAGGTTATTATTATTATTATTATTATTATATCATGAAATTCCTACATACCTGGTCTTGTTCTGACATCAAACTCCAGGTTCTCTTCAAGAAGACTGTTCTCTGGTCGTTTGAGCCCAGCGACCTCTCCAATGAGCTGCCAAGGTTTTGTCGCCACGTTAGACTGCTCAAGGTCATTGATCTTGTTATGAAGCTACATTTCAAGGGGAGGAGAATTTTGATAATTAAATAATGGGAAAGTCTACTCTGGCACCAAGTTGGTAAACAAAAGCATAAAAATGAGAGAAGGGATAAGAAAAGGATGCGCAGGGTATCACTTCATGAGAGAATGAGGAACAAAGTCCTCCTTCAATTAATGGGCTTGATGGGAGTGGCACAGGTTATGAGGATAAATAGACTTAGATGGTTTGGACATGTGGCAAGAAGAGAGGCAACACACTGGCTCCAGAGGGCTCTAAACTTTCCGGTCACCGGATGAAGGCCTCGCGGGAGACCCAGGAAAACTTGGAGGGAAACCATAGAAGAAGATGCCAAAGCATCTGGCTTCTGTCATATGGATCCCAGAGACAGGAAAGCTTGGAAAGCAGCCATTAAGGAAATAAAATGTCCAACCCCCAAAAAGTGGGGCAAATGGACTTTAAACGCTGATGATGATGATTAACAACATTTGTTGTTACTTCGACAGTTTTGAAATCATTTCATTCTTTAAACTAAAGACAAGCTTTTGGCAAATTTTTTAAATTTTTTATTTCAAAATCCTTACCAGAAACTACAAGTAGCAATAATCATTGCAATAATCTTGCTATGAATAATTGTAAACATTGAACAGGTTTCCAACACTCCTACCTTTTCCTGGCGCTTCTCATAAGTGGATTTGTCCTCTCCCTTCTTCCTCTGACCACCGCCGAGGATGTCAGAGATGTCCTCCCCTTCGCTCTCGCTGCCACTCAGGAGAAGGTCATCCTTGTTCTTGGTTCCGGATGCCTTCCGCAGGTCAGCCAGCAGGTCATCGTCCGCATCTTCAAAGTCTGCCTCTTCAAAACTATAGTTTGGATGAAAGACAGGATTGGGGACTTCAATATTAACATCATATTCTAAACCAGCGAAATATAATACTTTCTTTTTTAAAGCTCTTGGAAGCACAACACAGTGCCTGGCTCTGAATAGATTAGTGGGATAAATATTTTACTACGTAATTACCATCTTCCTATTTCTAATAACATACTAATTAAACTTCAAACGGTAAGTTCTCAATTAATTTTCATATTTTGTTATAATCTTTAAAAAAATAAATATATACAAGGGCATCTTCAAATTAATGGGATATGACATTATAGGGTTTGATCAAATGGCCTCTGATTAATTATTAATGATCAACAATTCTATAGATTAAGTACACAAATAACATGATAGATAATAACATACCTTTGCCATCTATTTTTTTCTTCTTCAAATCAATTATGAACTGGGATAGGAGGAGCTACAGATATAACAAACAAATAAATGTGACACTATGCCCAGACAGATAAAATTAATAATTCAAGAAATGTATCATGGACAAGTTACTAGATTCAAAGATTCTATACTGACTTGCATGCTTCCATGCCATTGTTAATACACATTCAACACTTGCCTCTCTTCTTCAAAGTCTTTTTCATTCCCATCTTCTTCCATCTCTTCTTCTTCCTCTCCTCCTTCGAAGTGCACTTTCTTCTTTGAGGACTTTGTCGCCATCTCTGCTCCTGGCGCAGCAAAGAAGTCTCCATACATCATGTCTCTTGTGCTCTTATTATCCTATCAAAATGTGGGGGTTTAATTATCAATATATTATAAACTTTTTAAAAATCGAAAATCTCAGTTCCTATAAAATGTTGTAAATCTTTATATCATTCTTCTGCAATTCCATACAAATACATATTACATATAAAAGTATATGGTATATAAAATAAGAGAAAAAGCATACATTTAGTGATTTTATCACACTTTGTAATCTCTTCACAAATACAAATTTACACTAACACTGTATGTATTTAATGGATAATGGCTTATGATCCTTTTTGGGGATCAAGTTTATTTTGGGTATCAGATAATTAAATTTATAACACAAAATCTGAAAAGAATCAATTCTTCTAAAATTCATACAAATGTTTAGCCTGAATGAATTGAAAGTGACAGCACTGCATGCAATAGAAAGACAAGGACAATGTTATATTTGGGAATAATGAAATGATCTAGTCCAAGTTCGAATTTGTAAAACAATAACCAGTTACCTGTTTCTCTTCATCATCATCATCATCCTCATCATCGAATCCCTCATCATCTGATGAAGCATCTTCAAAGAAGTCAACAGGATCCTCATCGTCATCCTCCTCATCATCATCCTCATTGTCATCATTATCACTTCCATCTCCTCTTTCCATCCGTCTCACTCTCTTCGCCTCCTTGGCATCTTCCATCTCTAAAAACTTCTCCATATCATCCAGTCTGAAAAACCGGTCATCAACGACTGATGACTTACTCCTCTCACTCTTGTTCTCGATCGGGTGATTTGCCTTTGGCGCCTTCTTTTTCGGTTTAGTTCTTGAGTGCAACTCATCAATGTCAAAATTTGTATCAGATTCACCACTTTCATCAGAGTCTTTGTTAGCTTTCTTTGATTTCTTTGTTCTTGATAGGCTAAGGTCTTCGTCATCCTCACTATCCATCATCTCATCTTCGTCTTCTTCTTCTTCATCCTCCTCTTCGATGTCTTGCTCATCATCACTGTCACGACTTTCCTCTTCATCTTCATCTCCATCGCTGTCTCCCTCAATATCTTGTTCATTGGGGATTTGAAGACGGAGTCTATTGCGCACGGCAATTGCTTTAGCGACATGTTTTACGAGGCTGCCCACACCAGGCTTATTCTGCAACTCCAATTCCTGCCATATCTGTTCCTCATCGAATCCTTCAGTAATGAGCTCCAATAGTGGGTTTGAGGACTTGAGATTTGCCTCTGCATGACACGCTGCTAATCCAAACAAAGTCTGGGTGCATGATGTCAGGGCATTTTCATGGGTTGGTTGAGAACTGTAATGAAAGATGTAACAAAACAGAAATAAGATGACAAACAAATCTGATGGGCATGATTTTCTGGCGATATGGCTCAAAAAAAAAGTGTCCTGTATTTCAAGATTTTCAGTTTCAAAGTAGGATGTTTCAAGTATTGCAGGCTTAAAAATGAAATTGTTTGATTGCAAACTGCCATCATCAACATGTACACCGCACAGTGTAACTCCCTATATTTTGCATTGTAATTGTCTCTCATGCCAAAGCAATTTCTACTAGATAGTAGAAGGTCCACTGACTCTGCATCAATTTCCCACCTGGCTGAGGCTGAGCTTGAAGGCAGCGCATGCGTCTGATGCTAAAATTCCCAACAGGCAACATGCAACAGTTGGGAATTTTAGCATCAGACGCATGCGCTGCCTTCAAGCTCAGCCTCAGCCAGGTGGGAAATTTATGCAGAGTCAATGGACCTTCCCCTTCCCCCCTCCCCACCTCCCCCCTCAAAAAAAATGAAGTTCAATAATAATTTAATAATAATAACAATAAATATCTATCAAAATGAAAATGAATACAACCCTGTAGATCCTTAGATGTCAGTAGGGGCGCTGGTCCAAGAATAATCTTGGGTAAAGGTAATAAGGATTGTCTGCATAAACGAGGATATCCTCGTAATCGCAGAAAACTTGCGTCCAAACAAATAAGAATCGTCCGCATTTTTCGCAGACGATCCTTATTACCTTATTACTTTAGCCATGTTGAATCGACGATAGGCCTACAACTACAAGTTACAACATGGATGGCTCGGTTTAGGACGAGGAATCACCCTTTTTCCCATCAAAAACTTCTTAAAATTATCATGTCAAGTATGCCTTGAGATGCCCTGAGGAGTTTGAAACACTGTAATTCAAAATTTATAATTACTAGTACCGTTTCACATTTCGGGAAAATTGTCGCCACAACCCGATGTTTGATTTGTGTTAGGGAGGCCAATGGCCGGGCGTAAGGCTTCTACACCTACGATTTGTGCGCTCGTCGCCCACTTCAAAAAATTAGCAAAGGGAAAAAAATGATGTAAAAATAAAAATTGAAGAAAATATGAAAAGAAAATACAATTATACATTTCACAACATACCTATAATCACGGATCTGTAACAGTCTTTCACCATTTGTTGACAATCTTGCAGATTTTGACGTTTTTTAATCCAATAATTGTGGTTGCAGACGACCTTGACGCACTCGCACCACCGACTAAGAAAATCCTAGAGGGCGTAGAGGTTTGCTCACTAAAAACCTTCTCATTGGCAGAAGGTAGACCCTAAAAATATGGGATCCGTTTTGAGTAAAGAACTTTTGATAGAGATCAACATTTCAGATGTTCACAATTGCCACTTCTAACAACTAGAAAATATAAAGAAAAAAGATTGTATCTTTTTAAATACAGATTTTTACAAACTGAACATTCGAAAGTAGATAGAGTACGATGTTTCTGTCAATCTTGCGTTGGTTTGAGCCCTATAGCTACATCCATCTCAAAATGAGAAGGAAAACAGTGAACAGTGACGTCATTGTTCGCGCCAAAAATAAAGGGTATTGCGACATAATCTGAGCTCCGGTCAGATCGTGCGCAAAGGCGTAGTCTTATTTATAGACCCTAGTACCTTATTCTCACAGCACTAGATACGAGTGTCGTGCAGTAATGTATGAGAAGTGTTAAAAAAGATATTTCAGTAAAAAAAAAAGTCTACGTGAGCAGTCTATACTCCAATTGAGAATTGAAATGAAAGCCATGATTTGAATGTGTGTGTTGTATGATACATGGTTAGTGAGTGTGTATGTTACGTATAGCGAAAGGGAGAGAGAGAGAGAGAGAGAGAAATATTAGTACACGTACGTTGCATGCATGGATGTGCGCTATGATTGTGTTCGCTGCAAGATGGATTTTAATTGGACCTCGTAACTTCTCGATCGTTGATAATAAGGAATACTCATGAGGAAATCAAATTATTGTAATACACATCTAAGGTAAATATCAATGAATTATATATATTTCTTTCCTTTTTTGAACCATCGTCTTCGCCTCGTAGTAGTAGAAGATGTAATCGTTCGCACATTGATGGCTGGACTTCAGCCTGCATCGGGGCTTGCCTGTGTCGGTGGAGGGATCAACTTAAGAAGAAGGTGTGTACGTGTGCGACCGATTCAAGGCTAGCCGCTGTTGAGTGATTGCACTTTCGCGCGAAGTTTTAAACTTCATCATGAACTTTGTCCCTCGGGCCTGTCTAATTATGAACGTAACTTTGCGACATGAAATATAATTGTTTCAAGGCTCTTACGTACGGAAAGGCGTAGAAGGAAATGGCTACAAACCAGCTGGATATCTCCTATTTGATGGAACCTATGGAGTCGGCAGATGGGTGGATTTTCTTAGTGAAAGTAAATGCTTTCTTTTAATCTTAGTTTTAGTATAAACAAATTAGTAATTAAAAAGTTAGATTTGGGCATTGGCCTCCCTATTTGTGTTTCAGGATTCGGTCTGGAGCTCCGACAGGAGTTAATTATGAATGAACAAATCAATAAAAAAGAAACAGAATAATAATCAATTAATAAATTGATTATTCATTAAATTTAGTCTTAAATTTAATTCTATTTAATTAAAAAGTCTTATGAGTTATGACAATTAACTTGAATTAGACAAGCCTTTCTTCGTCAAGAAAAATACAACTCAAAATCGGACGGGTGGGACTGTACCCATTATAGCGTGTAAAGATAAATGCAAATAACGTCAAACGAAGGATGTTATGTCTCTAAAATTACTTCAACGCATACAAAAATTGGCTAACATACCTAATGTATTTCTCGGGATTCTTCGTAGCTCTTTCAAACTTCTGTAAAGCACCACTTAAATCCTCACCGCTGGACGCCATGCTGCAAAAACGAAGCGTGCTTATGGAATGCCAAATATTATGAGGTGCGCGTGGTGCATATCATGCATATGTGGCATAGAGATAAACAATTTTTTTCTTTTTAATACATGAATATCTCTATGGTGTCTACGTAGTTGTAAAAACATTTTGCCGAGGAGCAAAAAATACAAAAAGTATTGTTTATATGAAATATGATTTAATCTAATATCTTATGGCGTCCCTCAGGGCTCTATTTTGGGGCCTCTCTTATTTTTGATTTACATCAATGATATTGTAAACTGTTCCACTTTCTGTAAATTCACACTTTTTGCAGACGATACGACTATTCTTGCCTCAGAAAAAAAAATTGATCTATTAACCCATAAACTGAATATTAATTTGGAGTATGTTTACGAATGGCTAGTTTGCAATAAGCTATCTTTGAATGTTTCTAAGACTAAATTTGTTATTTTCAAAAATGCTAGGAACCTAAATCCTGTATATGACAATGTATCTATTTCTATCAACAATAGATTAATTGAACAGTGTCGAGTTTTTAATTACCTTGGAGTACTTTTCGATGAAAACCTATCTTGGACTTCTCATATTAATTATATTACAAAAAAGGTTTCTCAGAGCGTCGGTATTATTAGTCACTTAAGATTTGTTATTCCACTCCGTATCTTATTCATGTTATATAATGCATTTATTTTGCCATATCCCATAGGAAAGAAATGAGCCTGCCGCATACTCCTGCGGCAGACTTGCCGCAGATCTGCAGCAGACCTGCCGCAGACAGTCATCTTTTTTTTTTGATGAAGAGTCTGCGGCAGGTCTGCCGCAGACTTGCTGCAGACTTGCCGCATACTCTTTCAGTATGATGAAGAGTCTGCGGCAGGTCTGCCACATACTCTTTCGGTATGATGAAGAGTCTGCGGCAGGTCTGCCGCAGACTTGCCGCATACTCTTTCAGTATGATGAAGAGTCTGCGGCAGGTCTGCCACCGACTTGCTGCAGACTTGCCGCATACTCTTTCAGTATGATGAAGAGTCTGCGGCAGGTCTGCCGCAGACTTGCTGCAGACCTGCCGCAGACTCTTTGTCATGAATATGCATATCTCATATAGACCTGCTGCAGACCTGCCGCATACTCTTTCATATCCAGTACGTGGCAATAAAGTATGCATGTAGAAGAACCAGTGATAAACTGATTGATACTTCATAATCAATATTGGCAATATCGATATTACCAATTAGGTAATACCAATATATATCGATATTACCAATTAGGTATATTCAATTCTCAATTGTATTAACTTCATCACATTGATCATTTGAAGTGTATTCAAGAGTAACATTTAAAAAGACACAGGCTCGTACACATATATATACTAAATATGTATATTGTTTCTTGGTTAGTAATCATAGTTTCTTGGTTAGTAATCAATATATCTATTGCTTAAACGTGAATGTAATTGTAACATGATCAGACAAAATAATCTATTGGTTAATAATGGCAAAAGGAAAATAGAAATCACAAAAATGATGTGCATTGTCTTAATTTGCTTAACAAATCATGATAAATGTATTTTTCTGTCACACGTGTAAAGTAATAATGAATATGCATGAGATGATTGGTTTCAATTGGCCCTATTAGACTTTAATGGGATTTCCTGTGGCAGACCTGCCGCAGACTGTTCCTGTGGCGTACTGGTATGCGGCAAGTCTGGAGCAAAGTTTCGCCCTGCCGCAGATCTGCCGCAGACTGTTCCTGTGGCATACTAGTATGCGGCAAGTCTGGAGCAAAGTTTCATCCTGCTGCAGATCTGCCGCAGACTGTTCCTGTGGCATACTAGTATGCGGCAAGTCTGCAGCAAAATTTCATCCTGCCGCAGATCTGCCGCAGACTGTTCCTGTGGCATACTAGTATGCGGCAAGTCTGGAGCAAAGTTTCATCCTGCCGCAGATCTGCCGCAGACTGTTCCTGTGGCATACTAGTATGCGGCAAGTCTGCGGCAAGTCTGCAGCAAAATTTCATCCTGCCGCAGATCTGCCGCAGACTGTTCCTGTGGCATACTAGTATGCGGCAAGTCTGGAGCAAAGTTTCATCCTGCCGCAGATCTGCCGCAGACTGTTCCTGTGGCACACTAGTATGCGGCAAGTCTGCAGCAAAATTTCATCCTGCCGCAGATCTGCCGCAGACTGTTCCTGTGGCATACTAGTATGCGGCAAGTCTGGAGCAAAGTTTCATCCTGCCGCAGATCTGCCGCAGACTGTTCCTGTGGCATACTAGTATGCGGCAAGTCTGCGGCAAGTCTGCAGCAAAATTTCATCCTGCCGCAGATCTGCCGCAGACTGTTCCTGTGCCATACTGGTATGCGGCAAGTCTGCAGCAAAATTTCTTTCTGCCGCATACTTCGGCATACTCTTTGCCGCAGACTAAAAGTCTGCGGCAGGTCTGCGGCAGATCTGCGGCAGGTCTGCGGCAGGTCTGCGGCATACTTTTCACTTTCCTATGGGATATTATGTATTGCAATTCTGTTTGGGCGACGAAACATCCTTCTAAGTTACTCAAATTACATAGACTTCAAAAAAGGGCATTACGACTCTGCTCTAATTCCCCTTTCTTAGCTCCCTCACAACCTTTATTTAGAAAATTCAATACTTTACATATTTATGATATTAATAAATTGCAAATTGCCTCATTGATGCAACGATTTTTCTCAAACTCACTACCTCCAAACCTTATGCACCTATTTAGTCTTAACAATGTGGTCCATACCCACTACACAAGAAATGCTGATAAATTCCATCATTGGAATGCTTCGTCCAATATACTAACCGATTCTCTCCGTTATGTTGGTCCAAAAATGTGGAATTCCCTACCTCCATTTTTACAATCTGTTGGATTTAATAATTCTTTCAAAAGACTTTACAAGAAACATCTTCTCTCTCTTTATAACGCATAATTTATTTTAAGACCACACCTATATTACTAATACTCCTTTTTTTTTTTTTTTTTTTTTTTTTTTCTTCTTCAAGTATATGTTATTATTAATTCTGCGCCTGGTGCATTCAATTGTCAAGCCTTACTGGCTTTTACGGATGCACCATTTTCCATTTATATTTTGAATGCTGTTTATGTCAATTTTATATGTAATTTTGATATTGTTACATGTTATGAAATTCCATATTTTATCTTTGTATATATTGTTGTGATGATGGAAATAAATTTCAATTCAAAATTCAATTCAATGATTCAACAGAACCAAACAAAATATTTACCATCTAAATGTTTCTGCTAAGGAATTAAATAAACTTTATCTGCATTATGAAAAGCATTTTTTTATTCGGTTGGAGATAGTTGCTGGGGGCAATATTCATGAATATGTGATATTACTATTAGTTATATGAGAAAATCCAACTTCCGCTGCTATAGAGTAACTCAATTTTGGAATTTTGATTTACACTTCACTTTTACAAACATGCACCCCTAAATGGACAATTCTTACATAAGGAAAGGCACAAATAAGGGGGCCGTTAGAGGTATACGACCTCAATCTGTAAGTGTACTAACCCTTTTTTTAACCTTCTTCTTTTTTTATTTTGCTCGTTTTTATTCATTTGTCTGTTTTGTTATATGTATGTATGAATGTGTTATTATTACTACTATTTGTTATTATATTTATTATTATTATTATCATTATCAGTATTATTATAATTAACATCATAAGTAGTAGTAGTAGTTGTACTAATATAATCATCATCACATTACCATCATCGTCATCATCATCAGTAGTATCATTATTATTAATATCATCATTATTACTATAATTATAATAATAACCATCATCATCATTACTATTACTATATACTTTAATACTTACATTTTTTTTTTCTTTTTTTTTCATTATCATTATTTTTTGGACATTTGTGTCCTGCCTCCTCCCTTTTTAAAAACATGAGCATAGCTTCAGGAGAATTGGAAGAAAAAACAAGCAAATAAACAAGAAACAACATGAAATCAGGAATGTAAGTAAATTAACAAAATGAGTTGACTTTTGTAATCTATGAAATGAAAAAAACATTCTCTCTTGCATAGATCACATAACGCACACAAAGTACTTGTATATACATGTGAAAAAACTTTATTGCACAATAAAATACAAGTAGAATGAGCTCTATTTTGTAAACAGAGAAATCAAAAGTATGATGTATGAATAATATATGTACAGATATAGTTCAATAAGTTGTCTTTGGATCAAAAACAGTTAGCATTGTTTTAAATTTTGTTTAATAAATCATGTTTTTAAAATATAAAACATCATCACAGATTCATGAGCAGACCCCAGTGCTACATCCCGCTAGCAAGAAATTAATGAGGAAGCCCGAAGGTGGTTCTAGGCATCAGAATTAAGCAACAGTAGATATATTGAAAATAATATTGCTAATGATATTCGTTTGTCTCGCAATGTGGTCAATAAGGAATATAAAAGATCACTAGCGATATTATTTTCAATACTACATCCGCAATGAGTAATATATTTAGCAGTAGATATATTGTTCCAACATTCAGACACACATGCTGGCAACATTATGGAGAACGAATATATTTGGTCCAAACAAAAATAGCATCAAAGAAAAGCAAAGCATAACTATTTTAAGTAAAGTCTATGTATGTGCATGCCATATAATCTGAATCCTGTCCCATAACATTAAGGGTGCTTTGGGGCAATTAATATCAAATCAGAAAAGGTAATAAAATTGTACCTGAAGTTTCAAGAGCAGATAGAAACTTGTATCGGCAGAATTATGTACATGGAGTAGAACTTCTGCTGAGAGATAAAATGCCTACAACAGATGGAATGGAGATGAATTCTCACCAGCACATACCAGAGAGTGCTGGATTTGACTTATTCTGCAAGCTACTAGCAGCGCTTAAACAGTACAACCTATAACAGTGCAGAGGGGGTGTTTCACAAAGACTAAGATCGTGTTTGCTCTCACCGCTTACTGGCATTAGTCTCTCAAGGGATGTACAAATCGTCACAAATCTACAGAATTTACCTTTTTGATAGTTCATTATTAAGGGAAAAAGTATTATCTAAAGATCATAATGATGATCGAGAGCAAACGGTGGCATGAACGGCCTGCTATAGATAAGTCCAACTAAAAGTAGATCGTAGTCTTTGTGAAGCACCACCCTGCACTGTTAGTATAGGTTGAACTGTTTAAGCCCAGGGTGGAATACGACCATCACCTCCTCTCAGCATTACTTGGGGGAGATTGAAACATAGAGGATATGTCATCTTTTCTCTTATTTCATTGTTAAATTTGGTGTGAAATATGATCTTCCCAAAAGAAAACATACTCTACTCTATACTGTTTGTACATATACATGTTTCGAGAATAGAAGAAAAAGACAATTTCTGCTTTTGAATATATTTCATTTTAAGGCTACAAATGGCTCTCCATAATTTTTAAGTACAACTTAGTGTTAAGTTCTACTTAGGATCTTTGTGAAACACCCCCTGGTACCATTACTCCAAGCTGTAGAAAAAAAATTCTGTGGCCAAGAGTGGATAAATACTTGATAGTTGAGGCATAGCAAAATAACCCACCACTTCATTGTAAAGTTATGTGACAGTTGCTGAGAGAACATCCATGCATTTTCTTATCACTTTAAACAATCAACTATCCGACTTATTCACCACATCATGGCCCTCAGATGTATATGCAAAGGAAGTCTTTCATCAAGAAGTGCCTTGTTGATACCTCCAAAGGCATCCCTCAGTCTGGAAGAGTCAATTCTTCAGCAGAATGGTGGCATCTTTAAGTATCTGGGATCATCTGAATCGACTGCTGCCCTGAAACTGAGTTGATCGTCCACTCAGTCCACCAGACATTGGCCTGCAGATAATAAAAGAATTCAAAAAGGTTCTGTCGTAACAACTGTAGCAGTAGAAACATCTTTTAGTAGACACCATACCCCATAATTACCAATAGTTTGCGTAGATACCCTATAAAATTTGTGATCTGAATTTTCAAAAGTGTATTAGGTTATAATTCTTTCTCATTTTGTTCACTTATTAACTGTTTCTCTGCTTTTTCCACTTCCACTCAAGTCAAGTACAGGTTTAATCCCAGATGAGGACTTTTTTTTGCCAACTCAATATCACATCTTTGTAAGTTCATTGGCTCAAATGTACATCAAAGGTCACCTAACAAATCAAAAACATCATAACAAGCAATATTTGAGCTTTAACTTATTCCATTAAAAAGCATGCCACATCTTATGTCACACATAACACATAGATGTGTGTTTAACGATACTATGTCACTTTTGCAGCCAACATCAAATTCCGTAAAACTTTGTAGAAATTGTGTATGTCCTATCTGTGAAATGTAAACGTTAGCAGTGTCCTAATATTCAAATTATGCAAGGAAACCCATTTACTTGCTAGACTTCATTGTCAGACACTATTGAGTGACTGACTGGCTTTTTTTCATCTTTGGTAATAGTATACATAAAATGAGCTGTAAAGGGTACATGAGCATTTGTCTACATCAATAACCCACTTCATGTAATGGCCAAAATTAAACTGATTGAATCTTTGCGCAGCATAATGCACTTGTCATTTGTAAGACGCACCTCTTGACCCCCGGGAATGGTGCGTCATTGTACCGATGTGAGTCGTACATTTTGATACCATGACGCACCTTCCGTCACAGAAAGTGACACACCATTACATTCCATCGACGCACATTTGAGTCAAACATATGACACACCATTTCATGAAAATGACTAGCCAATGACGCACATTTGAGAAACACTTCTGCTTGGAGAAAGTGACGGTCCCATTGACACACCAAATGACGCAACGTGGTAAAGTGACTTACTATGACGCACATATGGGTCAGTATTGTGACGGACATTTTGCGGCCATGACGGTACTGTGCGTCGCAATTTTGGGGAACATGACGTAACCATGACGCACCATCCCCGGGGGTCAAAAGGTGCGTCTTACAAATGACACCTGCATAAAACGTACGACCATTCGGTACAATGGTCTGAAAAATCAGACTATTACTTACTGGCTCTATAGCTCCTAAGTCGATTCGACAACTAATAGTCGTTATTTTCCCACTTAAAGACATTTTCAAGCCCCCCTTTTTTTAGGGAAGTTCTAAATTAATATTGACTTCCAAATGCCGTTGGAATTTAACCTTTTCATTTTTGGGGCCTGCAAATGGGACATAGTACCTTTAAAGGGATTGGGTAACTTTGTCTCAGATTCTGAAACAAAATCCTGGATTTAGCTCATGCTGCAATGATAATTATAAACCTTTATGTCAGTCGGGAACCCCATGAATTTTACAAGCCAATCGCCTTTCTGGTTATCAAGATATTTATGATTGGAATTCGAAATTTCATTGTTCGTTTTCCTAACAATTTTTATAACACTACAGTCTATTGGGGGAAATGAGTATGGTAAAACCAGTCATTCAAAGATTTTTACTTTTTTGAGGCACTTCAAGTTTTTTTAGGGCTTCAATATTACACCATATCACAGACACTGATAACACGTAGGGCCATGCATCTCAGATTTAACATTGTTAAACGATGCCTTTAAAGAATAACATGTCGCTGTGGATTGATTCCCTAGTAGCACACTGAATACTCTATAGAAACTTACTTGTTCTGTGCTGACTTCTTTTTCAGCTGACCCGAGGATGCTTTACTCCTGTAAAAAGGAAATTAGGAAGGGCAGTTTGTGACACATTGCAATCTCTAAAGGTAAATATGCAAATAATTGGTATTGACTCGTTCAGGAAATGGAATAAAAGCTACAAAGCTGTATAACAAATGTATTATTTACCAAATGTAAAACATGTGTTTTATAGACACTGCAATGCTGCATTGATATTAGCGTGTTTGGAATAAAAAAAAAATTCTCTCTGTCGATTGGTCCCTTTTTTAGTCCCCCCCCTCTCTCTCTCTTTCCGTCTGTCTGTCTGTATGTCTGCTCTTTCTTTCCCTTAGCCTACCTGTTTGTTTTTTTGCGTGTTTGTCTCTCTCTATCCGTGTGCCCCCCTCCCCCTTACCTGTCTAATCTTACTCCCGATCCTATTTTTCAATAAGGGGATACAGTCATAGATAAAAGCTACTGAAATTATTGCAATTCGTTGGCTGAGAGAGTGAATATGTTGAGAAAGTTTGGCACTTGTTATGGAAAACAATTTAGTATAATAAAACAGGGACCGGATGCAACTTTGACTTACTTCTTTTCGGACTTCCCTTTGAAAACCCTGGTGGCGTCCAGCTTCTGTAGGGGTACACCGTCTGGTATGGCGCACTCTGCCTCTTCGTCTGGTCCAAACATCTCCGTCAATATAGAGTCTGTTTGCAGCCGGTAAGGACCATACAGGTTGAACCATTGCTGCAAAAAGGACGCATGGACAGACAATATTATATGGATGGGAAAAAAAATCATACTGATTGATTGGTTAAAGGATATTGTTGAATTAAATTTATTCTTGCATCAAAAGATAGCATTGCATCCGGTGTTCAATTTAAAATTTGCTACAAAAGAATTTTGATCTATTACTGCAAAAAAATATACAAACGAGCCAAATTTTGGTTTGCAAAGAAAACTTATTTATCGATTGACTTATTGATTGAAGGGTTTTATTCTGTAAATTTCATACTAACAGTCTAAACAGACTGTATTGCTTGAGATAGTGTGTACGATTCTCTAGAAAGACAGAAGCTTTGAATCAGCAATATATGAACCTGCCATCTACTGTCTTCAGGTACAGGCACTAGCAACTATCTTACAGATTGCATCATTGCTGCCAGAATGGGCAGAGAAAATATGGCTCCAATAGAAATCTTACTATACTCCCCACCATAATTAAAAGCATGCTATTGGAGATTGGAGTAATAACAAAAATATCTAAAAAAAAAAAAAAAAAAAAAAAAAATTGATAAGTAGTCCATTAATTTCCTTGTCTTACCCTAGCAGAAGGACTGAGCCCAACATCTGTGAAAGCATACTGCCATTGAGGGAGCCCTAAATGGACCATCATGAGACGGAAGTACTGTGCGAAGGTACTGGAGAGAAAGTGCCATCTGAGGGCAGTATCTAGAAACCAGATTTCTGCATCTTCAGCCGGTCTACCTAGAAGCATTAGAACAGACATGGAGAGAGAAATTACATCAGTAATTCTTTATACCAACAAACAATGTAAAAAATGTTAGGGGGGGGGGGAGGCAGAGGTCAATTATACAAAATTATGTCATTACATGGTCAATTCATAATTCATATTGTGCAAAACAATTGGATCTTTCTACAAAGTTTAGACATTGTTGTGGAGTCCAATGTAATCACAGTGAAACACAGTACGGGGCCCCGTTTCTTAAAAGTTGTTATCAATAACAAATGCTAAATTTCTAAAAACAAATTTGCTCTCACCCCATCAAATGTCACGATTTCAGTAGCTTATAACAGTTATTGTAACTTGTCATTGATAACAAGTTTTATGAAACAGAGACCAGGGGGTGTTTCATAAAACTTGTTATCAGTGACAAATGACAGTTGTTGTTATAAGCTACTGAAATGCTTTCTTCTGATTGGTTATCAGCAGATTTGTCACTGATATTTGTCATTTGTCATTGAAAAAAGGGTTTTGTGAAACAAAGACCAGGTCCAGAACCTTTACACTACCTGGTTTAGTATTCCTGTAGACAAGACACACCTTCCCGCTTCCTTGGCAAGGGTCCAACTCAAAGATCCTACTTGTTGGGCCGAAGCTCGGTGTCTCATCTGAAAAAACAATTGCAATTTAAAAAAAAAAAATCAGTTACTGCTTGTGATTTAAACTACCAAAAGTGACAATTCTATTATGTAAAAAGGTATACCCTGTGGCTTTTACAGCAAAACCTGTACGGTATTTAAAAAAGAGTACTCATAAGAGATGACGAGAAAGGATGTCTTACGAGGCAGGTGGTCTTTATGTACAAGTTTCTTAAACTACATATTTCAATGATACAAAATAGAAGGGAAATTGATAAGTCTTTATGGACAGGCGGTCACTAAAGCAGATTGAATGTATCTCATGATATATAAAAGGTATATTCTGTCACAACTTTGAAGACCAAGTCAAGTATTTTAATTGTAAGTGATGGGCTTAAGCATCAAAAGAAATAGGGGATCATGCCTTTTATAGTTCTGTATGTGATAAATTGATTATGTTGACACTGATAACTAAAGGTCAAGTTTACAGCGGTAGTTTACAGCTGTCAGAGGAAGGATAATGTGCACACTACAACAACAGCTATCATTATCATTTTTATTATTGTCATCATCATCATCATCATCATTACCACCACCACCACCACCATCTTCATCATCATCATCATCATCATCATCATCATCATCATCATCATCATCATCATCATCATCATCATCATCATCACACGTATTAAGGTGTTTTTTTACCGGTCTCTTGTTCTCCATCTGAATCATCATCAAGATCAGCTAGGGTGGGGTTGTTTCTTCTTGTAATCTTTTCTCCAGCAATCTTTGTTACATCAGCAAGTGAGTTGAGCTCCATTCTCCCGAGAGGCTGAGTATTATCCCCTGAAAGTCAAGATATTTTAAGGTTTGTGTCATTAATCTACTCTATGAACATATTGGATCAATTTTACCATTACGGCGATTTATGAAAACAGTTCATGTGATTTTTTGTAAATGTACTGTATATACATTGATGAGTGAAATAAATGAATCTTGAATGGAAAGCTCATAGAATGATCCATGTCAGAGACATCATGAAACGTAACATGATAAATACATGATATGAAGTATTTTATTCTACTGCTGTACAATAAACCTTGTTGAGAATTTTTACATTAGAATTGGCAGATAATGAATCCCTTTGCGAGATAAAGCTACTCATAGAAAATACTGAAATTGTAATTGATGGATACATATTCCAATTTAGGGATGCACAATTTAATTTTTTATTGTATACCGGTAAATGACTTTGAAGAGGGACAAAGCACAGATGATGATGTAAAGCAAAGAGAGATGCTATGAAAAGAATATGTCAGAATGACTTAATTCCCGTTACCTCAAAATGCACATCATGGGAAATGATAGGCCTACAGAGAAAATCATATTTCAAGGGAGAAACTGTTGAAATTTGTTCATTTTGTACTTCTCTAGTGAGGTCTTTAAATCATCATTATATATTTTTCAGCTGCCCTTAATTTGGTTCAAATTAAAGCAAATAGTAAATGCTTCTCGTCTTATTTCATGTTAACTTCCCAGGGAGGGTGATTTATATTTCTCAAATTTACCATCTAATTTAACACTCCACTGTAGGAGCATGCCATCGGTCATCTGATACAAATTCTTAAAGTCTTCTGGCAGGAGGACAGAGTTGCGCTGTTCCCAGGACGAGAGCTGGTGACGAAGGACTTGAGGCTTCCGAGTCAGTTCAATGTCACATACTCCCGGCCTTTTTTCTACAAACACAATAAGAGGATAGGAGACCAAAAACAAATATAATATTTCAATATCTCAGAGTTTGATGTCATTTGTGGTTTTCTCTCTGATTGTGTTGTAGAATAAAAATTGTTAGTGATTTCAAATTATCACTTTGATCTACAAATTTCTATTTTCACATCACTTTTCCAGCATCCCTAATGTTATGAAAACAGCTCAATTTATGCTTATCTTATGGAAATGTTTACCCCCCCCCCCCCCACCACACACACACTTATACATGTACACATAGATGCAGACCTACATGATTCTGATTTTCATCAAGATGAAAAAGATGAACATTCTGGCTTTTCTGCATTTTCTCCTTCATATTTTATCCATCATATTTAATTCGACCTTGCTATTTTATTACAAATGCAGAAAATAGGCCACAAAAACTGGATGATTATCAAAACCAGTATAACCAGCAGGCCAGCTGTATGAGGAGCCCCCTCCCCCTCCCCCCCCCCCCCCAAAAAAAGGGGGGGGGGAAAGATAAACATTATGGCTTTTCTGCATTTCTCCTTCATTTTTAAACCCCCAAAATTTGACCTCATTTTATTACAAATGCAGAAAATAGACCAGAAAAAATAGGATGATTATTTAAACCAGTGCACCCCCCCCCAATACACTGGCCAATGGCTATACAGAACAACAAATCACGCAAGAAGAAGAACAAAATAATAGTAAAAAATAGAGGTAGACACAGAGTGACAGACGTCAAAACTTATGTTTGGGACTGAGCAATAAATTTTTAGCTGGAAATCTTGCATTTAGACTATAATTTAAATAAGTAAATCATAATTACCCAAACTTTTACTGATACCCGTCGTAAGTCGGTCAAGGAGCTCTTTATTGAAAGGTGACGGAGATTCAGTCATGTTTTCAATGTTTTTGTTTCTCTTTCCTCAGCTCACTTCAGTCTTCACAAAATAAATCGGTTTTAGGCGTCGGTGGCAACCAAAGTATTGAGATGGCGCTCTTCAAAAATAGGACCTAAGTAATAGTGTCCCTTTATATTTAAAGGGACACTAATATGACCGAAGCGCTATAGCTCGAGCTCGCGCTCGGAGATATACGAGTCGATATGATTTTCATTGGGTCACTGTTTTAACTTAAACGAAATGGAAATTTATCTCTGAATTCTTCAAAATCAACCAGCCAAGGACCTTCAGTATTCTAGTAATCCTATCTCCGGGAAAATCCCCAATAAATTCCCCCTGAAATTATTTTTCATTGGGAACCCGCCGGCACCTCCCAAGGTCCACCCATAGATTAAAGATTGGAAATTATCACAAATAAAAGGAAAAAAATCCAGAAAAGTCAATCAATTATGTTATCCCCTAGCATCGTAATATATAAAAACAATATTTATTTCATGAAGAACTCCCCACTTTAGGGGAGAAAAATACTCACTCCCTTATACCTTTCAAGTTTGGTTCATATAAGATTAATTCATTAATAAATAAATGAATAAATAAATAAATGAATGAATGAATGAATAAATAATCAAAAACTACGTAATTGAATAATTGAATAAACAAATTGAATAAAGAAGTAAGTAAATACATAAATAAGCAAGTAAATAAAAAATGGAAGCACATTGACGCAAATATTGAATATTTAATATTCGATGAAGCATACAAATCCTTTTATTATTGCTTTAATTTTTTTTAAATAGTTATTATAGGTTAAATTAAATCATCAGGCTTTTTATATATGATTATTTGGTCAGCCGCCTATAAGGACCACCGACTTTTTAACTGCTACCATGCAGCCTAAGCAATTTGTTATAACGATATTTATTCATGTTTGTAAATTGATTGATCTTTTTTATTGCTTGGCAAAATAAATTGAATTGAACTGAAATTGAATTGAATATATTAATTACGGTACATTCCTATATGTTCTCATTTGTTCATCTTCCTATCCCTTTTTAATGTTCTTTTTTTTGCATCTGTAAAGTCCTCCTTATTTATTTTCTTTATCATCAATACCATAACAGTTTCCTTGTTCTTATAAAATATTGGAGTTTCTTAGTGAGGTTCATATAGTCATTGGAAGAAAATCGTTTCTCTTTCCCTATCACTTCCTCTCCATTTATATCAATTCATTTTAAAGCTCCAAGCAGAGCCGTAGAAACGATGACCAAGAAGGCACCCAAGATGCTGGCCCAGCTCGGCACAGTCCCAAAGAGTACGAACTGGAAGACGAAGGAGAAAAAGATGGACGAGTTCCTCATCAGTGTAACCGGGGCTGCTCGCTCAAGCTGGAGGGCTTTGCCTAATAATGATTGTGACGTCAGTCCTGTAGCAGTGGGTGGATGTTTCAAGAAGAAAAAAATAAAGATAAAGATGAAAGTTACCATAGTTTACTATGTACAGGATGGGTCTTGAGAAAGCAGAGATAAAAGTAAAAATTTAGATTTGTTTACTGACTTGGTTTTAAAGATCCCTTAAAGAATAGAAATACCCGGAGGGATTGGATGATGTTGCTCGTCTTATACCGTTCCTGCTCATCCTATTAACATATTCATCAATTTGCCAGACATTCACATGCTTCATCGCGATTGACAATGATAGAGCATTCTTTTTCATATTTTTTTATTAAATAAAACATACTGACCTAGAGTCTATACGCATCGACATGGTGTAGACATGTTATATTAGAAGTGTGGGCGTGGTCTCCCACTGTGCCGAGCATATAAGGTTATCATTTGTTTTCCAGTGAAGGCCAAAAGGTGGGGAATAGCGTCGCCTCCACCCCCTTCCCCCAATCCTCCCCAAGTAAGAAGGAGGGGATACATCCCCTGGCTATATGAAGCATAATAATTATGTGTATGCATATTTAGCCCCCTAACTCATGTAATGGGGGGGAGGAGGGGTGGGGTTGTGATAGAAAAGGCTGTGTAATTACCGGCGATAACTTCTGGAATGAGATACTTCCAGTCAGCAAAGGGAGGAAGTCGAACTGTTTCCATGATAACCATGGCAACGCACGAATAAATCGCGATTCCAATACTCGTGATACAGATGATCAACGTTGGGGGTATCGTCTGAGAAAGTTTCCTTGAGAGGACGAACGATAGCGAGGCTGCCACGGGTACAATAATCGCCACGCCCAAGTAAAAGCTTTCATCAGAGTGAACTCCCATTTTTGGATTCCTCGTATCATGGAATGGAATGACGCGAGATAGAAACTTAGGCTTGTAGATGAGAGCTACACCAGTCCAAGCAAGGAGGGCGAGGTACACGTGTTTCCGTTGCCACGCCTCTCCTAGCAAGACCACGCCCATCAAACCAGTGAATACGGGGGTTACTCCAAAAATGGCTGAAGCGTCACCTGTTCACAGTAAAAACAGCGATAATGCAAGTGTAAACATCGACAGAAGGCAATAATTGGGCAATTTGATGGTTAATTTCCTTGAACAAAAGTCGTAGGTTTAGACCATTTATGCAGGGGGGGGGGGGGGGGGTTAATGAAAAAAAGGCCAAATCCATCTGAGATACAGTGGAAGCATAAACACCAACCATAGTTAAGAAAAAATGTAGGGCCCAGTTAGCTTTCAAAATTTATATGGAACATTATCATCTTCATGATCCCCTTTTTCATGATGACATTATAGGCTCCCCATCTCCTTTCATTGTTGATCTCCAGGCAAACCAAACGCATCTGATATGACTAAAAAATAATAGTCTATAAAGTTAAGATTTATGAAAAACAAATAGAGGGATAATTATTACAGTTTGACCACAATAAACATATTTGAGGAGAGTTAAGGCGCGCGTGATACATTTCCTAGGACACAGTGACTTATCAGATTAAAACAAAATTAATAGGACCTATATAATTAGTAGCCTATTAACATGATATATCTAAGAAATACTGCATGTTGTCAATTTATTCAAGAATTAACTTTCACCTCTGTAGGCCTAATGGAAATCGACATTCTCTTATTTTTTAAATAAAAAAACACAAATATATTAATAACGATTGTGATTGTACCCATAGGTATCCGCTGATAAACTGCATAGGCGGTTATCATGGCTAGGAAAGATGAAACAGACCGAACAAGAAGCCACTCGACTGTTCTGATTGGTGACTCGAGCACTGCGTCACGAAACTTTGACCAATGACCGCCCAGTATTCCCAACAGCAGGGTGGAGCAGCCAATCAGCATCGTCCGTAGAAAAGTTATTTGGAGAAAAGTTGAGTTTATCGCTAGCTTTGTCATGAGCGATGAGATCGATACTGCAAAACCAGAGAGGAACGCGAGAAGAAGTCCGTTTGAGAGAATCGGTGCATGATTTCCAGTGCTTCTTTTAAAATTGTTGTTTTGGGTTTTCATTTTGAAGATAATAGCCAGCGTCTTTTTACTTGAAATTCCGGATATTTGTTACTTTTCGTCCCTTCTTTTTTATTTTCCTGTGGAAAACTCTCGATTAAATGTATTTAGTAGTAGAGGTGTCGAAAATTCTCTCCCGTCGACCTGGAAAGAGAGAAAGTGAGTGAGAGCACGACAAGAGAAAGAAGAGGAGAGAAAGAAGAGGAGAGAGAGAGAGGGGGGGGGGGGGGAGAGGGGGAGGGGGAGAGGGGAGAGAGGGAGAGGGAGTGGGGAGTGAAAAGTGGAATGGTAATTTCTTTAGCATTGTATATTCCTACAATAATTTTCAATATAGCTTTGGATATCCATATTACTGATAGACCATAATCATGATGATGTTGGTTGTTATCTTATTTATTGTATATTTTCAGAATGTTGTTCACATGACCAAACGCTCTGAACAGTAATCCATAAATGTTAACTTATTACAATAATTTTTTGTTAAAGTACATAATGCAGTTTGTTTGTCTCGCCCTATCCTTTAAAAGTAGATTACAAATATTTTAGATTTCAGATTATCTATATAATTTATGAAGGGATCATCCACCTTTGATAATATACTCAAAGGTGGATTATCCCTTCATAAACTATATAGATAGGCCTAATCTGAAATCTAAAATATTTGTAATCTACGTTTATTCAGTAAATACAATGATAATGATAACAGATACGAAGAACACTTACCTTCTTATTAATATGTGCCTAATTGACTTCACAACTCCGATCAACTCGATCCAAATAACAGAAAGAAAAACGACTTGGTCCTTACATTAAAAAAAATATCATTCACATACATATACTTTATACACTTTTATTCCACAAGACAACAGTGAAGAACATTATTGTGAAGCACGTCAAACTTTAAACAAGTTAGGCGAAAACAAATGACATTATACAGGAGCCTGAATGATCACAATTGCGTGCAGAAAATGCATTGTACTACCATGCACTTTGGACTATTGTTTGAACCGATTGTTTATAACATAGCCTTTATTTTTATCTAATCGAACGAGTTTTTTCCCGTCAAAAACAAAATGAGTTTGATCGAGCCTCGACTACCAACCCTAGCAGTGATAAACCTGATTGTATAATCATACAATTTGCAGTCTGCCAACCAGATAAGCCTCTTAATAGAGCGTTGTTACCTGACGATTGCTCAGTATTCTGGCTAAAGGCTCCCATTTTCTCGAGATCATTTTTCATCATAAAAAAACAAACAGTCGTAATTTCTCAGGGTACCTCTATACATTGTTGCATTTAAAAAAAAATAAAAAAGCTCCCTTTTCGTTCTTACACGGCATTTCTGCTCCTGCCAATGAGATGGCGGTCCACTGCAATTTTATGTTGTGGGGGGGGGGGGGGGGGGGGTGGATAACGCCCTCTGCCATTAAATTAGCTGCTGAGACTGTTTAATGCCCCTTTTTCGAGGAGGGGGTGGGGTGTGCATTGCGCATACCCACGGAAAATGATCGCCCCCTCCAAAGGCGCGGTTCTAGATGAATAATTTCTATGTGCTTGTTGTTTCAAACTATTGTGGAGTTGATTTCACTGTCAGCGAGGGTTAGAAAAAACATCATTATATTCAAAAGTATTATGCGAACGTGTTTCTGAGAGTTGTAGGAAAATGCTCAATATTCAATAAAAGAAACTTATGTTGATTTCAAATCAAAATAAGAGAAATTTTGATAAATTGGTGTGTCAGGACTAACTCAAAAAAAATTGATAGCATATATTAATTATGATCTAGATATAATTCATCTGTCATCTCCGCATCATCACTCGATTCTTTCCAAAATAGATTTGACAAGCACTGGTCCTCTCAACACCAAATGCTTCCAAAAATTAAATACATGTGTCCACCCATTATGCAAGTAACAATAATTCAGGTTAGAATCAAGCACCACTCGATGTAACGTCCGGAAGCTCTCACCACTTCCGTACACTGATGTTGATGCTGATGGTAGTTTTTAGATTATTAGGTGACCTACATCGATTTCTTTTGATTTTGCACTAGCGCCCTCTCCAGCTCACCGTGAATTAAATAAAATTACCAAATGCTTACCCTAAAGCATAACGCTCGGGACATAGTCTGGATAGTCATCTCCGCCTTTTCAAAACTAATTCACTGGACTAACCAGGAGTTTAATTGATATCATTGTTCCATACTGGTACTATCTACAAAACAGGCTGTAAAGGTAAGTTTGTTGTGTTGTCATTTTTCTTCTCTCTTTTAAAATTAGTAAGGAAACATGCATGCGATGCGATTGACTGGATATGTGGTGGTGTGGTGGTGTGCGGTAGTGAAGTGGCGCCCGTTGCAGTGGCGTCGGTTTTTTTGTTTGCAAAGGAATTGCTCACGCATTAGCTATACCAAACCAATGGCAATATCCCCGTGCTTTGGCCCTTGGGTCTTTCGGTATGGCGTTCGGATGCAGCATTGCATTGCATAACTGGCAGTGCTGCAGATCAGAATTTGTTTTCATGTTTTCTTATCTGTATTGAAGTTTAGATCTAGAGTGCAGATCTCATCTAGACATATGTTTAAAATTGAAATGGACAATGATTCACAATGGCAATGTTGTGATTTTGGTTATGAATAATATCATGAGACTGAGAGTGAGAGTGAAACAGTGAGACTGAGACTAGCGAGAGTTGATGTAAGTTGATTTCAAACCAGAGTAGAGTCTAAATAAAGTGATATGTAATGTTAGACTTAGAGGCTTAGAAGTTAGAGATCTACTAGGTCTAGATCTAAAACCAGTTAAAAGTATTATTACATGACTAAGAAAAAGAGTACTATTAACAAAACATGTTTTTGTTTTGTTTCTTATAAAGATGATTTTTTGCAATTAGATCTACATGTAAGTTTCTCCACATGCCCAACAATATGCAAGTTTCATGTGCAATTTCCCTCTGAAGTCTTGAAACTCTTTAAAAGGCCAGTATGACACTATCATTCTATGAGCACGGTAGGTCAGGGAGGTAGGTGATTTTTTTTACTGTGACAAATCTTTGTCCATTCAGTAATTAGAATTGTGATTTAGTTGCCTTTTCTTTTGTAGATAAATGTTGATGCCACGATTTAAAGAAATTCCTAATGGGTCTGAAATGTTATCCAGGCCTAACAGGTAGATTTGAAATGTGAATTATGAAACCTAAAATAAATTTATGTAGGAGATAATATTGTAGGCGCAGATGTAAATTTGATTTTGTTGTTTAGCCTAGGTTATCTTTGTTCAACAATGTCTCAATCATTTGTTAAGCGATACAGGCCCTATTATTTTTACTCTTACTTTTTGTTTCAGGATTTAGCAGACTTGGGACTCGCTCACTGTGGAATCATATCTCTAGAACTCGTAGCAGATGACTTTGCACTGGAGTTTATGACAATGGCATCTTCAAAGGACAAAGTTAAAAGGAATAACATAGCGATGGGGAACTTAAAACTACATCGAGCAACTGCAGTATGCATTATAGTGACTCTGCTTTTACTGGAACAGATTTGTACAGCTACTAGTTACCAAAAGGCAGATTTTACGTTTCAGAAAAGTTGGAGTGTGGCAGGTAAGCTGGTTTTAATTAATAGTTTGTTGATATTTAACTACAGGTATTTATGATGCATTACTGTTTTTGCATATTATGCTTTATAATTAGTGATTGTTTTTAAAAGACTCTAGAGGGATTATAAAAGAATGATAAGGAAACTTTAGAATAAAAAAGAAGGTATTTAAATATGATTGTTACGGGCTTGAATTAAGTGGGTGCCTGTACTTCTTTTCCAAGAATAGATCAATGTTGTACAGAAGATTTAAGTTTTTTATTTTTATTTGTTAGAAGGTATTGTGATGAACTGTACAACCACAAGCTCAACATAGACCCTTGCAGTGGTTCCGATTGAAGTCACAGTTCATGCCCACATGAATGTAGATAAGAATGTTGATGATTAGAAAATGATGTTTGATGCATCTCTTTAATGTTCATGTATTCAGTTTGCTTTTTAAAAGCATAACCCATTTTACATTGGGTATGTACATGTATGCCTATTTCGTCTAGTACTTCAATTATTATTCCACCATTTGTCAAGTTGATCAGTCCTGATATTTGCAATTTACAGACATGCATGGTAAAACATTTCGATCATTGACCTTACAAACTCTGCCTTGGTTTTGCTTGGATTAAAATAAGGATTGTGGTTGTGTAATCTGTTCTCTACCACTGAGCTAAATCCAAGATAAGAAAAAAATGTATGCCTACAATGTACCTGTATGTCTTAATAGCCCACTGCACTAACTTTCTTACACTGGATAATTAAAGCACCCTTCACTCTCTTGAAGGCTGGTCTCATCTGCATTACAATACAGTGTGGTGCTACACAATGTAGTTTATCCTAGAACACAATAGAACTAAGACGCCAATGTAAGGATGGCCTAGCATGTTGGAGCTTAATTCACAATAGACCTTTATGTGGGACTGTACACATGACTTGTCATTCTTGAGTCTTGACTAGTATTTATTGTGATGTCATTTATCATTGACAGCAGAAGCTTTGAATGAATTAAGGGCCTATATAAATGCAGGAAAAGTTTTCATCTTGTAAGATCCTGCCTATAATGACCAACCGTGCCAATGTTGATTGTAGTGAGATTCAGAAAAAATACATGCTTTTTGCAATGGTGCACATACAGTACACATTATTATTACTATTTGGGTCACTGGCTGAATCAAATTCAAAAACTAGAATTTTGTGCTATTCAGTTCAATTAAGGTTGTTGACTGATGTGTACATGTACACACATGTACAATGTCTTCTTTGAATTGTGATGACTCTGTGTTCTTCAGTCAGTGACCAAACTCCAAAGTACAAAGTTGTTGATCTTAACCTTTGGGAGAAAGATGATAGGCTGTACGTACATGTGAGGAGAGCGATACAAGTGATGTACATTTGTACGCTTGACTTTTATAGTAATTTTATGGCTTGTACATTGTTAGCACACAGTGTTAGGAATGTTTCAAAATAAACAAAAAACAAATCATGCCATCAATATGAGTTTCAGGGGATGCAGTGTGGTAGATCGATCAGTTACAAATTAAAAAAACTATTATTTTATGTACCTTTTTAGATTTTGGGTAACTGGAGTAACAACAAAATGGAATCGGCATATATGTATTATGTGTGCATATATTGTATATTTAGTTAGGGAAGAGTACCTTTGTTCATGGTGTGTTCCAGATCTGTACATGTACTGTAAGCCTACATTATAGGCCAATACATGGGATATACAGTACACACACATTCATTTCTTGAAATAGATATTGTATGTACTGTAGTATACATTTTGGCTTGAAAGTACCTCTCGAAATGGCAAAGTCGTCCTAGTATGTGCTCAAATGTAGTTAACCTCTTCGCTTGCATCCCATCCACACCGGTACTTCTAATGAACAGGATACACTGTAGATATCGTTCTCTTGTATCATCTGTTCTGTTCTGGTACCAGTTATGATAGCAGAGATTTAAACATCGTAGAGTATGACAGTACTTGATGTACAATGAATGTGAACATTGATTTATGCAGGTTAGAGTAGTCTGTAATTTAGTATACACACTGTACAGTACATACAGTCTTGTAAAGAGTCAATATCAATTGCAAATCTGTAAATATGAGAAAGGGGACTGCAAACTTGCGATTGATTTGGATCATTCAATCGCAACTCTTTATAAAATGGGGGCCCTGGGGTCCAAGACGTGTATATTTCTTACATGAAATGATCGTTCAAACATGTACATGTCAACATGAAGACTTCGGTACAAACATGTATTGTTATGACATGATGGATTCAAGTCAGTTAGGGTTGACAGTATCTTTTAAATAAGCTTTGGAGACTTGGCAAATTGCCAGTTGTAAGGCTAACCAGCACGAAAGTAATGCAAGCCTTGCAGGCTCCATGTTTGAAAAACAATAAAAAAAGAAGAAAAGACGTATGGCCCACAAAACTTTTGCAAGCTGCTCTAAAAAATTAATGAACTTGTGAATGGTCCAGGTGTGCTAAAGTTTCATACTTTCACAGTCACTTTAGGTAAAATTATGCAATGAAATTTGTTTTCCCCCAGTAAAATTAGAAACATTTCTGTTTCTTACGGTACTTTCCACATTCTACAGTACATCTCCTGTCCATCAGTGTACAATAGGCCTGTTTTCATCAGCTCAAGTTTGTCAAATAACACGCTATTTTCAGACTCGGGATATTATCCCAATGCTCGAAATTGCGTCTTTACCAGACCGATATGCTCATCACAAACTAGCTTGGACGGGCGCAAATTAGCCCGCTATTTCCCAAATAGCGGGATATTTTAGACCGAAACAAAGATTTCTCTGGATTTGTCTTGACCAAATATCCTGCTAAATGCAACTGCCTGCTGATGAAGACGCAAATTAACTGGTTAATTTGTGATCGAGATACATGTACGTGTAGTTCAAGTAGCGAGTTATTTGGCAAACTTGAGCTGATGAAAACAGGTCTACATGTACACTGTGGATGATTTATAATGGTTTCAAGGTGTGTTCCAATTTATTCTTTGCGCTGACAGGCGGCAGATGTTACCCAGATCTTGAAGGTCTGCTGACGAACGACTCCAAGCAGTGCCATGGATTATGGTTTTGACCCCCATCAAGCTTCATGATTTGTGAGCCCTGGCAATGTGTAGCGCTGCTCTGATTTATGAAGTTTTCAGGGAAAGTGGGCATGTCACGATAACTAAATTATTACTGTTTCCACCTCTGTACTGTAAAAGTATGAAGAAAAAAATTACTTGGCTAAAATCCTTCTGCACATTCGATGCGGATGCCTACCAATCATGCTCAAACATACATGTACATGTATACATCGTCTGTTTTGGATACAGAAGGGGGCAATTCCACGGTAACGGAAGGACACTCAGACAAGATTTTTGAACTTCAGGTTCATACTAAAAGAAATGTTTTATTAGTATGTATTAAACTATGGGGAACAAAATGTGTTTCAGTCAAGTGGAAAGCTTCATCAACTTCACAAAGTTTGGATAAACACTAATTAACTGGAAAAACCATGTCCATTTTTATGTCCTTCCGTTACCGAGATAATTAATATGCACATTCTTAAACTACTTAACTATAATGACAATTTTTTTGGGGAGAATTAAAGGCACTTATATAGGTATTATATCTGTACTGTTTCACATCTTATACTAATAAAACAGTTCTTTTAGTATGAACCTGAAGTTCAAAAATCTTGTCTGAGTGTCCTTCCGTTACCGTGGAATTGCCCAAGGGTGTTTTTTCTTTGTGTTAATTGCTAAAGTATTTGATATAATCCATTTAACTAGAGACTTTGTAAAAATGGCCTATTACAGTATTACTCACTAGAAGATGTTGCAATGTTGCTCTCATTTTGACATTGTTCTGAAAAATACACAATTTTTGTATGCAGAATCCTAATGTAGACACCATAAGGATTATGCACGTATTACATCATGGTAGACTCCATAGAAGGATACTACAGTACAGTGCGTTCAAAACAGACGGGCGATTCAGTGAGTAAAAGGAGGGGTGGTTTTTGGCGGTTTAGTTGCTACAGGGTTACCGGTAATGTCATTCTGGCTCTACCGGGTATACAAAATAATGATTGAGGTCTGAGGTACCAAATGAAGTACTGTCCCAGCAGACAGTTTGATAATTACCTGTTTGTGGAAGATCTTCTTTTAATTAAAAAAAAGGTGTTCTGTCAAAATAAGATTCCCTTGTATTGAGGAGTATGGTTAAAGTAGCCTACGTGTATACATGTACTTTGTGCTTTTGTAGTTTGCCCACTGTACGGGTTTACAGGGGTGTACCTGATATTTTGTGCTTTAGTAACAGAGCCCTTGTCAAATTGTCAGAGTATTATTTATTTGGACGGATAACTAGATTTTGTCAGTGTCCAAGTACATGTACATGTACATGTAACTGTATAATAAAGTGATCCACGAAACCATAATATTCTTGAGTTGTAATACCATTCACATGTACAGGTACATCAAGAAACTCCACAATGCAGATGGATTACAATAGAAGACTCTATACTGAGGTGCTCATCTTTGAAGGACTGTTCAAGGATGTTCCTTTATAAATGACAGGAGATCACTATATATATTATACATGTAGATCAACATGTCATCTATTACCTGCTCCTCTCTCTTGTTGTTTATTTATTGTTAAATGAAGCATAAATCCAGGTCAAAGAATTCCATTGAATCATTGTACATTTGGCCTTCTGTAATACTTATAATAGATCTTCAATATCGCATCAATAGATCCTATATTGATTGGTAGGGGATGCTGATGCCATGTATCTATAGGCATTAGGCCTATGTACGAAAGTGTGCCTTACTTACAATGTACATGTACACGAGGGCTCCACACTAAGGGGGGTCTGGATTAAAAATTTCAAATTTTCAATGTCTGTATGCATTTATTAGCCCAGGTGTTACAATCTTGAAAAACTTGTAGCGTAAAGTCCAGCTTACAGTATAACTTATACATATACATGTATACAAAATTATCAGAATACTTCTGATTTCATACATGTACTGTAGAGGCGCTAATGTATATTTCACACGTAGGCATTTATAGCGGTTGTACTGTAGGCGTAAAAGGCAGGGGCTCTTGAGGCTGGAGCCCCCTAGAATTTCTTTACTACCAGTATATTGCAACCAAATATTCTCTTCTCTGGTATATTTTGATTAAAAATTAGAATGTCATTTTTGTGCACTTATCGCTCATCGCAAAATTTAGAATTTGGAATTGAGATTTGATATTTGGGCAAAAGATGTTTGCACCCTCATTGCACACTGTACAGTCAAACCTGTCTATATAGGCCACCCAAGAGAAACAGAGAAAGTGACCACCGTGGACAGGTGGCCTTTCTAGACAGGTCCTACACCAAACCTTTCTTTCTTGAGGGAGACATACTGTACGTGTATAATGCATGGCCACTATAGACAGGTGACCTTTTCAAAGAGATGGCCACTAAAGACATGTCTGACTGTACAGTACATGTGTGGTTCTGCTGCATGAATGTACTTTGTAAGTTCTTTTGTGCTGAGAGTTGATCATTTTGTTGTGACTCCATCCGTCATTTAATTTGAGGGAACTACAGAAGCCTACACGATATTTGCAGACCTAAAGAATTGAACGTTGTTTGCTAACACCAAACTGGATAAATACTCAGAGCTTACATTTACATCCAAGTCCACAAACAAACTTGAGCAGCCATGCTGCAGGAAGGTTTATCATGTTTGGGCTACTTCACCTTTCAGGATCGAAAATCTTCAAAGACACGGAGAGCAGGACCTGAATGGCTGAATTCAAAAGAAGCCCCCTTTCAATAGAGTCCAGGGTTTGGACTAATTGAATAAGGGCTGGGGCCTTTTTGTCCTCCAGATTACTGGCACAATAGACCTGCCAGGGGAGATGCTATTATGGTGGACTCATTTGTTGGGCCAATTTTAGTGGTCCTTCATTGTTAGTTTCCTACCCCTAGCCAATGCCCATACAGCCTACAGGGGTCTTGAAAGTAATCCATACATTAGAGATTGATCGCTATACACTTTGCATAAGTAATAACTTGTAAAGTGGTGTTTGAGTGAGGGGGATTACAGTAATTAAGAGTGATAGACTTTTGCAACTAACTTACAGTTAATAACTAAATTATTCATATTCCTTGTAAATTTTATGATTCTTTTTTCTTTTTTGGGGGTAAAAGTTCTCAAGAATTAAAGGTTGACAAGTTAAATCATGGTGTTTGTTACGTTATTTTAGATGTGAGCTTTAATATGTCACATTCTCATAACTTCTCAAGAAACGTACATGTAAATCGGGACAAGTAAATCTTTCTCATACTTTATTGAATTTGTGCATAATACTCAAATATGGTTTAAGAAGGAAAACAAGATGGCTAGAATTTCACTTTGTATACCTGAATGAAATCTCATGCCCCAATTCAGTCTCCAATAAAAGATACTTCTATTCTTTCATTTAGAAGTAAATGCTAAATATTGTAATTCTCATTTAATATGCACGACGACTCTTAATAACACACATGTACCTTTCCATTTACAGATGTGCCAAATAGTAAATTTTATCCTCGTATTGGGGACCCGGCCACATCATCTTTCTATAGGATACTAGAGTTCCATGATAACCTTGGAGACGATAGTCACATGTTTGTCGGCGGTAAAAATTCACTGACGGAACTGCGCCTTGACGATCTTTCATTCGTAAGTCACCCTCTTCAAAAGTTTGCTTTTAATGTTAAGAGTTGGTTGATTATTCAGAACCAGAAATTTGAAGACAAAATCTTCAAAATAGTGATCGAATGTTGTACACATAGGTTATCCCCTGTGGTATCCTTAGGCCGACATTTATACACAAAAGGCCTGCCCTCATCAGACTGAAGTTGAGTTGCAAAAATCCCGCTATTTTCAGACTTTCAGGATATTCTCTCGAAGCTCGAAATGGTGTCTATACCAGACCGATAAGCACATCACAAACGAGCTCGGACAGGCGCAAATAGCGGGCTATTTTGGTAACAAGACCAATATTTTGCAGTATATTTTCTGGACCAAATAGCCCGCTAATTGCAACTGCAGGCAGATGAAAACGCAAATTAGCTGGCTAATTTGAGATTAGTTGAAATAGCGGCTTATTTTGCAGCTTACATGTAGGTCTGATGAGGACAGGCCTATTTACAGAATGTGGATGTACTGTATTCTTGTGAAATCATACTGTGCAACTGAAAGGATTATTATCTCATTTCTAAACCCGGGTCAAGAGAGGCAACTGTAGAGAAAAAGTGCCTCGTCCACGCACCGGGCACAGATTTAACGTCTCAAACTTTTGATCGGAACTTCCAAAGTCAAGTAAACGAACCGCTTCCCCGCAATGCTCGCACGCATTTAAGTATTTCCTTTGATATCAATTTAAAAGGCAATAAAGACATCTCCCTCCTTGAAGATTAGCTTCAGTTGTTGTCCTTTTCAATAACTTTGTGATTGTCTGTCTGCAGCTGCAGTAATGAGTGACCTTTTAGAAGTTCCATTTGCCCTGCCCGCATAGAATACGTCTGTGGTGCGATCCCTCATATGCTTGGGGACCAGAATAGTATTTTTTTGTGGCGGACACTTTATTGCATTGTGCACTTTAGATTAATGTCTTGAGGGTTTTTTCTGTTGTGATATCTAGGTAGACAGAGCAGGTGATATTTTCCCTTGGTCTGATTTTCATTATGCACCCCCCCCCCTCCCTTGTACCCAAAGCTTCAAACTCGGAGATCATGTGTTACTGATATTCATACAGTATTGTAATTCTTTCAGGTACATTGTAGACTGAATGTAATTTAGCACTTGAGTGATCCTCAAACTTTTGTTACTGCATAGTTTTCTGTTGAATGTACAATTAGAGGAAAACAAAGTCACAAATCAGCCTCGGGTATCGTTACACAGATTATTTGTTGCTCTTTACAATAAAACATCCTGCGAAGAAGCCACAGGGGATATTGATTCTTTTACACAAAGCTACCAAATTTGGGTATATCTTTATTATTATTATCTTGATTATAAATGGACAAGCAGTCAAGCAAAATACCTATTCACAGACAGAGCATGACTTAACAAGAAGAATTATATTTATTTCTTTTTTGGCTGTCTTGTGTTTCTTTGCAATATGATTTTGAGAAATGTGGTTTACTTTGTTTCTCATTCCAGATGAGAGAAATAGATGTTCCTAAATATCCTACAGCTTTCACATGTGAACAGATACAGGAAAGTGAGGTAAGTGGCTTCAATAATAACAAAATTGCATGTTTATATCAGGTTGAATACATCAACTACTGTACCTCTCTACCGGGGTAATAATATATATCTGTAAAGCGCTTTGAGAAGGCCTTTGGTCCTGAAAAGCGCTATATAAGTTATTATTAAGTGCTTTACAGATATATTATTACCCTGGTCATTGGATTCAGGCTTGCCCACACACAATGTATGCACATTCTTCACTCCCAGAGGAGCATTCCAGCAGGGCGCCATTTTACAGATGCTCATAGTGCTGAGCAACCTACTGTACATTAACGTTGGCATCCTACGGGCCCCGGGTACCCCTTTAACACCTGGATGGAGAGTGGCAAATGTAGATTAACGTCTTGCAAGAGGACATAAGTGCCGGACTGGAATTTGAACCAAGTACCCTGTAAAATTTGTTAGAATTATCTTGTTAGAATTATGTAGACCTTCATGCCACAGATTTTAACACATATTGGCTAATATTCATACTTTAAAATACAGTATGTTCACTGTTGACTGTGTCTCGTACTCTCTGTCTCCCAATACGCAAAGGAAGAATGGATTGTACACACAATCAGTTGCCTTGTTTTTATCTCTGATCCAATTGAAATTTACAGAAAACCAGTGATGTAAATTACTGCATTGAAAAACATTAGTGCTTAGCATTTATGCAGGTGGTATAGACTTGGTACTTAAAGGTTATGTCCCAAACATTCTGTCATTGAAATGTTTATTCGAGTGGATGAGAAATAGATAGATGTAGATAGATGTAGAGAGAGAGAGAAAGAGGGAGAGAGAGAGAGAGAGAGAGAGAGGGGGGGGGGGTAAAAGATACTCTTGTAAAATTTCATTACAGTATTCAACCTCCAATACAATATCTGTGGTTTACCTGTATTGCGATAAGAAAGGCTATCAAAGAACATGTTGATTTTTTGCTGCATAAAAAAGATTAAAATTGCTGGTAATTTGTGGTGTAGAATTTCTTTTTGTTCAGAAAACATAAACAGTATGTAAATTACATTGTAGTAATGTACATGTAGGTGTGACAGTTGATTTGTACATTAAGATTGGTATTTGATTGGATATTTTGGTTATTGGGAGAAGAAAAAGTAATGCTTTTTTAATTGCTTGACATCACAATTATCTGAATCCTTTTTGTGGGCCCAGTTCAAGTACGTGTACAAGAAGATTGAGTTGTTAGATAAGAAGAGCTATATTCTCTTTTTGATAATTTGATGGCTTTTGTGTGGGTGTCCTATTCTTAGAAAAAGCACTTCTTTGTAGGTGTATGAATAAGGACAGAGAGATTTATCAATACCGGTTGTGGGTTCTTAATCATCATAGGATTAAAATGTGGGTGATTTGCATGGTTGTTCACCCTTGACCGACATCAATTTACGGCACAGTTCACTTTCAGTATCCTGTTCACAGGATGTTAAAGTGCTTATCCAACTCTCAATTCATGCTACATGTATATAATATCAGATCTAATTAATGTTGGCAAGATGGCAAATTCCCCCCTTTTTTGTTGGTGTCTGCCAAGCCTACTTTTTTTTTATTTACAATCCACATGTACATGTAGGTCATAATAAATGTGTAATTTTAATTTTGATGTGGGCGAGCTTCAAACCACTGAACAATTTGGTTAACCACTCTTATTCTTGTTCATGCCGGATGCAAACATCAGATAGAAAACTGCTTTCTCAACATAGAAATACGATACGGTAATTCACAGAAAATATGTAAATATTATCCACTGTATAATAAGTACCAGCATATTCAAAGTAAATATGTAAATGAGGTCAATCAATGAAGGTCAAATATGACAAAATCCTTGTTCAGTACATGCAATGCTGCCTGTATTTATGCTCCCCCATTATACAACTTGGATGTCATTCTGTATCAGTCAATTGTCCAATTAGCACTACAAAGAAGGACATGATTTTAATCAAACTGTAATTTTATTCTTTCTTGGCTATTTGTTAGTCGTTATTCTGGTCCAAATTGCTCCCACCCCACCACACCACCCTCAATATCTATATATTACCTGCCTTCTCTAACATTCTGTGTCATCTTTACAAATGTACATACAGGTGTACATATTCTTGCTTATACAGGTACATGTACAGTATATAATGTAGAGCCCTCCCATCTCGTCTTCAAGCACGTCATCCTTTTGTCAGTTTTGTGCTCAGTTGACCATCCCACACCACACCATCTGATAATATGAAAGATTAATACAGATTAGCACTACAGTGCTGGCCATCATTAATCAAACCCCTCACCCATCTCCCAAGCAGTTAATCAGTGACTCATTGGGTCCATTTGTCTACCGGTAACCTTTGATACTACATCTTTAGTTTACACAAAATGTGTGTCACTTGGAATCCGTGATGGTGTGCTGGCATGGGGGAAGATCCATTAGACTGGACTCTGTATCAGAGCAAAGATATATACCGGTATGCAAGAGAGTTGGTGTCAAATCGGGGTTGTTGCAATAAGATGAATTGCACTGGAAACGTGTTAATTAATGTGCATACATGTATGTTGCACGTGTTGTCAGTATAGGTCATGCAATTACACATACTGTAGAACAGGGACGTGTGCAGCATGATACTCTGTCAAATACTGCAATTAAGTATGGATATTTCACAAGTGAAAAGCCTAACAATACTCAACAAAATACTGTACAGGGCATAGACTTGTGAGAGGTTGCTCCCATCGTACTTATCAATGATGCTGTTTCAATATTTACATGTACATTGTACCATGAATGGGGCTGAAAATTAATTGATTTGCTTAAATGGCATATTATGTAGGGTATGCACAGTCCAAGATATTGATTAAAATTAAGTAGCAAACTAAAAAAAAAGAAGAGAAGTTTGGGTGACCTTTATGTACAAATGTAATAACTCATCATCCATCTTAGCAGAAATAAGATATTACTTTTCATTGAAAGAAACCACAACATAAAAAACTATTCAGCAAAAAGATTTTAAAATTTCCCTTTATTTGGTGGGTAGAAGGGCATATTCATGATTGATTTAAACAAAAAAAATTACAACAATTTTTTTCTTCTCAATTCACAATACTGGTATAGACAACTTTGTAGACTACACTTTACAGTTTATACACAAAAAGAAGTTGGAGACCCTGACCAGATCTTGCTTAAAGAATTTCAAACATTGACAAACAATGTCAACATCCTTCCCCAAATAATCCTACTCATAGACCTTTGTCTACCACCATCTCATTAATTCCATGTGCATATATTTGTAGGAGTACTTTCTCTCCCAGCAAGTTCATGTTGTTGATACTGGAGCCCCTGTGTTAACATTGTATCCATGGCAACCACATTCATTGTTTACAAGTCAGAGATGTGTGGTAATGGTGTGGATGGGATTGGGAAGAACTTGTGAAGGTTTTGTGGTTGTCACTGTTTTAGGGATTAAGGGGTTTGGGTTCAGATCACAAGTCATGTTGGCACCATGCTCTGGTATATGCTTAAATTCTCAAATTTTACTTTTTAATACAGGAAGAGAAATGTGTCTGTTTCAGGATGAGAAAGCGCTTGTGAATATATCCACTTCGTCAGCACTGCATGTACAGTATGTATGTAGGCACTATGATGCAGTACAATGTACATAAGACATGCTTCTCAATGATTGGTTAAGGAGTCCAAATTATGCACATTCTCCATGCAGATCTGGCTTAATTAAAATATATATATACATTTTTTTTTAATTCAAGAAAATTATTATTTTTTTTTTTTAAATTTCAAAATTCAAAATTAAAAAAAAAAAAAAAAAAAAAAAAAAAAAAAAAATCACTTTTTTTAAATATTAAAAATTTGTATTTATAAATCAAATGACAATTACTACGTCAAGTATCAAAAGCTAAGGATTTACATCGTTCAAAAAAATATGAATGATAATTAAATTTGAATAAGGGTTATCATTAGGCATGACTAGACTTTTCAGTATTTCCTTCAACCCCCCATTTCTGTGAAGTCTGTATTTTTCCCAAGCTTTCCGCTCAGACAGTCATGCCAAATTATCACTGTGAGAAATTTTGCCCTACTGTGAACCCTCCAACAAATCGAGTTTGACCAATAGAATGGAGTTTCTTTGTGACTTTCGAAAAGCTGCCATCCATGTATAGCGAAAAACTAGTAGGCCCCTATCTATTACGTTTGAGATGCAAGTGGCCTGAGGCTCCTTGTGAAATTGACCCAGTGCAGGCACAGCTTGCTGTCAAGTTCAAGTGCAAGAAGGGCATTGCTCATTGCGGGATTTAATGACCTTTTGCAAGACGATAGCCCTGATTGTGATTAAAGAAGTTTGCACCTTCTCACGTTCAAAACTTCTAGGATGCTTTCCGAGACTTTCGCATCTCAAGTAGTTCATCCCAAATTTCCCAAATGTCATCCTTGGTTTGCATTGGGACTTTATATTTTTCTCTGTTCTACAATATCTTGATTCTTGACAACCATGTACAATGTAGGCCTATATGTACATGTCCAATGTATATTCACAAATATGAACCATTTTTCTGTGGATATTGTTGTTCCATCTTTTGGTGATGATATCACAATGACTCAATGTTTCCAGTTAAGAGGGATCTGGTATTGGTCATAAGGCATAGTACATTGCAGTCATAAGCTGACATAAATATACAACTGTACATTAACATTTGTATAATATATGGCCTACATGTACATGTACATGCATGGTTTGCTCTGGTTTTATGGAACTGCATAGAAATCTGCCGATAAACAAAGTTGACCCCATGGCATAAAACCAGGATAGAGTCATCTGAACATGTAAACAGTGTATCAGCCAGAAAATGAAATCTCTGTTTTGATTCTTCATTGCACGTGCCATATGCTGTTTGTACACTGTCTGCCCATCAGTCTTCTTACGTCAGTCTTGTTAGACCGTAAAAAACACACAATTATAATCACAGTAAATACATTGTATCAT